AAGCGTAATAGCCCTTTTATCCTTATTTAATATCGTCTCAAGGTCTCCTCGTACGCAGATACGGGCTTTAAGCTTCTACAAATAGCCGTCTTGATTAAATTTGTATATAAAGACCTATCGGAGTAGTAGGATCTGTTTCGATATATTATTCGGTCGCTTTATCACGGTAAACGTTGATTTCTCCTAGAGAGAGCGTATTTCCTTTACGCAGGCGGCCAGGAAGCCTTCGGCCATCGAGTACTTCATTATATTCTTCCACCTATCAGGCGCAGGGGGCAGATCGTCTCTATAGCGCTATATCGGCTTCTCTATATATAGGGCTACGGCGAATATACGTAGTAGCTCTAGTAGATCGTCTTCGGCTAGTAAGATCGTTACGTACGCTTAGTAGTCAGGATCTGCTCTAGCCTTTCGCTTCCTGCTTCCCTCGATAATATTCGTTGTATCGATCCTATCATTCCTTCGCGTATAAAGCTCTGCGTATAGCTGCTATTCGCTGTTAGAGAGCGGATTAGGTTAATCTTTTTTAGAATCTTCTTCTATAAGGTCTTCGAGCGGAGGATTTAGCTCTGTCGGATAGTCTTCCTCCTCGTAGACGTTCTAATCTTCAGTCGGGGCTATTATCTGCTAGTCTACCCTCTAAGCAGCGGCAGGGCCAAATTCAGTAGTATTCTGCTCCTCTAGTAGACTTAGTAGCAATTCCGGTGGCTCTTCTATCGGGAATAAGCCAGGTAGGGTGTTATTCGGAGGATCCTGGTCTACCAGTAGGTGGCCTCTCTCGTTAGGTTCCGGGGTCGGGGTAATCGGTACAACTACCCCCTAAGGTATATCGTATTCTTCCTAATCGCGATCTTCCTAGTATAGATCATCTTCCTCTTCTTGCTAGATAGCTTCCTAATCGCCTGCTTGCTAGCCTTCCTAGAGATCTTCCTAGAGATCTTCCTAGGTATTTCGATTAACTAACGCATCGACAGGGATACCGATATCTTCGCGAAGCACTTCTATCTGTTCTTCCTCGGTCAAAATCGTCGGTTCAGGTATAGGAAGGGTTCTCTCTTCCTAATACTACATATCAGGCTTCTACTTCCTCGATTCGTCGAAGTGTATATCTCTCACGACGTCTATCTTGTCTCTTGCCGGGAACTAGATCTTCTATATATTCGATGCGACGTAGCCGACGAGGAAACCAATTTCTGCACAGGGAGAGGTCTTTTAGATACGTAGGATATTACGAATACGGCAGTACGACAGAGAGCTATACACGCGTAGGTTAGCTAGATTAGCCTTCTTTATCCTTTCGCCGCCGAAATCTCGTCGTGCTTCATCCTACAGCACGATCTACTAGTTCTCATCTTTTAGGTAGGTAGGAATCCTATTTAAAATCCATACTACAGTACTAACCATCTCTAGCCAGAGTTACTTCGGTAGCTTACTCTCGATCTGTAGATACCTCGTTATTGTTAGAATAACTCCTCCTAATCGCTCCGCTAAGCCGTTTTGCTTAGGGTAGTAGGGGATACTATACGATACCACGATACCGATATTGCTTAGGAAGTATTCGATCTCTAGTCCCGTAGATCTCTCGTTATTATAGTAGAATGCTTTAATCGGTAGGTTCCACTAGTTCTTAACAAGAGCAATAAATTACCTTATACCCTCTCTACACTCCTATTTGTGTTCATGAGTATATAACCAGTAGAATCGAATCCCTTCAACATAGAAATACGTTATCTATTAGTGTCTGTTATATCCAGGTAGAAATTGGACTAGATCGAAGTAGATTCGGCCGTATTTACTAAAGGGTTAGCTAATTAGTCGTCGTGAGATCTGCTTCGGTGTACTTAAGAGATTGCAGACCTAGCATAGTTCTCCTTCTATTAAAAACTCTTTATCTACTAACGATTCTAGCAGGTCTTCGTTGATTTTAACACTATCTACTATTTCGGTAGTCTTCTTTATTACACGAGTAGATACATAAGCAAGTCTCCGGTGCTATCGATCTACTAAGGCTTCTAAAACGAGCGGTTTCTCTAATCTTTGTACTGCATATACGTAAGCAGTAGTTTCTAGCGAGTATTGACGATCTCCTAGTTAATCGAATACCTATATCTTTAGCGGTTTTATAAGACGTATACTAATAATTAGTTTATCACTAGAATCCTTGATATATTCGGTATCCTCATCCTATCGTATACCTTTCTCCTTCAACGCAGTATATAACATCAAATTAGCATAGAACTTTAGCAAATAGACGACGTTGCTTAGGCGAATCGATCTAGTAGACCCGTCAGGTCCTACACTAGTTATTATCGCGCTTCCAGTCCCTTCCATAGCGGTAATTAAATCGCCTGTCTTTAGGCCTGCCTTCTCCGGTATAAAGGTAGTAAAGAGATCTTTTTAGTTACAAACGTACACTAATAAAGCAGTATCGAGAAACCAACGTTTTCGAATATCATTATTAGCGTCTCCTGTAGTCTTCACGCTTTAATACACCTGTTCGATTAGAAAGCCTATAGTGAAGTAGGAGCTATATAGTTAAGTAATATTAGCCGTTTTCGTGTTAATTCCGTTCTTCTCATTATATTCCTTAACAGATTTCTCTATCTAGGCTTTCTACGCTTTATCCTTTACAAGACGATCTTCTACTTGCTTAGCCTTCTATTTCAAGAGAGGTTTATCAGGAAAAGCCTCTCTGTTAATTATCCAGCAGTCCTAGGGCTTATAGCTTTTGTTACTATAGGGGTACTAGCGCCTAGGAATCGGAGGTAAGGACCTCTCTCGTGGTAGTTGCTATACTTGCGGCTATAACTACGGCTGCTAAGGCTCTAATCTAGCTTCCTTAAAGCCCTATAGTGTTGAAAATAATACTTTTAAGATCGTACTAACTACGCTCGATCTCTACGGGTGTAGCTCGCGATAGGTTCCTCGGAAGTTCTCGATCAAATCGCGCGTATCCTATTCTTCCTAATACAAAACGATCGCTTCAAATTTCAGCTACCACTATACTAGGAGTATCTCTTTTACTACACGGAGGAAATCCTTATTAGCGCTCTTGATCTCTAGCAGATCTAGGCTAACTACCTGTTCTCTTAGTAAATCCTATTCGTTGATCCACTAGTCGATATCAGTACCTTTCTTCGGTGGTAATACTAATACCCTCTTCTACTACGCACGTATATCTTCTTCTGCCGCTGTTGATCGACCAAATCGAGTATAGAGATACATAAGCCGTTCGTACGGGGTTTAGTAGTTAAGCATAGAGGTATAGTGGATAGGATCCAAATTAGCGATGATCCATTCGTTCATAGCGTCTAGGCTCTTGCTCTGTTGCTCCTATTCAGCATAGTCAAGCTTGTATATGTCTATGCGATCTCTCCATTCTCGTTTCGTCGACTCGCTGCCGTCTTCGGGGTATTGCGGCCTTCTTGGTTAGCGAATCGGTTGTTTAAGATAGTCTTCTTCGAGCTGAGGGTTGACTAGGTCCTATACCCTCTTCTGGCGTGTATATATCTTGATTCGTGCGAACCAATTCCTCCACTACGGTGGATCTTTCAGTTTCTCGCCTTTTAGGGCGGAGACTACTGCTGAATCTATATTGATCGCGTTCTTCTTTAGCAGTCAATTCGATCGATAGGAAGGTCAGGGGTAAGAAGGAGACGTCTGGCCGGGTCGCTACCGCGGATACACCTTGCGTATAGCTTGATTTGACGAATATAGCCTTCTTACTGGCGAATCGGGCTCATAACAGTCGCGAATACTGCTTAGTAAATCATACCGCGCACCAATCGGATATCAACAAGTCTGAATTGCTACGATGCCCCTTTGCTAACAATTTGTATGGGCAAAAACATGACTAAGCTAGGCGGGTGTTTTAGTATTTCCTTTTCCCTGGGGATCCACCCATCCTGCTGTTCCGACACGAACTTGCAGGTCACATGACTACCCACCTCACCTCACCTTCCGCCTCAAGACAGGAACGGCGCTTGTGTCTACGCTTCGAGTTCCATCGCAATCATGGCTGGCCCCAGCAAGTGTAAGTCTCTGCACTTAAAAACCCTGCAACTATCCGATATTCCAGCTGCTAACCAATTGACCAGCCCTGGTCCTTGACCCGGCTCTCCAGAAATACTACGGTACATGATCCCTCCCCAACCCACCATCTCCAGTTCTTGCGCTGCGGATGAACGGCCACAATCCCTCCGCTGCATGTCCGGAATATTCTATTGAAGAGAAAGGGCATTGAATATCAGCCCTCCAGCCGCGGAGCATCCTCCACTGAACAATGACTGACCGGACCCAATAGAACTCAACGCCAACCGCTACAAGTACTTCCGCTGGAACCCCCGCCATGCCTGGCTGTCCTTCATCTACATGGCCGCCATCCCTGGTGCTCTGACCTGGCTTGCCTACAAGACCGAGGTATGTAGTATTGGGTCCTAACGATTGTCATGACGGAAGCACGCGGGGAAGACGGAAGACGGAAGACGGAAACGATACTGACGGGTTGCAGGGCAAGTACGAGCTCCGTGGCAAGCGGAAGGGTGACCCCATTTCCGAGTGGTAGAGAGCAAGTGTTGGGTGGTTTGAATCGATTGAAAGCGATTTACCGAGATGCATGGCGATACAGAGGTGTTCATCCAAGACCTTCTGGGTCGTCTGCTATCCGGAATCGTGGGAGGATGGGAGCGAAAACTGCAGTTTTACCTTTTTCACTGGCGCCCTCGCTCTTGGGCTATGTACCTTACTACGAGCATATACCGCATTGATTTTCTTCTGTTTCAACCCTGGCACTACACTTCTTGTCAAGCGCCACATCCTAAACACCTGCCACGCAGTAATGACATCGAGAAGCGCACAAATCATGCTTGATTGATGCTGTTTCATTTACTTCGAAGCTCTTTAATCGTACAGTATTGCTGCAAAGCGGGTATTTTCATCCCGGGCCATTGAAATCGCAGCATCTCGATTCGTTCCTCAAATCCCATCTTGCTATTCAAGGTTTAGTATGGGCCCCAACCTCGGCGACCTCCACCTCGAGGGGCTCCCTCTGGTAGTCGCTCCCCTCGTTTCCAGTCTCCTACAGGGAGAACAGGAGGTCCGCCACGATCACCTCCACGGGGACCACGGCCACCACCGCGTCCTCCATACCCATTGTCTCGGAATGCGCGCATGCCACCTCCCACCGGAGGTGGTGGACCTGGAGCGCTGCGGAGCACTGGCGCAACGGAGCCATCCTCGAGAGGCGGCAATATGGCACATTCAATGTAGTCTCCAATAATAAAGCGGGCATCTAGCAAGGCCTTGTCTGCATCGGAGCCTTGGAAGCGCATGGGTCCAGCACGAGGCCGTGTCTCTGCGCGGTCATCCACATCTTCTTCCCCGCGGTATGGACTATCTCTCGGTCCAACAATAACACTGCCCAGATCTCTGCTCAAGTATCGGCCGCGCGCATCGGGGCCCATCATAGCTGCACTTCGCGCGTCGGGGTAGATCAGCCGGAAGCAGAGGCGGGTGCCGACGGGTGGGTCAGGGAGTAATGAAGGGAGGGCGGAGGTGAGAAGCTGTGAGAGTTCGCGTAGCGTGCATGACTGCCATGTGTAAATCTCAAGGTGTGGAGGAAGTGGTGCAGCAGCTGGCGGAGGGGAGGACGCGCGAATGGCATTTGGGCCGCTGAAGGGGCCGCTGCGGCGCGAAGGGGCCGGGATGCTGTAGTCGGAGATAGGGTGGAAGGAATTGACGCGATAGAAGAGCTTCAAATGGAAGGGTGTCGTTGTTTGGCGGTTGATTTGAGGCTTGGTGCCTTCTCTCGAGGAGTTAACCATGACGGCAGGGCGAAGTCGCGTGTCTGGTCGAGCCGAAGGGTGTGACAGAAAATCAATTGTCGCAAGACTGAGGGGTAGTGATATGATGATTCACGGCTCAGTGGTCAGAAGTAGTCTTCAGAAAAAGCGAGTCGAGTGCTGGTTGAGGGAAGAAGGGTGGGGAGCTTGGAGAGTTTGGAGGTGAATGGAGAAAACCCCAAATGCGGGCGTTGGAGCTTGCGGCGGCTGGCGGTTCTTTTGGCTTCGAACATTCTTTTCCGCTCTACCAACGTCGACTTTCAACACCCACGCACTCGGTCCGAACGATCTACACCTCTCTACAACCTATTATTATTCTCTCTTGAGATCGACGACAACACTCTCTGCTCTCAGATTAGGGAAGCCTGCGCGCCGCAGCTATCGCCAACATGGATTTCGCCGCGCTCATGTCCAAAGAGATCTCCAAGGCCAAAGGCCCCGCCAGTGGCGCCTCCAAAGCATCTGCTACAAACAAAGACAAAGATGTGCCCGCCGAATCATCAAAGAAATATTTGCGTCGAGGAGAGCTCGAGGCCGCGCGTGTCGCAGCATACAACGAGGAACAGGAACGATTACAACGGGAACGCGAAGAGCGGCTGAGCACGAAACGCAAGCTCGAAGAGGAGGAAGCAGAACGAAAGCGTGAGAGAGAGGAGAAGAAACGAAAACTGGCAGAGGAGTCTAAGAAGAGAAAGGAGGAGGAAGACGATAAAAAGGAACGCGAAAGGCGACGGAGGCTTGGCCTGCCCGAATTGCCAGCAAAGAACGACCGTGGCGAGACACCTGCCAGTGAAGATGCAGATGAAGAAGATATTGATGAGGAGGAACTTATTAAGAAGCTACGAGAACTCGAAGAGCCAGCCCGACTTTTCGGCGAGAACCATCGTGCTCGACTTCGACGGTATCGCCGTTTGGTGAAGCGATCCGCTACATTGCAGAAGCTATCAGATGGCCCGATTCCTACGATCCTGGAACCTGTTCCTGGCGCACGGATGATTATCGAAGCCAAACCTCCCAAAGATCAGGAGGGCCGGGAATTCCTTTTCCGACAATTGGCATCCTACTTCAATATGGTCCTGTCTGAATGGGAGCTGGCATTGGCCAAACGTGATGTTACAGTACGACAGAGCTTCCAGGGAAAACAGGCATATAATGCCATGGTTCAGTCTCGAGAAAACATGAAACCGCTGTTCCGCCGATTCGAGAAAGGAGACCTCGAAGATGGGCTATTGGAACCGATTGTGGAAATCGTGCACAAAGCCCAGCAACGGAGATACGTCGACGCCAATGATGCATATCTTCGAGTGAGCATTGGAAAAGCGTAAGTTGAATCTCTCCATACCTCTAAAGATCCACAACCGATATACTGATATATTTGCAGTGCCTGGCCCATCGGTGTGACCATGGTTGGTATCCACGAGCGCTCTGCTCGCGAAAAACTACACCAAAGCGATCAGCAGGCCCATATCCTCAGTGATGAGGCTACACGGAAATACTTGCAAAGCATCAAACGGTGTCTGAGCTTTGCACAAGTGCGCTGGCCCCCAGAGGATCTATTACAGATCATGGGCTAGGGTTGTCTTCTTGATTTCGTTATCCTTGTGATATATACCCTAGGCGTTATTGATTTTCAATATCATCTTATGGAGTTTCAGTTCATCGTTGCCCAATAATTCGGCGCTCCATCATGATGTGACGTATGGAAGCTTGTAGCCCGTTGATTTTGTCACTCATCCCTTGCAAGGACCCGCGAACCGAATTTGATGCTCTTCAGGCGCAGGATAGTTTCACCCATGCCGAACTGAATCCGACTGATGTTTGGGTAAAAGTATGTCCTTCTTCTTGTCCCGAGTGTTGCCTCGAATCTTGTCTTCTAGAGGATACACTGCTTCAAACTGGTTGATCAGGACTGCATATTCCAGTATAACGATCTCATAATCCAGGTGATCAAGTCGAGGTTTTTTCTTTCTAGCGATGCCTGGAGGTCTGATATTCCAGCGGAACGCTCTGAAAGAGCTAGACAAGATGACATGAAAGAGACTTTCGAGAATGCTACAAGCTATTACGGGCCCAAACGGTGTCGAAGCAATCTATTCTGACTTGTAGCGGGTTACTAGTTATTGCTTGTACAGAGTACCTTGCATATAGTCACACTGACAACTGTGAATGGAGAATTTCTCTGATCACCACCGGGATTCTCCGTTTTGAATTCATACATCATCGGCACTTCGAATGGATTCGGCGAAATCAGGAGTAGTTCGGGTCATTGGTGAAGCCGCATACAGCAATCTCAAGGCAACCCTATCGAGTATTCTTCATAGTCAAGACCTGAAGAATGCACTGGCATATTCATATCTATCCCATGTCACCGTCAAGTTTCCATGGCAAGGTCCAGGCCATTCTACAGTTCAATAACGTGACAATCAGGCTCCTCATGAGATGTAACCAGCGCATTCCACAAGTTGAATCTATCCTAATGGGGGTACAGATGATTGCTCGAACTCCAGCTGGTATGTTCACTACAGTCCGGAGCCGGTGCTGAGTGAATTGGCGGCCTTTGGATATTGAACATTACCTCGGGAGAAGAGGGCTCTTGTTGGTTCTACATTTGGGGCCTCTAATGCATTCGATGGAGTGTCACGAATGAAGATGTTGGTAATATCAGGTCATAAATCTGATTTCATGCAATGCTGTTTAAACCACCAAATAGAGTAGCAGGGAAATAGCTGGAATGCAAATGACAAGCAAGAGGAGGCTGGATGAAGACATGAGCAGTTCCAGTGTCTTCTAAGAGAGATTAGACTTTGGAGAATAAGGCTCGATTTGTTTGTCTGCCTTTTAAGGGTGCCTGTTGCCTATTTGGGCCTTCTTCCGTCTCTTTCTTTGTGTCTCCGTCTGCATGTCACCACGCTGTCCTGGACTTGCTCCCCTACTCCATGACCCAAGTGATCCAGCCATCCAAGCCCTTGGTGGAGGCACGCCTCTTCATTATGCCGCAGATCTTGGCCAATACGAAACAGTCGAGCTCCTACTCGACGCAGGGGCGGATCCATTTGTACGAAATGGGGTTGGGAAGTTTCCTTGGGACTTGGCATGCCAGTCTGGTTTTGAAGGAATTGTCGAGGTTTTCGAGGCGTTGGTAAACTAGAGAAAAGGAATGATTTGGTGTTGACTGTCATAGAATCACCTTCGGGTTGTTTTCAGATTGAACGGTTGGAGACGAGATATCATGATGCTAATGTTTAATGACTTGTATGAGTTTCCCAATTCTCTTGACAGTAACCATACCAGCTGCGCACTCTCGCATACACTACCATTACATCCTGTCCAGATAATTCCAGGCAGTTTTCTAGAGTACATTTCTTGATAATCTCTGTATAGTTGTGGACTTTATAGATCTTTCTTACCAAGTGGGGCTGCCGCTGTACTTCAACACTCCACGTCAGTTCCACCGAATCTACATCCTCCTGTCCTCCTCGCCTCGCCATGATCACCAGCATTCTCTACACATGCTGTCTCTTATGTCCGCTATATCTGATATATAAGCCACCACGCGCACTCATCCAATATTTCCAACATCGCTGGCCCGATGTACTATTCCACCACCCCACAGCCCAAAAAGTCATCGCGTTAACCATCGACGATGCCCCCTCGTCACAAACACCCGCCATCCTCAACATCTTACAATCGCACAACGCAAAAGCAACATTCTTCGTGATTGGATCCCAAGTCTCCGGCCACGAAACAGATCTGACCGATCTCGTTCGCCACGGAAACGAACTAGCCAATCATGCCATGCACGACGAACCCTCGCGCTCGTTAAGCGACGCGACACTATCAGAGCAAATATCCACCGTCGAACAAATGATCCGAGACGTGTACCGCGAAGCTGGTCAGGATGGACCTGAGAATTGGTTCTTCCGACCAGGCTCGGGGTTTTTCAGTTCCCGTATGCGCAGGCTCGTTAAGGGGTTGGGGTATCGACTGGCGCTGGGGGATGTCTATCCTCATGACCCGCAGGTACCGTTCGCAAAACTCAATGCGAAGCACATCCTCAGTATGGTGAGGATGGGAAGTGTTGTTGTTTGTCATGATCGGAGGGAGTGGACGGTGCCGATGTTGGCGATAGTCTTGCCGGAGTTGCGGCGTCGTGGATATCGGGTTGTCACGCTGTCTGAGCTGCTGAAAGAGACTAAATTGGACTCGGCTTGATAGAGTGGCAGGATTTGGCGTCTTGCTGTAGTTCTCAAGATGAGGAAAGAAGACAGCATAAGCATACGGAAGAAGGGGGGTATAAGAGTGGGCTATAAGTTCTCATGTTAAGCCCCCGATCCTGTGGTGCGTCGAAAGACATCGATGGAACAGATGTTTGATAGAAATTCCAAAGGATACCATCCAAACCTACGCAAACAGAAATAAATTAGAAAGACTTTGGGGGATTTGAACCCAGGCCATCCACCTCGCTGGCGTTCATGTGAATAATAGCCTTACCTGCTCACGTCTCAGTCAGTACCCAGACCCGGCCTTTGTCCCTGCCTCGATGTTCCTTTTTTTTTTCTCCAAGAAGAATACTCAGAATCAGAATAAAATAAAATAAAAAAAGCTTCTCTGATGGGGAAAAAAGAAGAACCAAATTGCCCAACAATCAGGGATGGTGCACCTGAAGGTACGTCAGGCAGGCTTCTCCGAAGAATCGGCCCCAAGACGCCAGAGGTACGTAGTGACGCGGACCTCTCCGCCGCAAACTGAGTCGCGAGGATGGTGGACACATGCGTATACCACTAGACCACAGGGGCAATTTGGTTGAGGGGGGTTACTGTGTGGGGGGGTATAAGGAATGGAAAGTGAGAGGTTTGGGTCAAGTATACTACCTGGTGCAGTCGTGATACGGGATACGGGAGAAGATGAAGCATGTGATAATAGGACAAATATAAAACATTAGATACAGGTACAATGGTTAGCTTAAGCAGATTAAGCAATGATATCAACATGTGCCATGCTATTGTGTCAAGTCCCGCCACATATGGGCTATTGCTTTCCACCAGCTCTGTACACTCATCGGTGCGGTGGTCGTGGACACCTTGCTCAAGGTATCCTCTCGAGTCAAGGCAGACCCATTGGCTGGGTAGATATGATGACCATCCATGCCATTCATCACTTGCAGTGATGCCGATTGCGGTCGTGTCGAGACAACGCTGCTACAAATGCTGCGTGACTCCCGCTCGCCTTCTTTACTACCCAGCAGACGCCCGGCCGCCGCGACGCAACCGCCATATGCGAAGCGGACCAGGGAATCACCAGACAAACTACCAATGATATACACATTGGGAGCAACTTCCAAATCATCCAGTGCTTTTGCCCGAAGAGTCTGGCCCGAGATGGCCACGTCGTCTCCATCATCATGCCCCAGCACCTCTGTGCGGAGTTGCGAGTCCAGATAACCCAGAGTCCCTCGTCGACCAGCCGCGTATACAAGGCCCCGGGCGGACCGCACAAAGGTGGACCCGTCCTGTCGACGAAAGGTGACCTCGGCCAGGCCCTCTTTCGCCTCTACGGTCATAATTTCGACATTCGAGACTCCCTCATATAACTCATCCCAAGGTCGGCTCTCCAAAAAGCCAGTCGATGTGCCGCGGCGATACTTTGGCCGCTGGCTTTTGTTTTTCAACGCGGCCGCAAGGGCGGCCCTCTTCATTAATCGATATACGCCCGCGTATTCCGGATATGCCTGTTGATGACAGCCCCGCAGCGGCGACGGGCGATCATCGGGAGACCATTTGAAGACATGCAAGATCTTCTGGTCATTAGATGCAGAAATGATAGCGTCTGCCGCTGAAAACCCAGATCCGATGACAAGCAATGGTACAGTCGGCGTTAGCTGCGTTCGGACCAGCGGCTGCAGGATGGGCGGAGGCTGAAGGATCTCCGAGAAAATGCCACTTGCAAGCACCAATCGCTTGCAGTGGAGGTTGTGAGACTGAATGAAGAAACCGTCTGCGGTACGGGAGATGCCACTCAACTGTTCCCCACATCGGAAAACGTCATCGACATAGACGGCGGCGGGGTAAGCCTGGAAGTAGTCGGCGATCTCACGTCTAGTCGGTCGGGTGAATGGTGGAAGATCCTGGCCAGTTTTCTGTCGATGGTGATCGGCAAACGAATAGCCCGGCAAAGAGAGCATAGTCGCATAGCTCAATGTCTGGATGTCCCAGCTCGCCCCAAGGGGATCCTCGGTCCATTGACCACCCGGACGAGGCGCGGCGCCGAATACGAGGTGGGAGATGGCCTTTTCAGGCACACGGCGCCACTCGACATTCGACGTGCAGCTGGATTCTTCCACGTCGACGCTCGGTCGCACCAGCGTATCTAGCAGTACATTCACTGGGAGAGCCTGGGTGGAATAGGATAACCGAGAAGCCGCAAAATGCGCGGTAAGCGCGTCGACATCGGCATTCAGAAGGTTCGGGATGTCCTTCAACTTGGAGTCAAGCAGAGAATCTGGATGCGGAGGATTCCGCGAATAAAACGGAATGTGACCATGCAGAATGTATGAGAGAATCATGGCCGACGGCCCATTGCCTATTCTCACGGGATCACATAAAAGCGTTAGCCTGAAGAATAAATCAAAAGATCGAAGTAACGATTGAAAGTAAATTGATCAGAGAAGAAGACCTACCGACGATGACAGTGTCGGTCTCCATTGAGGACGGCGGGGCCTCCAACGCTGCGTCAACCCACGCGGGGCATTCTGAAGGCATGCAACGCGGAAAAAAGAGAATTACAGTCACTGCAGCCTCATCCGATGCGAAATCAGGACGGGACTCCTCGAGCGGAGATCAGTAGTCAATCGAAGGCCAGAACCAGCAGAGCCAGGCACGGCCATGAAGGAGAGAAAAAGAGGGAGAGAGTCGATTCATGGTTTGCGGCGGGGGGGCGTTTACTTTTCGGGAGGTTCTTCCAGAGACTCCGGGGCATGGATCAATAATCATGCTGACAAACTGGCGCTCCACCAGTGGGGACTCTGTACGAGGAGGGAAGCTCTTAGCGGCAAATGGGAGCTGTCCAAGTCGTGAACTTGCTTTTTTTGTTGACTTGGGAGGGTCATTTGGTCAAGAAGAGGTCATCGGGATATTCAACGTCACAAAGTGAAGCAGAGTTGAACTTGGAAGGTTCTGCAATTCATGCAAGGCCCCGTCCGCGGCGGAGCCTCCACTGCCGAGGGCCAATTGTCGTCGAACCTGACGAAATAAGAATGATAGAATCATAGCAGGGCTGAATGACGGAATCAGGAGGCTGGGATTATTGGACGCTGGGATGCTAAGCGACACGAAGCAGATGCGGTAGTCGACCGTCGTATAGAGATCACCATACGTACTACGCCTATGCTTGATCTACTCGTTTCCGATGTCTCTCCTAGATCACGACAGAAGAAACAATAGGACACCTGGTTGATTATTAGATACACACGTTGAAGAATGTACCCCCCTGTTTATACCTCAACAGAATGGCTGCTTTTAATTTGGGTCCTCGGGCATTGCTCGACGCCCAGCCCAGAGACGGCCTGATCTCTACTTCGTGCTTCGTATGTACGAATAGCACAATCACCACGTGGTTTATTTCCCAATGGATGTAATTGGCTAAAGAAGCCCCTTGAATCACAAAAGAAAAGATGCTTCCTTATGCTGTTAGAGATAGTTTCTGAGCCAGCAAGACAGTCATAGTTCCCCTCCTCCAGCCCTAAGCCCTACTTTCCCAAAACGGAAATGCGGCTGGGGATTGCGTTGCAGATCGCAACTCCGACTCCGCCAGCGCAGAGCGTCTAGATCTTTGGAGTTCCTTCCATGCTTACACTTCCCATGATTGCCTCGGCTCGACTATCTTGGTCGCATCGGTCTTGATCTTGCGATCATGTATCACCTGGCCAAGTCGCTGTATACTTACGCGACTAGCAAAGAAGGTAAACAGGACCGCCGCGCAAGCCGATGTACTTGGCTGCCTCGCTGACCTTCTCACCCTCCCAACAACAGAGTACTCCGTCCTCCTCCTCGGCCTAGATAACGCCGGCAAGACCACGCTCCTCTCCCAAATCAAAGCCCTCTACCAGCCTCGCCCAGATGGTGCTCCCGCGCCGAACCCCGGCAAGACCGTCCCCACCGTCGGCCAGAATGTCTCAACCATCTCCTTATCGGATATGAACCTGAAGATCTGGGATGTCGGCGGCCAGATTTCCATGCGCGGCCTCTGGCAAAGCTACTACTCAAGCTGCCACGCGATCATCTTCGTGGTCGACAGCGCCGACGTAGGCCAAGATCCAGATATCACCCGGCTTCCCTCCGCCTCCAGTCGACGGCCCAGCTCCGTAACAGGTCCCACGCGAGGGAGTGGCGGTCCAACCGACCAGTTCTCCGAACATACAGTCGGCATCAATGCCCCCGGGAGTGATTTCGGACGTCTAGATGAGTGCCGACAGGTCCTGGAGTCGGTCCTGCAAAACGCCGACGTGGCTGGTGTGCCCATCCTCGTTCTGGCCAATAAGCAAGATCGTGAAGATTGCGTCGAAGTGGTTCGCATAAAAGAGGGCCTTGTGCGGAAAGTCTTCGAGGGAGAAACAGGAAGCGGCGTTCGAGACAGTCGCGTGCTGCCGGTCAGCGCGTTGTTGGGGTCTGGCGTGCAGGCTGCCGTTGAGTGGGTGCAGAGTCGCGTCCGATGGAATAAGGAGGGTCGGCCACCGGTTATGCGGTGATTCAGTGCTACAGTGGAGTAATGGAGGAGGTGGCGATGATGATAAAGTTGCAGCTACAGCTGTGCCTGGGGCGATACGACCTGTACAGGAATACACACACACACACACACACTCGATTGCATCATGGCGTTAGTGATATTCCCATCTTCCTTTATTTTTCATAGATATACCAATGAATTCTGTCTGTCCAACATTGATACTATCTCTATTGAATCATGTTCTATAGCTAAGGTCCGCCGAATGTGGAGTGTAACACAAACGCTATCTTCGAAGACGTGTTGCGAGGAGCTTTTGATCGCTGTCTGGGCCCCTTCTATAGATATGATGTTATCGTACTCCTTGAAACAGTAATAGTACATTTCCGAGTACAGAGCAGATTATTAGCCTGCATATCTATGCAGTAGACGGCAGTTACAGTATAGATTAGGACCCACAGCTGACCCCGGTCTGAGATTCCTCCAATAGAGTAACGAGATGCATGGACGAAAAGTAACAGTAATCCGATACATATCTTGGTTAAGAAATCAAGGAAATAACTCGACCTTGATATTGACAGCTCCGCATTTCTGAAATCATCCATTTGGGGTTCCTAGGGTTTGATGTCACGGCCGACGGATGGTCCCGATCACACAGCCGACCTACTTTCGGAAGACGCAATGTAGAAGGACCGAGATGCAGGAAATGTCTAGACTTGCGGTACGAATAGCTCTCTACTCCACAGAGTCGGTCGAAGGATCTTTGCGCAGCAATGAAGTCAGTTGTGGTGGATGTGACGTCACAGTCTCAGTGTCCCTCCAGGTAGAATCCAAACATGTACTATAAAACGGTTCATATATGAGCCAGTACATAGATTGAAAGTTCATGTTTCTTTGACCTTTACAATTCTCTTTCAATCATATCATCCACCACCATCATGAGCACCTTGAGCAACCCCGATTCGATCAACCACAAGCAGGGTACCATCAAGCCCTCTGTGGCACCCGAACCACCGATGACTGACAAAGGCGTGAGTATACATCTTACCACTCAATTTGAACAGACCAAACTAACATAATGATCAGCACCAACCTGGACGCAAGGTCAATGAGGCAGACCAGCGGCCCGAATTCCACCTAGAACGCCACCCTCCCGGCACCGCACCCGCCAGCAACTCCTACTCTGCCAACACCGTCGACCGAGTAGGCTCCCAAGCCAACAACCCAGATGTCCTCCGCGCACACGGCAAGGAGGCCGTGCACACATCTGCTGCCAACACTTTGAAGGGAGCTACGTCCGCCGATGTACACACCGGATTTGGCAAGCCTCTCGTGGGCGAGACCGGCGTTGAAGTTGCCCACGACGGCGCCCACGGTCGTAAGAGGCAGCGTGGAGGACTAGAAGGTGTTGGCGCCTCCATTGAAGATAAGAGTGGCGAGCGCAAGTTCCCCGATAAGCGTGGAGACGAGAGAGAGCATCACATGAGTCGTCTTCGCGGTAACAAGGAGGATCGCTCCGCGGCGGATATGCAACCAGAGCCCGCTGAGACCTTGGATGCTGAATGGAAGTATGAGCCTAGCACTAAGCGGTAATCTTATTAATCAACGAGACAAGTGATGGGGGATGGGGGTCTATTACTTGCAACATGTTCCGGAGCAACGCATTTTGGGTTCGTGAGTGTACGGGGTCAACCAATCGTGGGCAAAAGATGGAAGATATTGAGCATATGAATCAAATTAGTCATGATTATTACATGGCATGAAGCCATAGAGTTGTATGTACAAGTAATTTCTCCATTCTGGAGAGAGTGTTCGAAGGGATTTGTAGCCCGGATTTCATCGGCTATTGCGAGCAGCGGTGGACGCCCGGGTCTTCCCTGCTGGCGGCTTTTTCGGCCAGCTTCGAGCAATGTCGATATTTGCTCGTGGAAACCACATCTCGAGGAAGACATAGATCAAGAAGTCAATGACAACACAGAGACAGAAGAGCTTGCCAGCCCAGACACCACAGCCGTAGTACCGTTTCAGGCGGTCGATGAGCGCGAAACTGCGCACGCGATCCCCGCTAGCCTCCCAGCCTTGACCAGGATAGTAGCCGTAGAATTCCTCGGGGCTGATATCACCTGTGATGCCTTGGTAGACTCTTTCAGTGCGCTCGGCCACGTCCCGCCATGAATACATCATCTTCACTTGGTCGTGGAAGCGATCCGTTCGGACCTTATTCGAGCGTAAGGCGGCAATTGCCTTGTTGGTCGCAACGACAAGATCATCTTCCTCTGGCTTCGCAAATGTGGTCATATGTTGTGGCAAGACTTCGGGAATGCCACCGACTCGGGTACAAACGACGTACAAACCGCAACTAGCAGCTTCCACGATGACAGTACCGAAGGCTTCTGTCAAACTAGGATGCAGGTAGATATGGCCGCGTACCATGACATCTCGCACCTCTTCGTGCCGTACCGAGCCAAGCATCTCGACCTTATCTTGAAGGACATTGCGTTCCAGCATTTGTTCAAGGTCAATGGCCTTTGGTCCGGAGCCAGCGATAATGAAGCGGGTGTTTGGATTCAAAGCCAAGATTCGTGGGATGGCGGCAACCAGGAGATCAGTGCCCTTGTTGTAGAAAAGTCGGGAAATGACGACAATCGTAATTGTATCATCAGGTCCAATTGATGTAGGGGGCGGTCGTTGTTCAGCAGGGGATGTTGGCACCTGATCCAATCCACGAGAATTGTATGAGAGCGGACGGAAGTTCTCTGCCACGACAGCATTGGGGATAACAGATACCATCAAGGGGTCCAGTGAAGCTCGAAGAACAGTGTTCTCCTTACTATTATTTATTAGCACAACAGTCATACATGAGCGACATCCTCCACGTACCAAGTATGGCTGACACAGATCGCATGGTCCACATCACTCAATGTGAATTTGAGGAGCTTGTTGGTCAGGATGGAAGCGGCATCGGCGAATCCAAAAAGAGAGTGGTCGGTAAAGACGGTCCGCAGTCCCATTGTTCGCGCATGGAGAATAGCTTCTCCACAAAAGCTACTAAGACTGGCATGGCCATGCACAATCTCAATCTGCTCACGAATCACGATATTGCGGAATATTGGAAAGAATGAGAAGACGGTAGGGAAGGTGGTTTCGCGGTAGATCACAAAGAAGGGAACGTGATAGATTTTCAAGCCATTGGTGAGGTAGCGGACTCCTGTTCGACCTTTGTACGCATGCGTGATGATTATGACTTTGTGTCCGCGGTCGATGAGTTTCTAAAGGGCCGTCAGGAACGAGGGAAAGAGCGGGGATAGGACTGCTCGGGTCCATACAGATGACAACTGGTAGATGTGACTTTCAATTCCCCCTGGAAGATATTCAGCAAAGCTCACAGTTGATGAGAAGAATTAAAGAACTTACCCGATTGGGGGAAAAAGAAGTCACTGACCATGCTGTCGCAGTCAAGTTCATTGTCAGCGATCAAGACATCTAGTGCTGTTCTCCAAGGAGGTATAGAGACTCACGCAATGTTATACGGCATGATATCTTTGGCGCTGAGACAGATGGACTTGAGACAACAAAAAGCTATCTCTGGTACGTTTAACCTTGCCCATGGCGATCACCCTAATCGGCTGGTTCAAACATGAGTGAGCCGTGTGCAATCGCGATCGAGACCAAAGACAGCGAACGTGAAGCTCCCCGATAACCACGGGCGGTCAAGATGACAGCGGTGAGAGGTTGTCAGATTACTGCCGGCACAACATAAAAAAACCCAATCTGCTCCTCACTGGAGCTCTCCAGCTCCAACACCGAGATCAACACAGGCGTTTCGAAAAAATGGCAGGCTCCAAGGCTACGCTTGAATCCTCAAAGAAGGATTCAACTCCAAAGTCTGCAAAGTCCCACAAGCGAAAGAGGGATGTCGAAAACTCTACTGCAACCACCCCAACTCCGACCAAGAAACACACGAAGCGCGAGAGCCTACCTTTGGCCGTGTCGCCTGCCAATGATGGCAGCACTACCAAGCGGAAACGACTGAAGGATGCCCTTCAAGGCAGCGATTCTGAGAAAGTGATCCAGAAAGACAGCACTGTTTCTCAAGAAAAGCGGAAGAAGGACCGAGCTGGTGAATCAGGCATGAAATTAGTGGACGGCAAGCGAAAGAGTTCAAGGAAAGACAGGGGAGCAGATTCCGAGCCTGAAAAGGTGAGCCCGGAGTATGAGGATGAGAAGGAAGCAGAAGAGCCGTCTGAAGATGAGGGCATGCGCCGCAAGTCGTCCAAATCCAAATATGCGGGCATCCTGTCCAAATTCGAGCGCACCAAAACGGCAGCTAGCGCAAAAGCCAAAAAGGCCAAAAAAGGAGAGCTCATGGAGGACGAGCAGACACCCGAGATGACTGTTGAGCCTGTCATCGCCAAAGGTCTTGAACCATTGCCCCAGCCGGAGAACCCGCCTGAGGTGACGGAGACGCCCACGTACTCCTCATTGCCTGCATGGCTAGCCAACCCCTTGCGAACGTCGGCAAACGAACGAGCTAAATTTTCAGACCTTGGAATCAAACCCGAACTCCTACGCATCCTCGAACAAAACAATTACAAGGAGGCATTTGCTGTGCAATCCACTGTTATCCCGCTGCTTTTGGATGGTAGTAACAACCACCCAGGTGATCTATGTATTAGTGCAGCGACAGGTTCGGGAAAGACACTTTCCTATGTCCTCCCTCTGGTCACATCCCTCACTCCCAGACCTGCTTCGCGACTGCGAGGACTTATTGTGGTTCCAACAAGAGAATTGGTCAAGCAAGCACGGGAGGCCTGTGAACTCTGTGCCTCCGGTTCCCGTCTACATATTGGAAGTGCCGTGGGTAATGTGGCAATCAAAGAGGAACAAAAGCTTCTAATGCGAGTCGACCAAATCTACAACCCCGCAACCGTCGCACAGCGGCAGAAATCAGGACTGCAAGGCAACGACTGGATGGACTTCAGTCTCGAAGACTGCGTCAATGAAGCAATTGACTCGAACGAATTTTTGCCTGGCTATATCCAGCGAGCCGAACCAAACGTGGATATCTTGATTTGCACGCCAGGTCGACTTGTTGATCATATTCGATACACGAAGGGGTTTACACTCAAGCACCTCGAATGGCTGGTCATCGACGAAGCCGATCGTTTGCTAAATGAGAGCTTCCAAGAATGGGTGGATGTAGTTATGGGATCGCTCAACTCACGCCAGGCGCCAGAGACGTTTGGGCCCGGGGGTCAACTGCTGTCGGAGCTGGGACTTGCCATTGAAACCTATCCACCCCGGAAAGTGATCCTGAGTGCTACAATGACCCGAGACATCACCAAACTGAATTCTCTGCGCCTTGATAACCCTATGATGGTCATCATTGGTGCTGAGAACACTACAGATGCGGAAGACTTGTCTGCCTCCCATCGCGATGCTCATTACACCCTGCCACCAACCTTGCAGGAGCACATTGTTGCCGTGGATGATGCATCTCAGAAGCCTCTCTACCTCCTCCATCTTCTTTTGTCCCACATACAGATTGGCGGTGCGGAAAATCGCGCGACCGCGCAAGCAACTGCTTCGATTGAGTCCGACTCTGAGAGCACTAGCTCCGATGATACTAGCTCTGACGAATCTTCTGACGATGATACTTCTTCTTCTGGCTCTGACTCAGATTCCGACTCCGAGACTTCATCAGATTCCGATTCCGATTCATCAAGTGATTCATCATCAGATGAATCTTCCGATTCCGATGATGGTGTCATTGACATTGTGCCCAAAGCTGTTATCCCCCGTACCACGGTCCTCATCTTCACCAAGTCCTCCGAGGCTGCATCTCGACTTTCTCGTCTTATTTCCCTTCTTCATCCCCCACTTGCCAACCGGGTGGGAACCATCATCAAATCGAACAAGTCGTCTGCTTCCCGCAAGACACTGGCAGCGTACCGTCGCGGTCGGATCTCGGTTATTGTCGCTACCGATCGTGCGTCTCGTGGTCTGGATCTTCAGTCCCTGACTCACGTTATCAACTACGATATTCCGCCCAGTGTGACCACCTACGTGCACCGTGTTGGTCGTACCGCTCGTGCGGGCCGCGAGGGCTCCGCATGGTCTTTGGTCGCCCACCGCGAGGGCAGATGGTTCTCCAACGAAATTGCCGCCAGCGTGGAAGGACGGATCACACGCATTGCCAATATTGATCGGGTCCGTGTGAAACTGGATTCCTTGAAGTCGATGCAGTCAAAGTACGCGGCAGCTTTGGACAAGCTGGAGAAGGAGGTAAAGGTTGGCAGGGCAGGCCCATCCAAGCGGGCGTAATACGTGCCAACAACTGTTTTCCACGAATGCTTGATGTGATATTACCCATGCATAGCGTCTTCTGTATCTAACTACTGTACTACATTCTGTACACTACATTATCAACCTCTTGCATACTTAAAATACTTGCTCGTATGCAAACCTCCATTGATGGGTCATCATTATCAAACCTCCTCTTGTAGGTCGCCCTTGGTCCGTGCAGCAACAGCAAATCTTGCATACTGTAGGTAGAGCAGCAGCAGGAGAAATGCACCAGCTGTGGACGGACCATGACGTGAGACGGGGGTGCAGATCGGGATTGCCTCGGCGAAATGCCCGAGCAGCATCTCCGCACGCTGATCTTCTTCATTTTACCCGACAAAAGGTAACTATTTCCCGACGAATATGCAAATACCCGATAGGAAAGACAGATTCTTGAAGGTTACTGATATGTATTGGGATCCACAGCTGCGGGGGAATGGCACCGTTACCCTCAACGATTGGGATCACATATAAACAGTCCATGACACTCAAGCCAAGCATTCCTCAAGTTAACTGCCAATTTATCCTTGTCCAAAGTATGGTGGCGGCCAAGCATACTCTTGCTGCACTTGCGGCTTACTTGACCACGGCTTCTGCGGTCATTTTCAAGCCACAGAATGAGTATAAAGCGCTTTCTGCAGATAACGCATCATTTGCTATCAATCTACAGCCATGGTTCAATAATCGTGCCTTTGGGTTGAAACCAAATGACTCAAGCTTTGATGGCGACGGAAGTGTGTGGCCTCTATCTTATTATCATAGCTCATCTATTGAAAGCTGACAAGAGCTGTTGCCTTATAGACTCATACCCAGCGACGCAAATTCCACCTGAGAAGTTCACGTATGGTGGATTCAACTATCAATTCTCCGCGTACAATGCCACCGGCTTTGATAACATACTCGTCAAAGGGCAAACCGTCGAGGTGCCTCGAGGAAAGTATTTCAGTTACCAAATGCTAGCAGCTTCGGAGTCTGGAATGGCTTCAGGCTCAGTTACAGCCAAATACGCTGATGGCAGCTCCACAAATGGGCCACTCCTGGTTCCCGCTTGGTGGAGTTGGCCATACCCTGCTGGAGGTGACTTGGTATTCTCTTGCTACCTGACCGACAACAACACCAATTATAATAGATCCAACATCTTCCAGACAATCAATTGGTTAGATTCGTCCAAGGAGCTTGTTTCACTGACATTTCCGAACAGCTCAGCTGGGTCGTCGACATCGCCTGGAGGAGCATCGGTTAACACAAAACTGCATGTTTTTGCTCTTTCAATGCTGCCGGTGACAAATTCCGATCATGGATCAGCGAGACTAGAGATACAGTATGCTCGCTCCACACAGAAATGGATGGAGGGAACCGACAAGGTTCAAATCATTGAAGCTATCATCAATAACGTGGGCTCCGAGATTATTCTCCGCAATAATGCAGTGCAAGTCCATGTTGAGTCCCCGGGCCTGGAAACTGTGACTGAGGGTATCATTAAACGACTTGGACCTGGAGATCAGGCAATCGTGGAGATTGGCGTTCGAACCCGCAAAGAAGTGAAACCAGGAGATTCTGGCCCGGCAACGGTAGTTATCAAAGGCCAAAAAGTCACATCCTCGGAATATAAGTTTACTGCGACCTATGGGATCAGCAAATACGAAGCTACCTATGAGTCTATCTACGGTCATGAAGCACCGAACTGGTATAACAATGCCAAGTACGGTATTTTTATTCACTGGGGAGTATACTCAGTACCTGGATGGGGAAATGTGGGTCCCAAAGAGAGCTATGCTGAATGGTAAGCTTCCCCAAAATCTCATTATTGATACACTGCTAATGAGACCTTAGGTACTGGTGGTGGATGAACGAGGGACCCAGCAACCCAACGGATGTGTATGATTACCATCTTAAGACGTATGGCAAGGATCTTGTCTATGATGATTTTATCCAGAACTTCACTGCCAGTGCATGGGATCCAAAGGAGTGGGTGGACTTGTTTGCAGATGCCGGCGCCAACTACTTCGTTCAGGTCAGCAAGCATCATGAAGGGTATGCCCTTTTTGACCTCCCAGAAAACGTGACGAAGAGAACTTCGGTTGCATTGACTCCACACCGTAATCTTGTCAAGGTCAGTGAACACCTCTATAATGGTCTTTACTCAGGCAATTGACGAAAATTTCCTCTCTAGGAATTATTCGATGCCTCGAAGAAGTATCAGCCACACCTGCACCGCGCCGTCTACTACTCGTTGCCAGAATGGTTTCACCCTGATTATAAGAAATACGGATTCTCATCATGGCCTGGAGGTATGATTAAAAGATCAGCTTTCACATGAAATGTGTACTTACTGCGACTCAAGGCAATGCGACCAACCCTTTCACCAACGAGACTTTACCTTACACTGGCTATGTTCCTCTGAACGACTATGTCACCGATAAGATTGTACCGGAAATGAATACCCTGGCCGATATGGGTACAGAGATTATGTGGTGTGACATTGGAGGTCCCAATCGTACAACCGAATTTGCGAGCGCATGGTTTAATCGAGCCGCAGAGCAGAATCAACAAGTGGTCATGAATGCCCGCTGCGGTCTTCCTGGCGATTTTGACACTCCCGAATATGCCCGTTACAACGGTGTCCAGGTCCGCAAGTGGGAGAGTAACCTGGGAATGGATCCTTTTAGCTACGGCTATAACCGAGCTACCCCCCTGGCCAGCTACATGAATGCCAGTACTATCGTCACCAGTTTAATTGATATCATCAGCAAAAACGGCAACTTCCTGCTGGATGTTGGACCTACTGCCAACGGAACGATTGTCGACATCGAGCAACAACATCTTCGCCAGGCTGGTGCTTGGATCAAGAGCCACGCAGAGGCTATTTATAACACAACGTACTGGTTTGTGACACCGGAAGAAGGGGACAATATTCGATTCACCATTTCGCAGAATGCTTTCTACATTCATTCCCTCGTGAAGCCGAACAGCACCTTGACTTTGTCTAGTCCGATTCCATGGGTGCATGGTGATCGAGTTACAGTCGTCGGAGGTAAGAAGGATGGCACCGTCGTACCTGCTCAGAAATTGAGCAACGGCTCCATCGCGTTATCCGTAAGCAAGGAGGTTTCTGCCGGAGATCAATATGCTTGGGTGTTCAAGATTCCATATTGATGAAAGCACTTTGAGGTAGGGGGCCTTTTAAGATGCTACTTCAACCATTTATCAAGTATACTCAAAATATACGACAGATGAGCACACAGTGACTCAAGTGCGATTACTTTTCCAAAGTAGGTTATGGTTAGAGTGCCAGGTCGGGAAGCGATCGGCCCATGGAGTCCCTAAGCGTAGAAAGCTATTTCTTCGACAGATCAATACGGGTCCAAGCACACTGCATGATAAGAAAATGATATTTTTAGGCCTTTCGAAAGCCGGTGAGGTGAGTGTGCAGCCCGGTTGTTGATTGCACGCGCGGTTAGTGGAGGTTACATAGCGCAGAGGAGGCGGCGACCTCGGGGTGGAAAGCAGGCCCAAGAGCCATACCTATTGGATGCTTGTCCACTTAAAATAATGAGATCAATATATTTCGCCTAAAGCTATATAATACAACAAACTAACGAAGCCATCGGTCTCGTACGACGATTAGTAAACCAATTTAGATCACTTGAAGCTCCTTCAGGCGAAGTGTCTCCTCTTCCGCTTTCTTTAGATACCCAGTTTTGAGGAAATTGCTCAGCAAGGGAGTGTAGTCAAAAAGCATGTCACGAAGATTGGCAAAGGGTCGAGGAACAGAATGGAACATCCTGCCCAGGAACCGTGCAAATTCCATATTGTGATTCACGTAGTTGACTCGTTCATCCTCGTAGAGCTTGAACCCGGCGTTGACTGCACGCAGGTCACGTAGATCGACCCCTTCCAGAGCTCGGGCAAGAAAGTAACCATCCTCAATTGCCATTCCCATACCATATGCTGCATAGGGTGATACCGGGTGCACGGCATCGCCGACACACACAACCCGGCCAGTAGACCATTTCTTCATCGATGGTCGATTGAAGATCTCCCATCGATAAACTTGTGTTTCGAAGTCCGTGGCTTCTAGGAAACGAGGCATCGGCTGTTGCCAATCCTTGAGGATCGCGGTGAGGTGTGCTTTGGGATCTTCTGGGACAGGTTTTCCATCCCACGATGGCTCAACCACCCACCACTCGAATCCAGGCTTGCCGTCGTGAAGCATTGGGAAAAAGCTGGCCTGGTGCTGGGAGTCGTGCGAGATAACACCGTAGTTTGGGGGAATCCCGGGGATATGATCGCACCAGGCAAGCCAAAGCCGGATACCAGTGTGGAATAGTTTGGGGTCACCGAACGCTTGTTGAGACACCTTTGAGCGGATTCCATCTGCACCGACGACGATATCAGCCGTGACCCGATGGCCATTGCTGAAGGAGAGTTCAAGGCCATCTTCATGCTCGACATAGGAAGTAAACTCATGGTCTGCATGAATGACACCCTCAGGTACAAGATCCAGCATCTTTTTGAAAATCGAAGAGCGGAGTACGCCGTAGTGCCATCCTTTAATGCCCATGCGTCTCTCAACCTCTGCGTTGAAGGGTAACTTGACACGTTCTGCGCCTGACTTATTCTTGAAATAGGTTACTGTGTAGGAGCCAACATTTTCCAAGTCCAAGCCGTAGGAACGAAGAATAGCTAAGACAGGAGTCGATAGTAAGACTGCGCCTCCGATGGCTTTGCATTCTGGCTGTCGCTCAAAGATACGCACGTCGTAGCCTCGCTTGATGAAAGCTAGGCCTGTTGAGATTGAGCCAGGCCCTCCTCCAACGATGGCAATTCGCTTCCCAGGACGCCATCCTGAAGTTGCCATTGCGAGAAGGATTAGATCAGCAAAAATTTTATAATCTCGAAGAGATAGGCGAGGGAAAGTAGGAAAGATGATATTGGAATACACTACAGATGTATGGAGAGCCGAGCTTATATATCAGAAACTGTAGGCAAGGTCATCACGGGCATAATACACCACACAGATCTGACACTACACGGTTTATTTGAGGAGCTCTTGCTTATGCAGCTCATCTCGAGGGAGCATAGCCAACAATTCATTTAGCTTCCCCCGAGTCCCGATGTTGTCCACATCCCGGTCCAATAAAAGCGCACACTCGTCTTGGCTTTTGGGCCCTTAGGCCGATTAAAGACAGAAAAGGTTCCACGAAATACCCTTGATCCCCCAGACGATTGAGCACCTCGGAGGTGTAGATTTTTCACCCCGTGAGAAGTACGGTGATAGAAACTACCTAATGCTTACTTATTTTTAGCCACTAAGTTGACCACAAGTTTTGCTGAGTGTTGCAGAATTCTATATTGTTCCATTGAAAATCGATCAATCGACAATATCACCAAACGAGTCATTTTACCTGCGGGCTAGTTTCAGCACAATCTTTTCTCATTCTGGTTCTCAGTATAGCACAGACGATGATGCCTCCCAACCAGATTAAGTTCTGCGGATGAACTAATAGCGCTACTTGTGGCTCTTATTTGCTAAGTGAACAAGCAAGTCTACTGATAAATCTAGAAGCACATTTCATGTTTCATGGCTTGATCTAGCTTGCAAAATGAGTCTGTTGATTTCTAGGATGAAGCAATAATATTTTTCGGAAATAACCCTAGCGTTATGAGTATTAGTCGACCAGCCCCCGTGTCGCTAATCAAGCCGGCGGGATCTGCTGCTCATCGAGCGGCCACTTAGAGATAACAGTCTCATCACCGGTCAATGTGAAGGCCAGAACTGCCGAGCGCTCATTGTTCAAAGCCAACTCATACTTGCCCGGATAGACAACCCGGTTGCCTAGCGAGTCCGTGCGAGCGACATTGTCAAGAGAGATGGGGATTGTCATCGTTTGGGAGGCATGTGGCTTGATGGAACCGAGACGGTCGAAGCCCACCAGCCACTTATTGGGATATGGTTGAGGGCCGGCATTTGTGTTAGCAAACAGCATTGCCGTGTAGTCCGAAACGACATCCCCAGTGTTAGTGACGCTGACAGTGAAGTTGAGGAACGGAAGCTGCTCGATCACATTGTACCCATCGTGAGATCGGGTCAGAAGGTCGACAATGTCAAAGGAGTTCCCACTTCCTTTGGCTTGAGACAGCGATGTCTTGAAAGTGGTATAGAAGAGACCATGCCCAAACTCATAGACTGGGGTTCCTGTATACCACATGTACGTCTGTCCTGGGTTGCTGCCGCTAGGTCGCATTGTCATATCTATGGCAGGGAACTGCAGCGCATACTCAGCTGGATATTGCGTGGTTGTCAAGCGACCCGCAGGAGCACGCTTTCCAGTGATGATATCCAAAAGCGCCTGTCCACCAGATTGACCGGGATAGCCGCCCCAAATGAGCGCGTTGACGTTCTTGTTGGTCTTCAGTGAGGACGAGTCAACCTGGCCACCACCCATCTGAAGCACGACTACCGGCTTTCCGAGACCACTCAGCTCTTTGATGAGCTGAAGCTGATTACCCGGCCATGCAATGTTCTCTCTGTCCATTCCCTCCGCCTCGATTGTGTTGTCAATTCCACCAGCGAAAATGATCACATCGGATTTCTTGGCTGCAGAGACTGCATCAGCAAACCCATCGGTCGAGGTGGAGGAAATGTTTGTGCCAAGCGCGTAGGTAACGTCCAACTTTGAGGCCTTGAGTGCATCCAAGGGACTGGTGAGATACGGAGCGGCTCCGAAATAGTTGCCCTGCATCTGTTTGGTGGCATTAGCCCAGGGGCCGATCAAGGCCACGCTGTTGATTTTCTTGGAAAGAGGCAGAGTGCCGTCGTTCTTGAGAAGGACAATACCCTCCACCGCGGCTTCGTACGAGATATTCCATGCATCGGTAGCAACGACATCGGACCACGTGAGGTCGCGATATTGGCTATTGTTACCATCAAAGTATCCGAGACTGGCGAGGTTGGAGTAAAGTCTGATAACACCACGCTCAATCTCACTGCGAGAGATCTCGGCCTGGAAGAAGGACTCATTCAAGTGACGCTGGTAGGACGTTCCACAATCAATGTCCGTGCCAGCACGCATTGAATCGGCCGCAGCGCTCGAAATGTTTGCCGCATACTCATGGGGGTTGAAGACATTGTAGACAGCATCGCAGTCAGACGAGACATATCCGTCCTCGACGAAATCCCAGGTATCACGAAGCAAAGTTTGGAGGAGGAAGGTATTGGCAGAGCTGGGAACGCCGTTGACAGAATTGTACGAGGACATCACACTGTGTACTCGGGCATCTCGGACCGCCGTCCTGAATTGAGGTGTGAAATACTCGGCCAGATCTTGCTGAGTGATGCTCATGTCATTCCCAAGACGGGAATGGTTGCCCCAATTTTCAATGTCGTAGCCAGCATAGTGCTTCGCGGTAGCCACAATTTTGAGGTGCTCTGGGTCGACGCCGCCCTGAATACCGGTGATATACTCGTATGCGTACGCCGAGCACAGGCAGTAGGCATCTTCACCTGGTGTCTCTTGGCCACGACCCCACACCGGGTGGCGGAAAGAATTGATGTTGGGTGCATAGACGTCAAGACCAAATCGCCCAGTGTTGCTGAATGCTCTTGCCTGAGTGGAGATGATGCCACCAATCTGATTGATCAATGTGCGATTCAGGGCCGCCATGGAGAGAATTGGAGATGGGAAGGATGTTGCCCAGCTATATTCGCCGAATGTGGTGAAGTTTCCTCGATCCAATCCATGGAGGGCCTCAACCCATACATTGTAGGCAGGAAGTCCGAGTCGTGGGATAGCAGGGATGTTGTTTCCAGTGCTGTTCACGAGCTCCTCGAATGTAAACAACGAAACCAGCGCGGCCGCGCGATCGTGAGGGCGAGCGGACGTGTCGCACACCAAAGTGTTGCTCAGGGGTCCCGTGGTGCAATCGGGGAAACCGTAGTTGACCCTTCCGAGGGTTTGAGCATCTAGGCTTGGTTGGGGTTCTGTTGAATAGTCGATATAACTGGTATTTGCCTGGGCCAAAGTAGTTGGCACCAGCGCCGCCAATGCAGCGAGCAATGCTGTCGTAGCAGGCATTCTCAATGAAAGAGGCTATTCGCAGCCAGCAGAAGCTTGTACCTCCCTCAAATCCTTGCACTGTCGCTACCTTTTTATACGTACATAAATTATCCAAAATTTCCCCGTTTACCCCCTCCTCTCTCATCGCTCATTGCCCTTGCCTGCAGGCGCGTCTCGGCTGTAGGAAGCTTAAGACCAGGTTATGCAGCAGCTTTTTCTCCACATCAACCCCAACACGGCAGGTCCCGCAGTCGATCTCAATCCTTTGCCGGCCAACTTGCGGGGGTTGTCCGGCGTGGGGGCATGATTTGTTGCAAAAGAACGAGGCCATTTAGCCTGAAGAAAGGCCATGATGACGACAATCTGCATGCTTCCGCGATGCTTTTCCACTCGGAAAAATATCGGCCGCAAATCCGGCGAAGTCGCAATTTCGAGAACCTTGCATCACGATTGCAGGGTCAGCATGCACGACAAATCAGGAAATTACATTCAAGAATTGACTTTGCCCAGTGGGCCATATTCAGGCTGAACTTGCAGAACGCCTCTCCCGGACCTCCCATGGCTTGACCTTTCGTACTGCCCCACGGACAATCACTTACAGGCCTGGTGTTAAGAAACCAGAATGTTAGGCTAATCATATGATAAATAATGTATTTGAAAGTAATTTTTCCGAAAAGTCTCCAATACGCGGAACTCACTGAGATATTGTCTGTTCCACATCGCAAAATTTGCCGTTACGAGATTATTATTGGATTACTACTCTAGGCTGGGAAAGTCGGCAACTCAACCGACCTATGTGCTTATTATGGACGTTGGAGCAGATGGAAACTTTGACTACAATTTGAACATTTTTCTGGCTATTGTTGAGATCTTATCAGGCAAACTATAGTTATGCGGTCATTTCGCAACAACTTATCTTCAGGCATGATTCAAGGCACTTCCCAAGGTCGAGCTGATCAGTTCCTCTACTGATCGGATGTCTATTGATGGAAAGCTAACTATATTTTGTTCTCTAGAAGATTAAACAAACACAAAACGCTGAAACTCAAACAATCATTACGTAGACCGCAAAAAAGATCAAACCAGAGACCACAGCTGTTAGGATCGCGGCGCCAACTCTATCCGCAGTCGTTAGGGTAGAGAACAAAATTTGGCTCTCCGTTTCATCAGACTCGGTCCCAGCAGCACTGTTACCCTCACTGGATCCGCCCGTGGTCGACGTGACGGGAGCACTAATATCTGTAGCGAGAAGTCCATGAAGAACCTCTAGAACGCCCATCTGCTGGCCCACTCCAGTGGTACCATCATAACTCCCACTAGACCATTTATGTCCACAATAGGTACCCGAAGATCCTCCCTGACACTGGCTGACAGCAGCCGTTGCAGTAGCACGAACCTTCGCAATAACAGTGTCATATGTATAAGGGGCTAGCTGCATGACATCGGCTAACCAGCGAGACAAATATGCTTTGAAGGATAATTGATCGGTGTCGCAGCTACCCGTCGACTCACAGGGAGGCTCCACCATTACGTTGGAGCTAGACTCGTCCGTCGAGTAAAAATGGTTAGCGGAGGTGAGCAGCCCATCAATTCGGTTTTTCCACACAGTGGAAGAATTGGAAGATGAGTTTGAGGAAAGAGATGAAGTCTATGAAGAATAAGTCAGTCTCTTGGGCATTTTCCTGCAAGTATTAGTCCACTTACGTAGTTGTACATCACGGCAGCTCCATGAAGGTAGATGCCAGCGGTATAAGACCATCGAGTCCGGTCATATGAAGAACAATTCGAGTCAACAGTAGTACCATCGTAGATCTGATAGTCTGCAGTGATTAAGCCGTTACTCTTGGACCAATTCCAGACTTTGTTGGCCCACTCGGCGTATGTCGCATTGCCCGTATATCGCGCCAGTCGAGCGGCAAGGTCGAAGAAGCAGCCATTTGAAATTGTGTTCTTGTAACCGTACCCAGCATTCCAAGTGTAAATTTGCCAACGCAAGCCACCATCACAGCTGGTCTTATCCCATCGATGGGCCTGCTCGTTAAAGACTGCTTGCACCATTGCTAACCACCCTGGTTTAGAAGAGGACGGATTCGTGAAGTTTCGCTCAGCAGCCATCATAGCTGACATGGCCCAAAATGATTGATCATCGTTACCCTCAGTGTAAGTCTGATTTAAGGGCATAAAATCGCCTTTGTCCCCGGCCTGATGTTCCATCGCCTGAAGGGTGATCTTGTTGTACGTGGAATCTCCAGTAAAAGCCCAATAATTGATCAACGCTCCGAAGAAAGCTCCTGCTTCCCACCAGTAGTATGGGTCTGGCAAATTTCCAGGAACATCTCCAGTGTTATTGCCGGTATAGAAGGTGACTAGGTCGTAAGCCACCGTACTCGCTGCGGATTTTATTGAATCTATCGTCACACGTTAGGCAAGAAGCACCAAAATACCCTTACGTTTCATGATAGAACATGCTGACCAGAGCTACTTAGATCAAGTGATATGCCTGCTGCTGTGGCATGAGTTGTAAGGCTTGATAGCCCTAATGAAAGCAAAAGCCATTGTCTTACGCCCAGCCATCGGCGTGTCATGGGTGTCGTATGGTTGAGGACTGCTGATCAAAACGAGGAATTGAGAACAAAAAGAAAGCTATGAAGTCAAATATAAAATCTTCTCAGCCACAGATGACAATTCTAACGAGTGCCTCAAGTAAGAGAGTTGTAGGGATACAGAGTGGTTCTGCACAGGTTGAACGGGTTGACGGGGGGTGTCGGTAGTAATAATAGCATAAATTTGGTTCCGCCAATTCCTTGAAGTGCCCACATTTAACATAATGAGACCTATTCCAAGATCCATCATGTACCTTGGCGCCGATGGAGTGAAAGACAGAGAGCGAGTTCTGGCGGTTCCGTCCCAAAGCACCCAGATGCCTTTGAGGTCATTCTGCATTCTGGTTGGTTACTGTCTCCCATAGCCACTGCCGAGACACCATTCAAACGATCATGACCCCCTGAAACGAGCCCAGGCTTATACCTTGGAGCCTGTTGCAGCGAAGAATTGGGAACAGCTTCGACTTGGCCCTGTCTTGGCAGGGAGCGGCGGATGCTCTGGACGCGTATGTTTAGCGCTAGCCCCGCTGGCCGCGTCTATGCCAAGTCTGTAGACCAGAAGACTGCCAAGCAATAATGAACTGTCCGCCAGAACATACGGGGGTTCTTCAATTCCTGGGCGAGCGTGATATTTTTCCTCCGTATTAGGATCATAGACGAGCAGCCGGGCAATGCCGGCCGATTGATTCACTTGGCGAGCCAAGTGGAGGTCAATCAATGCTATTTTTGATCTCAAATTTCCACAGCCCAAGATAGTTGCTCAGAAGGCGGAAGCTGGGGGATACATAATCAGAATATTTCACAGAGTGTAGATGCGTGACTAGGAAAATCCTGGCGACTCGCAATTTGGGATCTTCGTTCAACTATACCGTATGTTGAACAGGTGAAAGCGCCCATAGTTTCGATGCCCACAGCTGAAGGCAAAATTGCCATCTATTTTAAATGAAAAATTCGTTCGCCATTGCTTTCACATAGGTAGAAAGGAGGAGGATTTCAATGATCTGCCCCTCGCCTACTCGTTAATTAGGCGTAGTCCGAAGGGCGGCATTGATCCGAAAATGATGCCTTATCTACGCCTGAATTTCAAGGCAGAGATTCTAATGTCAATGCGGTCATTGGCCCACGAGTCGGTCGGCCAGTTCGTTCCCCGCAATCGCAGTCCGCATTCCGCAATTCGATTCGGGCAGCTGGTAGTTCTCAGTACCCTTCTTCACTTTCCTCAATCTTCTGAGGTAGTGCGCCAGGGACTATGGACTTCAGTCCGCCCAACGCCCAGCCGTCGCCGAGCGCGACCTCCTCTGGGCGCGCTCCGTCATCGGCACGGGGACCCCTCGCCGGAGGCCGTCAGATCACCCGAAATCGTGCGAGTTACAGTTGCCACACTTGTCGTCGGCGCAAAGTGAAATGCGATAAGGTAACCCAACTGGGACCATTAGCAACCTAAGTGGTAGTCTGACTGACGGTTTTCTTGACATAGGTTCACCCAATATGCAGCAACTGCGCAAAGACCGGCGCCGAGTGCATATACGATGCATCGGCATCGTCGCAAAACACGGAAAGTGCGCGAGAGGGGTCCATGCGACCTGGATATGGTTTGAAGCGTAGGAGGGAAATGCCGCAAACGCTAGAGGAAGATGTGGACGAATTGCAATCGATGTATGGCCACCTCAGAGACGAAGGTTCACCAAGCGATCAAAAGGGGAACCCTCGCGCCATTGAGGCTCGACTCGACAAACTTATGTCCATGATTGAACGGCTCGGTGGTAATCCTCATGCACTCGAGGAAGCAGAGCGACAGGGCGTGACTCCCCTTAGAGGCATGGAGTCTGCCCTGCTAGAACAATTGCGACAAAGCAGTGGCACTCGAAATGGACCGTCGGTTTCTTCTCGACGATCAAGTCCACGTGCAGCAGCAGAATCGAGTGGCGATGAATTTCCTATCCCGTCGGGTCAAGCAACCGACCTCGTTGATCCAGTTGGCAGCCTCAATTTGGGACATTTGAGTTTGGAGGATGGTGGAAGATCCAGGTGAGTGGAATGAGGGCTAAAGGTTTGGAGGAACACCGTACCTAACAGCGTCAGATACGTGGGAACAACATACTGGGCCTATATTTCCCACGAGGTATGTTTGATATCCCTCCAGATATATCTTGGAGGAGGCTCTAATTCAGATTCTAGATAAATGATCTTAATCAGTTACTGAGAGATCAAAATCGGTCGCACGATGTATCATCAGAGAATGCGAATGATGATTCCAACAACCCTGTGACCGGCTCGCGGAAAGCCTGGAAAGAGACGATTGATAGCTCTGCATATTCTGCGATATCTCAATCTCGAGGTGGATCTTTCCAGCGATCCATCATCTTCCCATCCGGTGATTCTCCGTCGGTCAATGAACAGACTGTTGAGCCTGAGATGCTTGAGCATGTTCCCACACGGCGCCAGAGCCACCTTCTATATAAAGGCTTCATGTCAGGCGTCCACGCCATCAGCCCTGTCCTTCATCCTCCCACTATCCTGAAACTCTACAATGCCTTTTGGGACTGGTATGACTACACCAGTTATTCTGGAGAATCATGTCCGAATCCTTCATTCATACCCTTGCTGTATGCTATCTGGTATGGTGGTTCTGTGACTATCTCCATCAGAACCATCAAAGCCGAGTTCAATGCGCCTTCGCGTGTTTCACTCTCTGCAATGTACAGCGAGGAGGTGACTCGCTGGTTAACGAAGATCTCATTTCCTCGCAGTCCCTCCCTTCAGGGACTAGCAGCCTATCTCATAGTGCAGACTATATTGTCAAAAGAAGAAGAGCCTTTGACAAGCAGTCTGTTTGTCAGCCTGGCCATGAGAGTGGCCCAAACGATGGGTCTACACCGCGATCCAGCCAACTTTGGCATCGAACCGTGCGAGGCAGAGTATCGACGACGACTCTGGTGGCATATAATGCACATGGATGGTGTTGTTGCCATGTCGAGCGGCCTTCCCCCACTCGTGAGCGACGAAAATTACTGGGACGTGCGGGAGACTAGTGAGATCAAGGATACCTTGCTGGGCACACCAACAGCGGAACAATATGAAAAACTGCTTGCCACCACGCAAAGGTTACCCGATAACCCTGACGATCCGTCCGTGTGTGGCGGCCCATCCATGGTGAATGTCTTCTATATGACTGCCAGGGGGAAATACACAATGGCTCGTGAGTGTGTCACCGGGAAATTGAAGCTCCATTGATCACTGACAAGTTATCAGGTGCTGTTCGTCAGATTTTAAAGATTCAGCTCGGCACCAAGCCTCTCACCCGTAGCGATATGGAGGAATTGCGAGCAATCCTTCTCGACCTACAGCTGAAACTGAACTCAATAGTGAACAGAATCCCGGAGGGCTTGCCTACTGGTAGTCCTTCAGTATCATCAGGACGGGCACTATCTATGTCCAAATCTCCTGTCGAAGCTCGTTCCACCGAAACGGAGCTTCCAGGCGAAGGACCTAACGGCTGTCCCGAACAATACCACACTGCAGTTCTTGTTTCGTTCCACAAATGGGCTCGGATTATTCTATCTTTATATATTGACAAGGTTAGTGATGTCCATTCTCTGCAGCTTGCTTTTTTTCATAGCTAAATTCTCTACACAGGCATTTTGTGTGGCATATCAGCCGTTCCTCAAAAATGCACGCAGTCGAATCTGGCCGGCGGCACGACAAAGGTAAGACCTTCACAGCATTCCTGTATAACGATGTCTAACGATCACAGTGCCCTTCGCCACTGTCACGGGTTCATGGAGAAATTTATCCAGCTTGCGACTGACCCCGACTTTCAACCTTTTCAATGGAGCTGGCCTGGGTAAGTAATAGCACATTTCGTGGAGAAAAAGAATCAGAACTGACCTATTTCCAGAAATCATCAACCCATGCATGCGACTATGTAGGTCATCTTCCTTCCAACCCCTCGCCTGCCTCTTTCTGTTGTGTTTTAGGCTCTACCCCATTCTTATAGATCCCTTCTGGTTCGATTCAGCTAACCTGTACAGGATCATGCTTATTGACCTATACGAGCGACCGTATAGCCCAGAGGCCTCACGCTCGCGTGCTTTTATCGACCGAATATTGGCTCTCTCCGGGCCCGATGGCGGCGTGGTTGGTGGCGAAGATGGCATCTCCACACAACGGCCGCTAAAGGATGGTGGCCGCGAAGCATGGGACATGATCCGTCGCCTGCGCCAAAAGGCATGGCAAAAAGCCGGTTTGAATCCACAAATGCTCTGGACCGAGCAAGATCAAATCCAGGCTGGTATAGCATCCCCAGCGGGAGAAGCTCGTGGCTCCCGTGGACCATTCTATTCAGGGACGTCATCTGTGCCTGCATCCCCTGGGACGTTAGCCACCATGCCTTCACATCAACCCGTCGCTCCTGATCGCCAACTCTCCGATTTCAACCGCATGTTCTACAACATGACTCGCTCTCACGTCCTTCCCAGCCCCGCGGTAACTTCCGCGTCCGGCAAACCAAGCCCACTGCGACACACATATCAACTGTCCCCACCAACCCGAACCTCTGCTCCCCTTCCAACTCCACAGCAAAACCCCACACCAGCAGGTGTCACTCTTCCGACTCCCGACGTTCTCCCTGCACCCGCCACCATCGCAAATTCTCCCCAGGTGGCACCATCACTTGGCTCTCCTTCCTCTCCTCAGCCTCGGACTACCCCTTCTGCAGCTCCAATCGGTCGACCAGAACAACCTCTCCCCCAATATTCCGAACTCTCCAGCCATGCCTTTCATGGATCCGGTCTCTTCTAACCTACCCCCAATGAGCGTTCCCACCCCACCATCAATGGTTGACCCTAACCTGAATTTTGACTGGGATCAATGGGATGCCGTCTTCGGACAACATCTTCCCGTCGCCGATGAACTGATGGAGTTGGATCCCGTTTCTGGGCTGGATTTTGCCAATATCGGCTTTCCTGGTACCAATACGAACGCCGACGTGCGATTTAATGGGCTACCAGCTACATCTTTGCCTGGAAATGGGAATCTACCACCAGCTTGGGCAGAGACTGGCTCTGGAAACCCTGGGGTTCCGTCCAGTGACTGGACGGGGTATTGCTGATGGGTTGAAGGCGATATACAATGCACATAGACTGGTCACATGTAATATAGCGACTGAATGAAGATAAAACAGCCATTTGGCATTTCGTGTACATTCAGCGAGGCGTTCATACTCCAAAAATCCAAGTCTACGTGCGCTAATAATACCACGATTCAGGCAGCAGTGAAGATACATCTACGCCGTTTGAATACAAGACATTTGGAAGTGAAATATATTTTGGAGATAAAAACGTAACGGTTTATTGATTCATGAGGCGTAACTCTTGACGATCAGATCGATCGGTCAATTAGGATACGAAGATGCGATGTGTAAAAAGCCAGAACAGACAATAAGGCCCGGCGGAAGGGAATGTGCGATCCCCGCGACCAAACCAGGCACGGATGTAGAGAGTTCGCGATTCTTCGTTGGTTTGTCTTTCTTCAAGTCAAGTGCATTTTGTGGTCGCCCGTTGGGATGAGACGTTTAGACCTTGACCTCGCGGAAGCCGTGCTTCCAGACGGTGGCGAAGGGAGTGACACCGTCCTCACGGAAGTCAATCAGGACGTGCCTAAGGAGAGAAGGGTTAGCATCAAAAGAAATATCGAATGCCACCAGGGGTTCCAAAGGTGTTACTCACATGGCATCACCGTCCATGGAGGAGCCCATGAGGACATCGTAGTTGTCGTAGTTGGCAATGATCTTCTTCATGGCGACGGGGGCGTTCTTCTTGAACTCATCGATGCTCTCGGCGCTGGCGCCAGTCTCCTCGAGCTTCTTGAGGACCTTCTTGAGGTAACCTAGAATGGAAAAAAAAGGGGTGTCAGACGCTTGGAACGAGACTGAAAGATGCGCCGAAAAAACATACCCTTCAGGTGAGACTTGAAGGCATCCTTGGAGGGCTTGAGACCCTCCTCGGTCTTGAGCCAGACGAGGCGGAACTGGTCCTCGATATCGTGGACCATGACAGCCTCATCATCACCACCCTCATCACCAGCCTCCTCAGCGGAGGGGTTGGCACCGGCGAGCTCGAAGTCCTCGTTCTTCTTCTTGAGGTACTTGCGGCAGTCAGTCTCCCAGAGGATGGGGCAGTCCTTGGCGGGAGTGATCTTGAAGGTGTCGGAGAGAATCTCGTCTCCGGAGATCAGGTCCTGGAGATCGACGTTAGTATTCCAGCAGTCATGTCGCAGCGCAAATTGCGGAATTTCCAAGCGAAAATATGGGCAGATATTGGATATCGGCATACCTCGTAGATGATCATGGTGGCGGTTAAGGAGTGATGGATCACAAAGGGAATTGATGAGGTTGGAGAGGGAGGGGGTGGGAAAAACAAAAAAAGGAGGGGAAAATGAAGTTTTTTTAGTGGCACCTCGTTGGTGGGGGAGTTTGCCTTGTTTGCTTCTCCAGGTCACGGGATTTGGACTGTCAGTGTCAGCTGGGCCTAGTACTAGTTGACAGCCTCGTTGTTTCATGTTGATGCTTGAACACCTACTTCTGAGGTTAGAGCCTATTTATTTGCTAAACACATGGTTTCTCCGCTGGACCCTGGTGATGTACACTATTATTCCCCTTGTGGAGTGCAAAGATGATGGGTTAATTTTCCCTCGTAGATTCGACACCCTGGCACAGGGCGGCGATCGAGATATCCACCTATCATGGATATTACCATGTCCTTGCTGAGGAGCCCTGTGTATAGGATAGATAATTATTAACAGTGAAAGAATAATGTGGTCAGCTCTGCAAAGTTCTTAAATTACTTAGATCGAGGGCATTCGTAGAATCTCGAAGGATCTATTGTTTGATCTTCAGGAAGCTTTGAAATTGAGTTTTCATCGACATGCTAATAGATGAATAGATATGGCCATTGGTAGGCATAGCTTTACGAAGTTGCTGAGCCTAACCTCAAAACTCCCAGGTAAGTGATTTGTACCTCTGGCATTGAATCATTCTTGTTGAAGCAATCGCACTCCCTGTTTGTAAACTGTGGTCTGCACCACCTTCGTCCCAGCCTCGTAAAGGATCTTGAATGAGAAGGGAATGAACGGAATAAAGTAAATCCCTCCTTCTCCCGACCTTAGTCCATGATGAAACACTTTGTCGGATCGGAATATGTATAACTTACATCAGGAGATCGAGCCGCAGTGTAACACGGAATCAAATCAACATTAGCGGGCCGCTGCTTCCTAGTTAAGCCCGTGGGAGGGCTTCCGTTCGAGGTATAGATATAGATTTCCCCCGAGACTCTCGAATTCCAAAACTATCACAAGGCGGGTGATGTCCAACCAGATAGAGACTAGCTTAAGCCAGTCCCCTTTTGCGATAGTGATCAGCATCAACGGTGGTGCTATCCACTCCGTCTCCCCATCTCAAAGGCAAGTCAGACCACTGGGAGTTGGCACACCTCATCGTTGATCAAGGCAACCAATTGTAATCATGGACATGAGATCCATTGGCTGTACTTAGGAATGTCATAAGAGCCAGCATGATTGCAACTCATAGTTGAGTAACTACTGTCCATAGATATACTCCTGTAGGATGTTGTTGATGCTCGGTACAGTAAGCGGATCATGGAACCTGTGGGTACCTCTCCATACGATGGCATTATTGGTGGGCTTGATGTACTTTTATGTACAGTACATCCTGAAGACACCCGATACGAGGCCATTACAATACCCAACGGTCAGCTCCCCCGCTATTGTCCCCCATCATCCGCGGTCCAGTGCCCAAAAATACCGTACCCGTCCCGTTCCCCAGGCCGCATCCGTCTGGCGCCACCGGCCCAAAGTCCCAAGATCCATCGGCCTGTTCGGGTCTCTCGCCCTGCGCCGTTCGCCTCCTGATCCCGCGTGGATCTTTTTTATCTTTTGCCTTACGGAACGAACATTCCCTTCCCCTCCTTTCAATTTATTCTTATTCTTATCATATGCCTTCCCTTGTGTCTTCGTCCGAGTCTCTCCCTGCAGCTTGATCGCGCTTGCTGCCAATTCCTACGGTCGTCGTCAGGCCTTGACTTCCCTTTTGTTGTCTCTCGTCCCTGAATTCTGAATTATTCAGCTGCACTCGCAACCCCCCCCCCCCCCAAAAGTCGATCCAAAATCTCCTTTGTAGTGGCTTCATTGCCTTCAAATCCGCCCAGCAGTGGCACCCACCTCTTCTAATCCACCCCATCATGGCCGTCAACGCCTCGGTCGCCTTCGATCTCCCTCCGCTGCCGACCTACACCCTGTCCGTGCGGGAACCGCTACTTCCGCCAATCCCCGATAACGTTCTTGCGCTGATATTGCCCATCGTCGCCTATTGGGGCATGTCGATGGTCTATCACTACATCGATGTCAACGGATACTTTGAGGAATACCGCCTCCATACCCCCGCCGAGGTGCTGAAACGAAACAAAGTCACCCGGTGGGAAGTAGTACGCGATGTGATCGTGCAACAGGTCATTCAAACGATTGCCGGATTTGGAATGTCCTACTTCGATGCGATGGAGACGGTGGGCCGTGAGGAGTACGATATGGCCGTGTGGGCGACGCGTCTTCGACTTCTCCAGAAAGCCATTCCCCCAATGTTGGCTTTCGTTGGCGTCGACGCGGCAGGCCTGGCCAAATCCATGTCCCAGAATGGACACACGATGATCGCCGGCGCGCTGGCTGGCGGCTCCTACCCCGGTGTGGTGCAGTCTCTAATCCTTGAGAGCGGAGCAGAGGTCATTGCACCCGCGTTCGCCAGCTGGGAGTTGTCAGTGGCTAGCTTCATCTACTGGTACTTTGTTCCGGCCCTTCAGTTCTTGCTTGCCATCTCCATCGTGGATACTTGGCAGTACTTTTTGCACCGGGCTATGCACTTGAATCGCTGGCTCTATGGTAAGCTGAATCAACCCCACTTATCCAGGGCCTGATTGATTACATCTCTAACACATTTGCAGTGACGTTCCACTCCCGTCACCACCGCCTCTATGTCCCGTACGCTTTCGGCGCTCTTTACAATCACCCCGTCGAGGGCTTCCTTTTGGACACTGCCGGTACAGGCATCGGCTTCCTGGTTTCTGGTATGACCAATCGCCAGGCCATGTGGTTCTTCACCTGCTCCACCATCAAGACTGTCGATGACCACTGTGGATATGCCTTCCCCTGGGATCCCCTACAGCATTTCACCTCCAACAACGCTGCCTATCACGATATTCATCATCAAAGCTGGGGTATCAAGAATAACTTCTCCCAGCCCTTCTTCATCTTCTGGGATCGTCTCCTCAACACACAGTGGAAGGGCGAGGTTCAGCTCCGTTATGAGCGGGCTCGGGAGAGCGCCCAAAAGCAAGTGGACATGGACGCTGCCCAAGCCAAAGCTACAGCGCCGGCTGTGCCTGCTATCGAAGAGCGTGAACATGAGCGAGTCGTGGTCTCGCCCGAGGGCCCAGCAACCCGGACCCGCCTTCGACGAAAGACCGTCGACAGCCTCAAGGGCCCAAGTCACGCTGTTCCTAACAGCGTTCTTCACAACTGAGTTGATCCTGTGATGAGTTTTTGAATACGTGCCAACTGTCTCTGCATTGCATTACCTCGTCAGTCTCCCGGAGTTGCGGGCCAACTCCCTGGGGCTGCTGTGGGATTTTCTTTCTTGCTTCTTGTAAATGGGATTTTGGGTCCCGTGTATTAATAATTTGAGAATGTGCCAGTCTTTCTTTTTCTGTACATGGTACTCTCTACGACTTTCTCGCAGGTTACTGTCAATAATGTCTATCTCTTTCTTTACTGCACATTGATGCTTATTGGGTCACATAGTATCATAAACATAATACTTAAATTAACGATGCTGTTCATATCAGGAGTAGGGAACGGGTCAAACCAGACCACCGAGCAAATCAAGAACACCGTTGGCCTTTTTCAAATGAAATTGTGGTGTCCACAAACTAAACTCCGAGTCGTGTCCGTCGCAACCGGGTCCCTGCGTGTCGAAACATTCGAGCCCAAGTCTTCACACTCATCATCCGTCCAATCGCTGACAGAACCAGAGGCCATAGCATTCTCTTTCTCGACAGAGTCATCACTCACTGTCGGCCGAAATAAAGCCAAGCTAGACTCAGAGTACCGTCTAGCCTTTTGAACCCCCAACGCATCAACCATGGCCTCTGGAACCGGCGTAGCTCGAGAATAAGGATTATCCCCCGCGAGTTTCTGATACATGGTGACTTTCTCAGACTTCTTTGCCAGATTCCTCCATTTGATCTCGCGAAAGATTACCTTGGAACCCAGGTGATCTGGTTGTCGAACGGCGCGCTTGAAACACGGGGATTCTGGACTCGGAGCTTCTGATCGTCGACGGCGATTATCGTCACAATCATCCCATGAGTCACTTGATGATTGCGATCCACCGCTGTCTTGGAGGTGGTACATAGTGAGGGGATACGGTATTAAAGAGGGTTCAATGACAAGATTCTCCTTCGAAGCAGTCGTGGAAGCGAAACTCGGATCTCGATGCCTTCTGGCATGATCTGCAATGGTCAGCTCAGTGCTGGTTTCTTCTCAGTGCGATCGGTACGGGATCGAACTACCTGTTCTTCTGGAATGGCGATGATGCTTACGCCTAGATGGTCTTTCGGGATCATCTTCTCGATCACGCATATACGCCTTGACGCAGGCTTTGCGAGCGCGCTTCATGCCGAACGCGAGTTGACTAGCCGTGCTGTGCATTTCCTCCGCTTCGGCCGAGTCAAACCGGTTGATACAATGATCGACGAAGAGATTCAGTTCTCGCGGACGATGGTTCTTGCAGGTCCGTGTGCGGCTTTGGATGACGATACGCAAGTTGCGGAGGGCGTCTTTGTCGGAGGCGATCCGAGCTAGTATACAGGCTGCGCATCCGTTGATCTGGTATGGCCATGCTTTTGGGGCAACGGGGCCATCGGGGCTTGGATTGGTCCATAGTCCTTTCAGCGCCCGAAGACGATGAAGAGTCTCCGCCTCCATTGCCTCGATGAGTTCTGGGTACGCGTCCAGTTGGCGGAAATGAGATGTGACCTCACGTTTGATCAGGCGGAGAATATCATCAACCAGATAATGGTTCAAAGACCGGTGGAGGTCACAGAGGTCTCTGGATGAGCTTTCCCCTCCACGGCTGTTGGCTTTCTTCTTCAGATCTTTGGGAAGACCCTTTATCAACTCCTGGATCTGGTATTCGAGTGATAATCCTCCGTAGGCGGTATTGTCTAAGTGAAGAACCTCTGTCAGCATTTTCATTTCGGATTTAGTTATCTCGGTGCTTGGTCGAGGGTAGGTCTCACGAGTGGAGGAATGAGCATGCCCATCACGAGATGATCGGCTGGCCTTGGAGGCCTTTTTGATTCGCTGCCGCCAGCCTGCCACCACATTTTTCAATAAATTTGAGGTTTTTGTATGTAGACGGGAAATAACAGTGGATGGTAGGTGAGGGGAATGGATGAGATAGTAGTCTAAAGTGTGTGGAAGGCTAGGAATATGGCGACAACACTCCTTTATACGCTTTGCCAGGGAAATAAATGGCTTGCATCCATCCGTTTGAGAGTTCGTCGTTTTTCTGATCTCCCAAAGACCAGCATGATCTGCTGTTATTTTCTTTTCAAAGAATGTCAAGGGTACACTGTTTCGAGTCTTGGGTTGTGGTGGATACCGTAGGTGCCCCATCCTTTGTCTAAGTTGTCTGGGTTGTCAGAGTGACTAATTCAGGGCGCCACCATAGAGTCTCTTTGTTCGCTTGGAGAAGCCTTCAAGTGTTACGTTATGGGATGAGATATCATATACGCCTGTGGAACAATGTCTTTCACGAGGGGTTCATTCACCCGGCATATCCCATAACTCCCTTTATAAAGATGATGCCTATTGAATGTTGATATTCTACGTCTTCACCTAAGCTCTACACCTGAGCTTGTGCACTATGGCTTTCTTCGGTGAGTGTTGGAAGAGGCTCGCCTATTTACTTTTGCCAGATGGTATCCAGCCTTCCTACCTTGGTCTCTTCATAGATCTCTGCTTGGCAATGATCAGCGACATTACGACTAACATTTTACATAATTGTAGATTGATCCTCGCGGATGCCGTCAGAACCCTCATCGTGAGTCTCGTCAGGGAGCTCTTCATGAAAGCACTCATTAGCTTGCTCCAGGACATTGGCGAACTGGTAGCCAGTGACCCGCTTGACATTATCTCGAATTCCATTTTGGACACTATTTGGGAGATTGGTCTAGGTGTGGTCAGTATTTTCCGCCGTCTCATTCGGATTACCATGGCCGTTCTTCTCCTTGCTGTGCTCTGTTCCATGGATTTCGCTGTGGGATCTCTGCGTATCAGCATGTGCCTCATGGACCTTTGCTTTGATATTATCGAAGTACCACTAGAGCGTATTTGGAATGTGAGCCCTCGCGTCTGCCCAATTCTACATGCTACTTTTGTTTCTCTGTTAATTCTACTTGTATCCTGATAGTATTTCTTGAAGAGGTCATACAATCACATAGAACGAACGACTGTTGAAATAGACAATGCGAGAACACAATTCCCTTCTTCGGAGTCCTAGAAGTAAGCTCCATATCTATAACTATAGATCAAGCTGAATTCGGCCAATTCCCCGTGACACGCAGCTTAGCATTGCAGTATCCTTTTCATTCTCCAGTAAACCTGTCCCCCGATGCTCCACGCGCCCACTGCGTACACCCACTCGACAGGTCCCACAATTACCAGCCTCGCATGTAGATGGAATATCGAATCCTGCAGATCGAAGCGTATCCAACAGACTGTCTCCGGCTGCTACCTCCATTTCCTTGTTAGACTCGACCAGTTCCACCGTGAACGGATCACCCGTGCTATTGACCTGGAATGACTCAAAGTGTAGATTCTCGTTTGGTAAACCGAGCTCGGCTGCTGTGTCACATACAGCCTTCATCAACCGTTCTCCAGAGCAGCAGTAAATGTGGGCGTTACTGTCAGCTTGTTGGAGAACGACTGATACATCGAAGGGTGACCCCTCCTTTTGCAATAAATCGTAACGTTGGAACCTAATGACTTGATTTGGGGTTCAAAGGCCACCTCATCCAGCGATCGAACCACGTAGTGAAGATGATAGTCTTGGTTCGTTTGCTGCAGTCTTTGAGCCGATGCAAGCAAACCAGTGATTCCTATACCACCGGCGATGAGAATATGGCAGTCGACCTTTTCAGCCAAAGGGAATGTCGCTGCAAGATTGCTAATTGTAATCGTGTCACCTTCTTGTAGGGTCTCATGTAAGAATAGAGAGCCGCCACGAGTCGACTGTCGATCGAGAGCCACACCCAAGGTGAACTGGTTGCGGCTTCCTTCAACAACGGAATAAGCTCGAATCAATCGACCTCCCAGTTTCAAACGAACATGCGTTCCTGGTAGAACTGGCTCTGTCGGCTGTCTTGGATGGACAGCTGTGAATTTGAAAGAAATGACCGTTGGAGTTTCTTTGACTTTCTTGATGAGTCGGTATTCTGCCCACATATCAAGGGCCATGGCACTGTCACCCAGGAGTCGTTGCTCTTGGTTCTCAAACTTTTTTTCAATCGATTTCTGAAGATGTTTCGAATCTCACCTCCTAATGCATCGAGATCTGCCAACTCTTTCATCACGCCAGAATTTTCTTTCTCAATATAGAGATAATGCTGGACTCTGGCAACAGTCCAATGAGGGTTTGGACGTTCAAGCAGAACCAGTTCATCGCCCGCTTGAATCGACCCTCCCTTGATGATCCGATAGTACCAGCCCGTCCGGGATCGTTCTTGGCTGAACCTTGACAGATTCTTTTCTTGGAATCGATGGTTAAGCTTGTAGCATGGTTGCCGTGGTAGGCTTACTTGGGCAATCACCTCAGGGCCGATACGGATGATGTCTCCAATGCAAGTGTTGCGCTCGTTTGCTCGGCGTGCTACCAAATTCTCGCCGAATCCTCCAATACGAAAGAGGTGCGCACTCCCTGGCAGCTCCTCGCTCCAAGTATCATAATGCTGGGAGCAATACTGGAGGAGCGCTTTATCGGGGCCGCCGTGAAACTCGTACACATGTTCATCGCCGCGGCAGCCGAGCAGGTCGACTGAAACCGAGCCATATCGGACAGACTTGAAGATGGCAGACTGGACGGGTAAACCAAAGACTGGTTTCGCTTTCCCGGTGCGTACTTCCACTAGCTCATCTCGCACCCACGGTTCCTCCAGTTTGGATATAGAGTTCATCGCCATAGTCGCTGTTCAAGATTGTGTGGATATTGACAACAACCACCTCCATAGACTGGACTGGAAGGGGCTGTTGGGATTGTCAATGATTAAAGACCGTGGTCAACATGACTCAAAGTCGTCTAGCGGCGGGACTAGCCGAACTCCGATGAGGCTGTCCTGGGTTCACTCAGAAAAGTAAGTCAAATCCAACGAGTTCAGTGGGCCCAGTGAGTCAGCATGATAAGGCTGGGACCAGTGCAGGGGTCTGAGCGCGATCCGATATAGTGCTTATTCGAATCTTTAATAATAGAAAGAGTCTTGTCCTATACCATGTGTAGTGCGTTCATACTTGCGACCAAGATGCAGATCGTGTGCAGAGATGATGTCAAACCAGACGAAGAGTCCGAAGATGACGATGGATCAGGTGGACACGAGGCCATTCACAACCCCATCACATGACAGTTGCAGCTGCCCTCGGGTGCCTGCTGCGGTCGCTTTGTTAAGTCTTGAAGTCAACAGTGTTCTGTTCATTTCTACCCTGGATCCAACCGATTCTTGAAAATCCAGCTCAAGTCTATGACCCGCGAAATCTGCAGGTTCATCTCCCCAGATTCGCACAAACTGGTTGTACTTGTCCTACTGGGCGATCATGGATCCCCAGATTCGTCTCACCCGCCGGAACTCGAGCGCCACTCCGCTGCCATACACCGCGTCCCCGCTTTGTCTGCTGTGGAGCGATATCTGCCTGGTCGTTCAATATGCCTGGGCTCTTCCGGGAATCTTTCTTCCTCTTCAGTTGGGTCAAACGACTCCACTCGATGAACTAAATCTATCCTTTCAGGGCTGTTTGTCCTTGATAACACAGGCCTTGCTCACAGTCTATCAACTATTGTTCCTCCTATCTCTACCTTTAATGGTTATATGCTTGGTGCCCGCTCTCTGGATCCTATTGTATATCGTTACAGCACTCGCCTTGAACTATGTCACATGCATGTTCGTTCTCAACGGCTTTCAGCGAGTATTGGTCTCCAGCGTCCCGATAGCCGAACAACCTGACCATGCAAAAGAGCGCTGGTTCTTTATCAATGGCATAGCCAATGGGTAATACTCCCATTTTCTTCAGATATTATAGCTGCGCTAATGAATATAGTCATTACTGGGTGCAAGACAACATCGACCAACTATCTTACACATTTGGCCGAAAGATCACCGGTATACATAATCGCACGTACGTTTAGATCAACCATGGGACTTTAATACATGCGCATTAACCAGACCAACTAACCGATATTTCATATTTCAGTTCCGGCGTCCTTTTCGATCTGGTCGAATGTTTAATCCAACGTGGTTTTGCCTACGCCACTGGTGACGTACGAAGAGCCCATGTCCTCCTCAATGAAGCACTTCTCGATCCATCCGTGGAAAAGGTGGTCCTCGTGCTCCATAGTCAAGGCGGTATTGAAGGTGGCCTTGTCATCGACTGGTTATTAGATGAGCTCCCCCAACATCTTCTTCACCAACTGGAGGTTTATACTTTTGGAAATGCTGCCAACCATTTCAATAACCCTATTTGCAACTGTCGACCGTCGGGCGAAGTCGACAATTCCGACAGCCATCCACCAACGAGGCGGTCTATTGGCTATATTGAACATTATGCCAACACCGAAGATGTGGTATCCTGGCTAGGCGTGCTACAATTTGCCAACATTCCGAACCGATACCTTGGTCGTCTGTTCGTTCGGCCTGGGTCAGGCCATATGATGAACCAACATTACTTGGACAACATGTTTACTCTGGGTTCCGACAAAAGGGTGCTCGACTCTAATACCTTCATGGATATGAAAGTTGAGACAAAATCAAATATATCAATCGAGAGTAGACCGGGCCCAGGAACTCTTGACAATTCTGACGAACAAACAGAGGAGACACTGTTTCCGATTACAAAAACCGGGAGACCCTTGCGAAATGGCGTGGCCATTGACGATCTTGATCATAATACTCTACGTGTCAAAGACTTCAGCCGATTATGGAAATACAGAAATGGTGGATCCCCGGAGAGACACAAGGTGGTGTGAGAATAGGTTGCTCATGAGTACAAATATTAAGCCATTCAGTATCCTCAAAGAGGCATTGTTCATTGCGTCTTCTTCGTCATCAAATCATGATAAAGACACTTAAATACCTAGATATCCAATGCGTAGCCCACCAACGGCCTCGACCTTTGTGTATGATGAAGTCTATTAATACTCGAACAAAGCCCCGAATAATAGCCTTTGAAAAACGAGACACTTTGTCCCTTGTTCGAACAATGCCAACCTATTTTTACAATCCAGTCAAGAATAACACAAGCCAAGCCCTCGACTATAAATCCTTGATCTCATCCATACTCAACTCATCATCACCATCTATCTTTTTTCAAGCATCAAGCCAACAAGCAAAGCAACTCTCTTCTTCTAATTACCACGCAAAGCAACCAAGCTGAGTACTCCTATCTTCACAATTCGCTCCAACATTGTGTCTGTGTGTATTTGGCTAACATTAACAATGGCTTCCACCGGTTTATGCTCTGGGAGCTGCCCAACCTGGCACCCCTATCCAACTCCTCCTAATACACCTCGGCCTAACCCATATCCTTCGCCTCCACCGAGCCCTTGATCCGCTTCCAAGAGCACCAGGGTAATGAGTATTCGTTTAATTTTGTGGGTTCGCCTGAGAAGAATTATCAATGCTATGTCCGAAGTATTTTGAGTGCTCCTAATTCGAACTGTATTGATGTAGCCTGTATAGCCCCTCTAGGTATATCCAGCCAACGCGTGCTATAGAAAGTATTCTTGAATAACAATCGATCCGCCTCTGGAGTGTTAAGTTAAATCAGCTACCGGAAAGAGGCAAGTACGAGCCTAAGTCTCATATCCTGGATCATACTTTCATGTACAGATCTTGTCTTATTTTCTTAAAAGTTGTACATATGTCGAACCAAACCTTGCCCAGTTCGACAGAAATATGCCAAACCCATATCCCACTCTTCGGGGCACCAGTCACTCGAGGTATCAAGGAACCTTATATCCTCTATCCAGTTCAAAGCAAAGAAAGAATAACGCCTATCGCCGTGCAATGCAAGTAGAAGGTCCATTGTAATGCCAAACATCAGCCCGATCACGATTAGGCCTTGCCCTTCTTCTTGTCCTTCTTTTTCTTCTCCGCTCCACCAGCAGACCCGGAAGGCTCGTCCATTCCAGGCATGCCAGCCAGTCCTGGGATCGATGGCATCCCAGGCATCCCTTGCATGTTCTGCATTTCGGCCATAGCCTCCTTGAACGGATTGTCGCTGACACCGCCGCCGCTGTATGCAGGGGAGTGGATGGGCAGGATTTTGCCAATCTTCCAGCCACGTGGGGCAGGGGGGCGGAAGGAAGCTTCTCTGGCATGGGCAGACCGCGAATTCGCAAGCGATACGGTGATTGCTCGTTGGTGGGGTGAGCCTTCAGGTATTGAGAGACGAGGATGTATAGGTGGTGCTCTGTGAAGGGGGAAGTTAGTCATGTAATGAGACATGCGCTAGTCGCATCCAACGGCGAAAAGTAGATCTCCTTGGCCGTCTGGAAGCGTTCGGGCACTCACTGTTCTTGATTTTCGGATTCACCAGCCGGCCATCCTCGTTCTTCAGATGCACCCGCACTCGACCAGGGTTTGCCCAGTCCTTAGGGTGGAGCTTCTCCGGTTCCAAGCCAGCTTGCAAGCCCAACATCTGCACCGCATCCATAATATCTCTAGCAAGCGGGTTCTCGACAGCAAGCTCGGAGCCGACCTTACGACCCTCCGCGCGCGAACGAGTCTTATCGAAATAAATCGGGTAGAGACATTGGAAGTGTTTGGGGATTTCGCGCTGAGGTTCTGGCATCTGCTGGGCCATTGGGGGAGCCATTGGTGTTGGCGCGGCGGCGGCTGGTGGGTTCGACCGAATAGGAATTGATGCCCTCTCGATGATGGAGTCCTCGCCCATCATGTCGGATGGGGCGACCTCTTCGGGGTCGGAGTCGGACACCTCCTCGATACGGGCGTGGTGCGACATTGTGTGAGTGTTGGTTGGGAGGAGGAGGAGGAGTTGTTGGTGGAGTTTGGGGTGGGAAGGAAGAAAGTGCGGGAGGTGGTCTTTGCGCTTTCTGTTCTGTGCGGGCGGAGTGCGACTGGCCAGTTGCCGCTACGGATACGGAATCCGGGGTATACAATAAGGACGTCTACACCAGAGCCACGACATGTTGGTTTTTAAATCTTTTCAAGAACTGTAAACATACCTGTGGCTTTAGTTTATTATAAAGCATTATCCCCCAATTAGTTTCCAGCCAAATCCGAGATTTAGCCATTCGAGAGTGAACATTCGTACGATGGGGTGAAGACTACGACACTCAAAGGCCGGTAAGGATGGCCATGGCTTCATCTTACTCCATTAATGTATAGTTCACAAACTCAGAAGTTATAAGGAGAGTATCTTCTTACTTTTCTCTTTCAGGCCTACCAACCTGGTGATTGAGTCATCGACGGCAATGCCGATAGCATCCCACGGTATGCCGCAGCGCCCTGAGCGCTTCACCATCCCAGATAGGCATGTCAAGAGAGAACATCCCCCCACTTCAACCCACAATTCTATCCCAAACGAGACTCTATGCATCAATCATCTTCAAGCGATATCCTTGGGGAATGGCTGTTGGCAGAGAAGCCAATGAGCCACTCGGCTTCCTCCGGGCTCGGCATGCCGAACCCACTATGCCCCGCAATCGAACAATAGCCTCGGGTGAAACAACCTGGGCGAAGGGGTATAAATGATAAGCTATGAACCCTGGTAGACTTGCTTCTGGGATTACTTTTTTGTTCGCTACTTCTCTGCTTCATTTTACCCATCATCCCCGCAACTAGTAATTACAGGGGTACCCCGAAACGAGTCTCGCCTCCCAATACCTCCTCCAACATGTCTAGCGCTGTCTTGCATAGGGATACTCACTTCATTCCTCGGAAGGCTGTTGGTGGCAAAGGATGCTACATCTTTCTGGAAGATGGCACCCAGTTCCTTGACTCCACAGGCGGTGCTGCGGTGTCATGCTTGGGTCATGGCCATGAGCAGATCAACCAAGCCATCAAGAACCAAATAGATCAGATTTCATACTGTCACTCTGCATTCTTTGGCACTCAAGTAACAGAAGACTTGGCTACATTCTTAACAGAGTCTACTGGTAAGAAGTTGTCGAAGCTGTTTGTGGTCAGCTCAGGTATGGCGTTTGCAGATGTCTCTTTCTTTATGCAAAGTTAATACGTTCATCCAGGATCTGAGGCTGTCGAGGCGGCCCTTAAATTGGCTCGCCAGTATTTCCTCGAGTTATCTACACCTCAACCTGAGCGTACCAGGTTCATCGCTCGCCTGCCCTCTTATCACGGTACCACCCTCGGTGCTCTGGGCGCCGGTGGACATGTCCTCCGAAGACAACCCTTTGAGCCTCTCTTGGCCAAGAACACTTCTCATGTATCTCCTTGCTATGCGTATCGTGGTAAAAAGGAGAACGAGTTGGATGCCGACTATGTGGCTCGTCTAGCAGCGGAACTTGACGCCGAGTTCCGACGTGTTGGACCTGACACCGTGTGTGCTTTTATTGCTGAGCCAGTCGTTGGTGCGGTACGTCAAGTGGGAACATCGCTTGAAGAATGAAACATCTGCTAACTCTCTTTTTAACAGGCCCTCGGCTGCGTGCCCGCTGTATCAGGCTATTTTCCCGCCATGAAAGCCGTCTGCGAGAAATACGGCGCTCTGTTCATCCTCGACGAGATCATGAGCGGCATGGGTCGGTGTGGAACTCTGCACGCATGGGAGCAGGAGGGCGTCGTCCCCGACATTCAGACGATTGGAAAAGGCCTGGGTGGTGGCTACGCTCCTGTTTCGGGTATCTTGATCAATGAATCGATTGTTCAAACTTTAGACAAGGGCACGGGTCAGTTCCGACACGGGCAGACTTACCAAGGTCATCCGATCTCGTGTGCGGCAGCACTGGCTGTTCAGCGGACTATCAAAGAACAGTCTCTTCTCGAGAACGTGAGAAAGATGGGCGCTTACCTTGAGGAGCAACTGCGTCAGCGGTTCCAGAATCACCCCAATGTTGGAGATATTCGAGGGAAAGGGCTGTTCTGGGGTGTAAGTCCTCAAAGGATCTGGTACATCGGTCACTGATGGATTACTTTGCTGACTTCCTCTTACAGCTTGAGTTCGTCAAGGATAAAGCAACTAAGGAACCCTTCGACCCCAAGGCTCGTCTATCGTTTCACATCCAGGAAAAGGGTCTACAACCAGAGTACGCCGTCTCACTTTATGGATGTACGGGTACAGTGGATGGCATTCGTGGAGACCATGTGGTGTTAGCACCACCTTACATTGTGACCAAGGAGGAAATTGACACCCTGGTGGATGTATTGGCCAGAGTACTGACAGACGTCCTCGCAGAGTTGGAAAAGTAAACTAATGATAGTCATTTTCTTTACTGGACTAAGCGACCAGGATATTCTAGATACAATCTGTGTGAAGAGCAAATTAACAAGAGCAAGTAGTGTTGTGCAATCTCTTAGAATGATTCATATTGTAGAGGATATCCCATTATTATACACGTATGAGAACTCAAGATGCGCGGTGTGTCAACCCTAAGCTTCAATAGCAGCGGCCTTCTTCGCGGCAGCATCAATTTCATTCTGCACTTTCGCAGAACCATTGGCGACAACCTCTTTGGGCATGGAAATTGGGGCCCACAGCCCAGCGACAGTCTCGACTGCCCTTTCCACGACGACGCGCACACGATCACGGAGCACAGCATTGGCGCACTCCACCTCCAAAGTCTCGAGCCAGACACGAGCAACATGCTTATCAATCTTGATTTCCAGACCAGGTACGGGGATGCCAAGCGCGTGGAGGCGGTCTAGCTCCGCGGATTCAATGTCTGCAAGACGTTCTTCCTTGACCTCCTCTGCGGTTTCGGTTGTCCCGTTAACAAGATCTGCCGGGACACGAGGGCGCTCGATGGGTCCGATATCAGAGCCAAACTGCGCTTCGAGCATCATAAGAAGACGCGCAAGTCGGTCTTCAGGGCCAAGATAGGCATGGGGGTTGCGGGGAGCTGGAATCTCTTCATCGTCGTGATGATGGTGGTGGTGCTTGTTCTTTGCGGATTCTGCCGGGCGGTGGTTGTTAGCATGCAAGTGTCGGCTATGAGATGGGCGCGGAAATTCTTACGTTTCACAGAGGCAGGGCTGCTCTCCACTGTGAGAAGCACAGCCATGACAGCATCAGCAACACCGTCGTTCATCATGTTTCCCTCCCACTCAAGTTCGATCTCGCGAGTTCGCGGGTGGTAGTGGAGGGTAACACAGCCCATGACCAAGTATGTTCGGGATTCCTCCATGAGAATCTCTTCATCCGCCGCCTCCTGATCATTGGAGCCGAAAGCATCGCCATTTGTAGCCTTCTTCCCTTCTTTCTTCACCTTTGACCCAGCCTCCTCGATAGCCCCAAAAGTACCTTCGAGCGCCCATCGAATAAGATCCATGCTTGCGGAGCTAAGAGTTAGGTGTTGTTTGCAGGTAATGGTGGTGGTTGTCAGACCAGCATATTCACGAAGGTCATCTGGAGCCATGAGGGACAGGTCGAACCCATTCTGAACCAGTACGCCGGCCATCAGCTTGCCGTCGTCTTGCTCAGACGGAGGAGCCATCTCCGCGAGCTTGCCAACAACCTTGGCGAACTTGTCTTTTCGGAACGGAATACGCAGTTCAGAGCAGTTAGCGGGGGTGAAGACTTTGGTGGCGATAGTTTTCTGGGCGTTGAGGGAGAGAAGTTTTGACTTCAATCGCATCATCTGATGCTTCTCCCCGTGCACGAGAATCTGCCCAAAACGTCAGTACGCACGGAGGGGGAAAGAAATAAAAGGAAGGTACATACCACAACGGGTGCAGCCACTTCTTCAATGAAATTGCGATTTTCCACGCCATCAACATGTGCGGCAAAGCTAATCTCATCAATTGTGCATCGACGTGGGATCATCACTTTTTGGTCCTCGTCATTGCCTCCCGGTACACGACCGCGGCCTTGCACGGATGAAACCTTCGACATGATGGCGGGGATAGACTCTGGCTCGTTAAGCAGTTGCTTGGCCATGGTTCCTTCCACACTGTAGCCTGTCATGACAACACCGTTGCGGTCGCTTGGTGCCCACCTCTCGAGGAGCTCACGACTCGTACCGGTTTGAAGCATACCCGGGGAGGCAATCATCACGCAGCCTCCTACGTCGTCAAATCGCTCCAGGCTGCGCAGGCTTCGGACGAAACGGAAGTCCCATGGGCCTGCGGTCACGCTCTTGTCTCCACTTGCTTCAGCCTCGGCCATGCGCTGCCTGAAGAGCCGCTTGATATTGTCATTCATGGCACCAATATATGTCTGGTAAACGACCATGCATCGTCTGGCCATGTTACCAATGTAGTAGATGGGAACTTTTTGCAACTCGGGGTGCCGCTCCCAGTACTCCTCGAGAATGAGGAGCAACTCCTGTGCTCGACCAAGAGCGAAGACAGGCATCAGGACTCGTCCTCCACGATTCAAAATTCCCGTGACGGATTTCATAAGCGCTGCTTCGCGTTCCAGTCGTGGAGGGTTGGAAGAAATACCGAATGTGGACTCGGTGATCAGGACATCGATCTTAATGCCCCGGGGAACCTCTGCGGGGATCAAATGCCGGTCTTCTTCACGGGAATAATCACCTGTGAACAAGATATTCAATCCCGCAATCGATACGAGGAACATCGCGGCTCCCAGCACATGGCCAGCTGGGAATGGTGTAATCCTGATGCTGTTGATGGTATGTGTCGTGTTGAAGTCGATCGTCTCGATGAGGGGAAGAGTTGAAAGGTGATCACGTTCCGTATATAATGAGGTGCGTTGGTCGGAGGAAGAAGATGTATTGCTGACACGGACGTTGTCTTGGATCAGCCATTTATAGATGGCCTTTGTCGCATGGGTCATGAAGACACGACCTTTGAAGTTCGTCTTGCTGAGGACGTATGGAAGTGCAGAGGAATGGTCAACGTGGAAACTAGAAACAAGAAACATTAGCTCAGTAATTTGAGATGTACAGAATGAACAGAGTGCAAGAAATCGTTTTGTAAATGGTTCTATAATGTTCACAGTAGGAGAAGATAGAATTGGCAGAGTAAAAAAGGTGCATGAGATTGGGCTGTATTGAGTTTTCATCATATACATGTAGGGCACAGCTCGGCTCCCGCTTTATCGCAGACCCTGTCGCTTCGGAGATGTAGGAGGGATAAGGAAATTCCACGTACTGGCTGATCAAGAGAATATCGACGGTACTTAGATCGAATTCGTCAAAGAAGGGGAGGGCCGAGAAGCCTTCTTTGGCCGGATGCATACCAGCATCAAGCTATGGTGACAGACCATTAGTGATAGCCCAAGAAAGAAGATATTCATTGCATACCATGACTGTCTTGCCCTTGTATTGGATGATATGACATGATCGTCCGACCTCATTACCTCCACCCAGACAGTAGAATGCCAGCTCATCAGACGGGTCCACCGGTTCATCGTCAGCACCTGCGCCCATCGCCGAGGCCTTGCGCTTAGTCGCCATGGTGGCGTGGGCACTGCGCGCCTGCAATTGCACCTAAGGAGGAGCTATGTCTGGGTTCGATCTGGGGGTTGGATTCGCTCAGATCCAAGGGCACCACCGCCCGATTCGCTCGGTTAGAAGAGGTTGCCACTCAAATCAGATTTCTGAGCACTTCCATGACCGAGGCGACAACTAATTTGTGACTTGAGCAAAGAAAAGACAAGTGAAGAACGGTGGAGAAGAAGAAAGACGACCAACTTCCCAAAGACGCGGCATTAACTAATCTGTGTCACGTGACGGGCGCAATCCGCGGAGCAAAACCTCAAGACACGCCAGAAGCTCCCTTACCCATCCACTCGTCCGGCATCTCCCCTCACCAACCCCGCTGCCCATCACGTCTCGTGTATCGCTCCCGCTCATCATCCGTGACGATTTCATGTTTTAACTGGTATTGTGAGATGGTCAGAACTGGTGGCGTCTGGTGGTGCGAGCAAGTCGCTCACTTCAACAACCTCGCGTGGACCAGCTGTCAAGCCGCTCGGGCTGCGTAATAGCAAACTTTCCCATCTCACCTCTGATCCTCGCGCCAAAAAAGCTTTTCATCATGGCTCAAACACGCCTTCCACAACAGCAGGGGCAGCAACAGCAGCAGCCTCCACCTCAGTTCGCTACCCATCCCTTCTCTCCTCCAGTCTCTTCGCCCTCACCTCACTCAGCAACTTCTCCCGTCAACGGAGCCGTGGCACCTCCTCCCCAGAAGAAGCCACGGTTATCGCCACTTCCTCCATCACAAACACAGTCTCCTTACTCATCTCCTAACTTCGGCGCAATGCAACTTCCTCCGACACAACCACCGATGAATGGCGTGGCTACGAATTTCGCGCCATCTACACCTACCAGTGCAGCGCCCGCCCCAGGAACGATGGGTCCACCCTCGCGTCCTGTCGACAAGACAACCGACGCAGCCGAGTTGACGGATGTCCTGGCATCATCAGGTATTGATGTTCGGGAGGAAGAGGCGTTCCTGACGCGCAGCTTCTCTGGGCCAAATGCGCAGGCGCAGCCGGCCAATAGAGCTCAGCTGCCACAGCCGCTACCCCCGATCAACACTTCCTTTGCTTCACAGGCATCTACAACGGGAACACTATCTGCCTCTAGCAGTTTTGGCGAGCTGCCCCACGCCAAGCCGACAATTCCGCAGACCTCATTTTCCACTGATCTAACCTCGCAAACTACCTCCATCAGCAATCCACCGAGTCGTGCAGATTCTGAGGCGGCACGAAGGGCACAATATCACCTTCAGGAGCCGTTCCTCTTCGCTAAGCTTGTGGAGCAGAAGATTCAGAAGCGTGGTTTCGAGCTCGGAGTACGCATTTGCTCAGAAGGGCTATTCCATCCCGTTCCTGGCCGACAAGCGCCAATCGAAGTTACTGGTCCCGATGGATCGTCGATTGTGCGAACAGGCCAGACCATCCTTAATCAGGAGGGCGCCCCGTTAGTGGATATCTTGAACCTCATCTCTCTCTCGTGTGAGGAACGTCTAAGAGGGGTGGTTGACTACTCTTCTGCCCTCGCACGTAGTCGCAGAGCCCACTCACATGGTGTGGTTCCAGATGCGTGGGTCGATATTGCACAGCCTCTGGGTCCAATCGCAGGGAACACGGTAACTCCGTCAAAACGTTAGCATAAGCCCACTATCCGCGTTTTGACCTCCCTTTCTTACTGATTTTCTTTATAGGACCCAATCCGGATACCGAAGATGCTGCCAAGAAACCTGCGGCAGAGAGATACAGAGGACTCGTCACGAGAGAAAACAACCAAGAAAATAAGCGTGCAGCGAAACGGACCAAGAGAAGTGCTAGTGCCATTGTCGGCGAAAGCACGGGCACTCGACTCGATTCTGCAGACATCATTGGCTCCGCTCCTTCTACTCCATTAGGAGAACGAGCGCCCAGTTTCGACAGCAAAAAGTCGATGACAAAGAAGGAACAAAAGAAATTGATGGATAGCAAGGCCAATGAGGCGCATCAGCACCAGCAATCTGTGGAGACTGCACGACTCGCGACGAATTCGATGCTGTCTGGTCGGATGTTTGGAGCCAAGAAGTCGTATTCCTGGCTCAAGCCTGGAGGTTCTTCCAGTGGGTTTTCCACGCCAACCCGGCCTGCTCCTTCGACTCCAACCACCGGGCCAGAGAAGCCTACTCGGTCGGGCGAGACACCAGCCGGTCAGCCGAAGCGGCGACTTGGAACGTGGCGAGAAGATCAGGAGAAGGGGCGAGGCATTCAGGTTCGGGATATCTTGTTTGCTGTGGAGGCCGATGGTCGAGCTAGCAAGCACGTTCAAAAGGGCTACTCGAAGGACCCAAAGGAGGATCGTGGAGTTTGACCTGGCTCAGGCACTTGTAATCTTACTTTATACAGCGTACTGCTTGAATGACACAATTATGGCATGCTAAACTGTTTTGGACGTTGGGCAAAAAGAAAGAAAGAAAGAAATGCGTTCTACCCGTAACTCGTCTTAAAGGGTATTCGCTCCAATCAATGTCCTATCCTCATGCTACCTGTCCCAAAGCCTCGCGAGCAAGTCCCATCTCTTCTTCTGACGGCATATTCACAATCGCCAAATACAAAACTTTCTGAAACGAGAATTAGTACAGTGAATCACTGGATCTCAGGTCATTAGATCGGGTCTTCATACCTTCTTCAACAACTTCGCTAACGGTGTTAAAGGTCCAATACTGCCACTATCTTCCCGACGCGCAGCAAGCCGGTCTAGACCCCTACCACCGGACGCATCAGCTGCATAGGGAGCATACCCAGCATGCTGAGCGCCGTTCTGGGGACTGCGTAAATCTCGAATGGTATTGATGGCATCGAATAGTCCAAAGGGTCTGCCATGGGGTGCTGGTGGATTTGAACCGTAATCATCGCGTCCTTGATATTGGTCTGCTAACCCCCCCTGTGCCTCGGCCTTTCATACTGCTCAGTTTGTTCATAGTGAGATGGCCGCCAGTGATCAGGGCGAGAGGATCGCCGCTGCTTGCGGCGTGGTTGGGATCGGCATAGCGTGAGGTAAACGTTGGCTTTGGACCTTGAGTCAAGTGACTGTCGGGGTGTTCGGCGGCCTGTGAAGACACGATGGTTAGCTCGTGCAACCCGGTTATAATTTGCAAAGGATAGCTCACAAATTTCGCCTGGGCCCTCTTATCCATATACCCAGCGACAAACTCCTTTTTCTTTTTCATTTTGGCAAACTTCTTCTCCGCGTCTTGATCGGATGCGAGTTGATCAATCTGGGGGAAGACCAGAGGCGCAACCTCTGGGAAGATATTACCATAGGCCTTTCCATCTGATGATTTGAATTTATGACGGAGGCGGCCTAGCGTGTCCGAACTTCCGCCACTTGCAGCTTTGGAGATGAACGAGTTGAGGTCGATCGTTGTAGCTGGAGCATCAGGCAATTCGGGGTTCCAAGTCATGAGGAGGCAGTAGAGGCCGCGAGGTTGGAAGAATTCCTTGTTCATCTTGTCGAAGAAGGTATTCGTTCTGTCAAAAGGTAGTCAGTGATATGTCCTATGACTAGTCGGTGAACTAAGAGAAAATACTCACTTCCGACGACCCTCCACCGCAATCGCAATATCAGTAGTGATCTGAATAGCAATAGACACGGCGATGCCCGTGACAGATGGCATCCACATTGTCCCAATCGCCGCCAAGTTGATCGCATTCAGCCATGGGGAAGCCTGACAGGCCTTCTCCGCTGTATTGAGGAAATCAATAAACATATCTTGATCGATCCCGCACTCGTTCAAGGCGGGGGCATACGCGCGAATGAAGCCGCGGTCTCGATTTTTCGGCCGGCGCTGTGGCAGCACGACTGGTGCCGACAGCTGCGGGCGTGACATTCCACTTTCAGTCTGGATGGCCGAGTAAGGCGGTGGTGCAGGGTATGCAGACGCAAACCTGTGGGCAAGACCTTCTTCATCGACGCGTTCTTGGTCTCCGTTGCTCTTGGTAGTGTCTGGTTGGCCTTGCGCGGGTTGTGCAAGCTCTTCTTGTATCTCGTCCAGAGCCCATTGCTCCTCGAGAGACCCGGAGGGTGCTCTTTCAAGGTGGGTCTCTGCTTCGACGGGCAGTTCATATGGTGGCGGTTGGAACTGTTCGTATTGTTCGGGCAGTCCCCTTTCAGTTTGGGGGGCTGGTTCCTCGCACGATTGTGTATGTTGATTTTGATTCTGCTTTTTTGTCTTGTGGGCTGATCGCGCTTCGGAGACAAGGCCAATGCCTGCAGCAATGCCTTGGACGGCTTTGCGACCGAGTCCCCCTGCCATGAGTGTGATCTGAAAGCACGAATAAAAGAATAAAGATTATGTCCTAAAGGGGGGGGGGAGGGTTGAATTGTTGAGTAATGATCGAGGAATGCGTCTCAGTCGGGAGGTTCTGGAGACCCTTTTATAACATTGAAGAGAGTTCGTCTGACCCCTCGCGCAGATTACTCAACTCGGCGAGCTGTATATACCTCGCAGATAATCTTTTTACCTCTCCAGAGTCTCCACAGGGCTGGTCCTTCGTGCTGGAAGCATGTCAGAACCAGCCCGATGAGGAGAGCTACGCGATTGGCTCGGGGGAACAAGCAAAGCCAAGCATCGCCGGATCAGGCGTACAGCCACCAAAACGATGGACTCGACTAGACCCAAAAGAGGAACCTGTTCGCTCGGGGCTAACTCTCTTTGGTTATATTGGACTCGCTCCATCCACTCTTCGTGGCGGTGATCCGGCCCCACTACTACTGGGGCCGTTTCTTGGCCATCCTGGTTACCCACTTGGGAGAGATCTTCGATCCTACTCAGATCGAGGGCATACAGCGTGATTGTGTGGAAAGACCCGTTGAAGGATGTGTTAAATGATTATTAATGAGAATATATCGAATGTTCCAGTCTCTACGGCTTGTCGACTGATCGAAGACACTGTCCACTCCAGATACCCTATCTCAGCCCTTACAAGAGTGCTCGGGTATAACCAAGGCTCTTTCCAGGGGTGTGGAAAGAGGATGGCCAATACTCTTTTCGAAGGGGAGATCTAGCTACATAGTAGTCACAGATGTGCCATATGCCCGTGGAAGACTCTCTTGAGAGTGGTAAATGGCTGCTGCCTTTTGCTACTTCCGCAAGAGTATCCTCAAATTGTACATCCATCGTGGGTGAGAATGCAGGATAGAAAGTCAGAAGGATGTGCGAAAGGCAGGTCGAACCCCCCCATAAAGTTTAAACCTTGTTATTTCATCTGACTAGATCTAGATCACTCGTCCGACTCCATGTCTGAGCTTAGTCTGATGCTTCTGCAGCCCGTTAAAAATCAGACTAGCGAGAAGGAGGGCCTTGGAAAAAGAAATTGTGGAGAGCACTAGTTTCAATGTGATGGTGCCGAACCACAAGCGGGGGAATGTTTGGCGTAGATCTTTCGACCAGGGGCTGGCATTTTAATAGATCTGTAATCTGCCCTGTATACGAAGTCGGAACAGTTTCATGCTACGCGGAGCGTGAGATGGAATACACACGGCACCGTACGGGACTATGCTCACCTTGAATGAGTTGATGATGAATGATAATGCCCGGGCTATCTAGAAAGACGTTCCAAATACATTCAAAACGGATTTTTTTTTTCAACCCCCACAAGTTGAAGCGTAGAAGGTTGAGATGGTTGTTTCCCTTGGTTTCCAGTTTCAGACTTTTGAACTGCCACTGTACACACACCACTACTGTTGTTGTTAGCAACGGCAGGAAGCCGGAATAGCTTCCAACAGAACCTCGAGGCGTCAGAGGATCCTGTGGGGACCACGCGAGATGCGCAATTGGCAGTCACCGCCGAGTTTCGCGAGTAGTCCTGGGGACATAGCCTGGATGCGGAAGCCGGGAACATCGCATAAACGCATCAACTGAACTGGTTTAGTACCGTCCAGTGAGCCCGGCACGATAACCTTGCGTTTGAGGTCGAGGATCTCCTGTCTATGTGGATGTAGGTTCTCTTTTCGGTGGGGTTGCGAAAAAACGAGACGCACGATCGTCAGCTGGATCAGGATCAGTGTACGGGTATAAGGTACGTAGCGTGGCGACGATTCTAGGTCTGGGCTGGAACACCGAGACCCTACCCCGCAGAACTCGTGCGGACACGGGCAGAGCGAGAGTGGTGGATAAAGACAGACGGCTTGCAGGTGGAATCGTGGCTGTTCTCAAGATGACAACATCGAGTGGTCGTTGCATACGTTGATCGAGTCTATATATATTCGAGGACCCCGGGCAGGTCTACTGCATGATCTGTGTGGGGGAAACTTGGAAAATATATATTCATGTTCAACGACGGGAGACCCTCCTGGGGCCGATCTCCTAGCTTGACCAGCGAAACAGCACGGATTGAATCAATTATGAGCAGTAGGATAGGTCATTGCTGGAACTTGCTTTTGAACCTATGTAGAGGTAGATCTCGGTATGGACGGAATTCTTGAACTGTTCGATACGGCTCTACCTCGGTATAGTTGGACACTCGAAGAGTAAGGTTGGAGTGCAAATATTACAGCACCACAAGAAACCATCTGCTTTATCTCCCTTTTACTCGGGATGGATTGAATCTCGAAGCTTCACCATGCGAGATCCGAGTCCGATGATGGCGATTCTGGCACTTCTATGGATGATCGAGGACCAGACGGAACTGCACTGGTCCACATGGGCATGGAGACGTCCCTCAATCCCTGGCGCTGACATTTGGACAATTCTAGAATCCTAATATCTACAATCCAACCAGAGAAAGCCGCACGAGGAATCCAAATGTTCGGAAACCATGCTCCCGTGGTCGCCACCCAAAAAGCAAAACGCGGAGACCCCGGGGGAACAACAAACTCCCTTGCAGATAATGGAGAGACTGGAAACGAATTGAAGGAAGAGAAAATTTTACAATGCACATTCCGTGGCAAAGGGACTGCCTGGCATGAAAGTCGCGTTTGACCGTCTTCTCTCGGCTTCGAGCGTCATGTTTTCATGTTCCGTGTCAGTCGGGGTGGTCCCTTCGTTTACTCGAGTCTTACCACACGGTGAGTTCTTCTCTTCTCCGTGATGATGGCCCGGCCCTTTCTTGTCGTCTCTTGATAGTCTCATTTCTGGAGACTGGTCACATCATTTTCATCTTGCCCATGATTCTCGTGGATCTTACTCTTTTGACTTTTTTCACACTCTGTTTTGGCCTTTCCTAAGGTTCCCTGCCACGCTGTGTCATCTGGCATGTCAGGTGATCGGCCGGGGGTCCTGCGACGAAGAGAAGTTCGTTGAAACTGGACTCCCTATCCACCATTTTTGGACGATTTCACGAGATGCATTCTTCTTCTGATGTAGTTGGTAGTCACTATTCTCGACTTCGCTCCACTTGGTCTGTTCCTGTTGCCCCAATGTGGGCTCTCGCGACGGGGATCGCTAAGCCAGGGCTTGGACGCGATGCTCCATCGCTGCCGGTGGCGGGCCACCAGGCCAACCAGACCAGACCGGGCCAGGACCGCCCGACACGACGGACTTTGATCAGAATGGATTTGATTGCAAAAGCCCCCTAGAGACACTGTCGGATTGCACGGGTGAATCTATTTTCATTCCGGGCAATTGGCATCTCGTTAGCTTGGTGGCACTCTCTCGGGTCCTCGTCCTCGGGCAAGTCAACAAGCCGCGCGAGGATCCTCCGTAGACGGGTCATCAACCTCACCAAGTGCACACCGAAGGAGATGCCTTTGCCCATTAGTAGTTCTATATAGTCTTGAATCTCATTCAATCTCATGTATAAAAATCAAATCCACCAGAAGAGAGATCAAGGCGCAAGTTGGATCGGCGTCCACTCGCAACGCTCTCCGGCTGCCCATTCTCCCCGTCCGCCTCTCGATCCCCCCCCCATCATCATCACTTCTTGGCCGTTCGACCTCTTCTCCTCCTCTTCCACTCCCACTGCCACCCCCTTCTTCTCGCAAATGTTGACTCTTCCACCAATGCTTTCTTCGTTTCAACCCCCTTCTTCTTCGTGAGCTGAGCTATCACCCCCTCGAGGACCTCTGCCTCGCTAGATCCCCAACTGGCCTCCGACCGCCTCGTCATTGTCACGTCTCGCTTCTCCCCTCTTCCTAAATAGCCCTTTCTCCTTCTCGCCTCCCTCTCCAAGCGAAATCCCTTTTTCGAAATCGTCTCCCGTCGTCCAGTCTTGTCAACAGTCGGCCTGCTTCTGCCAGGCAGGTCTGTCTGGGCCTCGAGACTTTCCCTCCCTTCGTGCTCGCCCAGTCGACGCATTTCCCGCCGACAATCGGCCGTGATTCCACTTCCTCCCTCTCCACGTCCAGGACCGTTCGTGTGACGGACAGGACTCCTCCGTCCACAATGTCCACGCCCTCCACGGCCACTGCTACCCATCCTACTCACCAGCACTACGGTTATCCCCATTCCTCATATCAAGCCACGGCCTCGTACCCGACCCCGACGACCGCCGCAGGGGCTCGCCTCGCCAATCCCTACGCCTATTCCATTCCTTCGCCAACGACCAGCACTCTTCCCTACGCCCAACCCTCGCGAGTCGCTCCGACGACATCGACCCCGTCGGTCATGGCGTCGCATCAGAGCGGCTCCAGTGTGGCCCCATCACAAGGTGGTCGGAGAAAGAAACCGGACTGGGGAGAGTTCTATAAGAATGGCATCCCCAAGGAGGTCATTGTGATTGATGATAGCCCTGCCCCGGAGGCGTCCAAGACGACAGCACCTCCTCCACCTCCTCCTCATGGTGTCGTTTCCTCCACCGGGCAGCCTACAGTGGCACAACCGGCCGGTAAACGGCGCCGTACAGGAATCGAGACCGCGTACGACCTGGGATACTATGACCGACCGTCTTTTTCCATCAATCCCCAACAATACGGCGAGGAATCTTCTGCACACTCCTTGTCGACCGACCGGACGACTTCTTTACACACCACAGCCCCGACTTCCCTCGGGTCGCAAGGAAGTTCGGGCGCCAGCAATGTGTATTATGAAGACGCCTCGGTGGGCCAAAAGCGCAAGCGGACCACGCGGAAATCCACTCGCGACGAGCAGAAACGTCGCGAGCTGGAGAACGCACCAGAGGCGTTTCCCAACTACGTCCCTCCCTCGAAACCAATCATCAAGGCCAAGGATGTCCCTGTGCCTGTGATTCGCGATGTATGTCTTTCCTTGAGTTCAAGTCTGCAGTGGAGAACGAAACTAATTGGACTGTTATACAGTTTACGAGCGGACGGCACGAAAAGTTCGATGATGATGATGGCCATTATATTGTGACCCCCGACACACCTCTGACAGAACGATGTAGGTAGACCTGTTGACAGCATGGGGATACTTGGGACTCGGCTGACTCTTCTTCTTAGACTCCATTATCAAACTCCTGGGTCAGGGCACTTTTGGTAAGGTTGTGGAAGCATTTGACAAGCAGCGGAAGGCTCGCTGTGCGGTCAAGATCATCCGATCCATCCAAAAGTACCGAGATGCGTCGCGCATCGAGTTACGCGTGCTATCCACCCTGGCCTCGAACGACAAGGCCAACCGCAACAAGTGCATCCACCTTCGGGATTGTTTTGACTTCCGGAACCACATCTGCATTGTGACCGATTTGCTCGGGCAGAGTGTGTTTGATTTCCTGAAGGGGAACGGGTTTGTGCCTTTTCCCAGCAGTCAAATCCAGAACTTTGCGCGTCAACTGTTTACCAGCGTGGCCTGTGAGTGCAACCACATCTTCTCAACGATTCCTTTTCCTGACCCTTTTTACCAGTCCTCCACGACCTAAATCTCATTCACACCGATCTCAAACCTGAAAACATTCTCCTTGTCAGCAGCGCCTACCAGACCTTTACCTACAACCGTACCATCCCTTCCTCCTCCCACGCGAACCCCCGTAATGCGCGCCAGCGACGGGTCCTCCTCGACAGTGAGATTCGTCTCATCGACTTTGGCTCTGCCACTTTTGATGATGAATACCACTCTTCCGTTGTGTCCACACGCCACTATCGGGCACCAGAGATCATCCTGAACCTGGGCTGGAGTTTCCCCTGTGATATATGGAGTATCGGGTGTATCCTGGTAGAGTTCTTTACCGGAGATGCTCTTTTCCAGACTCACGACAATCTCGAACACCTGGCCATGATGGAAGCAGTCATCGGCTCTCGGATTGATTCCCGTCTAGTTCGTCAGGTGGTACAAGGCCGTGCTGGTAGCCACAACTCAGCCGCCAAGTAAGTCATCTCTTGACTTGAGGTTCTCGATAAGCACTAACACGTTTTTTTTTAGGTACTTCAACCGGAATAAGCTGGACTATCCCAACAACGAAACCACTCGGGCATCACGCAAGTATGTTCGTCTTATGAAGGCGCTTACTGTAAGTACCAAGCCACGCTCTTTTCTACCCACCTCGGAAGTGAATCTCACCTTCCTTCTTAACAGGAGTTCATCCCGATTAATACCCCCTTCAACCGTTCATTCCTGGACCTTCTCCAGAAGATCTTTATCTACGACCCCAAGCAGCGAATCACTGCCAAACAAGCCTTGAAGCACCCCTGGTTCAAGGAAAGCCTCATTGACGACGGTACCGAAGCATACCGAATCGGCATGGGCCTTCATCGCCAGGCCGGAGCTAGGTAAAAGTGGCCACCCATTATTTCACTCATGGGTGTCTCTATAGCTCTCATCTCCCCCGTATCTGGCGTCAATAAGGTTTGTGGATAGACGGCTGTCTTCTTTATTTTTCAAAGGGGTAATTATTATCAACACATGGATGGGATGGATCGGTGTTTTCGTTCAACATTGACTGGGAAAATGATGATTATGATTTGTCCGGTGTCTTTTTATTACCTTATTATCTGCCTTGTGCTCTTCTTCCCGGCCTGTCTGTGGTGGCTCGACTACGATCTCTCTGCTGGCTGTCTATGATCATGGACCTGCCTCTCCCCTTGGAGATCCCTTATTCATGACTACACCAGAGAATGTCACCCCAGCGCTGCACTAGCCGGGCCAACAGCATGTCCCCAAATCTCCCTCCTCGCATGTTCCCCGGACGTCGACATCTCACACGATGAGGTTTCGATCGTGATATCTTATGGTTTTATATTTTAGTTATTCTTCTTACCATTCCTTTCGGCGCTGGTGATTTTTTTTTATATCTTAAAGGCTTCTGCGCCGTTGCATCTGCTGCGCCATGTGTCCTTGTCCTTTTGTTTCTGTCAAGTACCCATGCGGATTGGATTCTTAGGCTGTGACTGTGACTGTGATTGTGCTTGTGATTCTTATACCATGAGGTCGGGGGTATTCTAGGCGTCCATGTTTCCATGTTGGAGTAAAGGGGATGTATATAGGCATTGGCCGGTCCTATTTGACCCGACTCCATTGATTCTTTGACTGTTAAACTATGGAATGTGTCTTGGAAGGCATTCGTAAACTCCAGAAGCTCATGTAAATATTCGTACCAGTAGATGTATACTTCATATCCCATCCTGTTTACTTGATGAACTTGGTAAAGTGACACCAACATAGTCCTCTCTATGCGTGCCGAGCTTCTGTACATGTTAATGCACCTCGCTGTACAACGCGATCTCAAAGTATAGCTTGGATATCATCTTCAGCATCCTAGGTTATTCAATAGTCACCAGCCGCCCTACCACCCACTCCAGGATAACTATTTGATCCACTCCATACTCGGAGCCTCCCTCTTCTGAAGAATCCCTTCAATCCGCTCCGCAAGATCCAACAATTCCTCATCACGATCTTCTCTCCCCATCAACTCCAACCCAACAGGGACACCCTGAGCTGCAGAACAAGTCGACGGACTAAACCCAGCTATCCAAAGTTAGCACCAACCGGAGATATCTATTACAAACTACTCACCAGGAATACAAATAGCAGGCCTCCCCGTCAAAGCCGCCAGAATCCCATTCCTCCTCGGCTGCACACAACTCCCAATCCGCACAACCAACTGCCTCTGATGCGGATAAACCATCGCATCAATCCCATTCTCCTCAAAACACTTCCTCACACCCTCCTTCAACACAGAAATCCTCTCCAAACGAGCCTGATACCCGGGACTTGCCAACGAAAATCTCTCCGGGTTCTGCAACGCCGCAGTAAATACCTTTGTAACCGCGTTCTGATCATATTCTCCACTCTCCGCAATCTGCTTCAGCGAGTGATACGGCGAGATAACAGTCTCCGATTGGAGAAATGTATCCAGGCGTTCGCGGAACTCGTAGACTTGCGTATCAGCCGTCGAGGCGAGAGTTGCGAAGCGCCAATCCGGATGGGTGGACGGATTGATATGGACCAATTCGATATCTGCACCTGCTTTGGTCTTGATAGACGCCAAAGCTTCATGCATGACCCGTTGCACAATCGTATTTTCATGAACAAGTTCATCAGTTAGTTCCTCCCGAGGATCGTCAAGGCCGAAATACGCATCTAAGACGCCAATCCGGATTCTCCTCGAATTCCCACCCTCTAACTCTCCAAGACCCTTCTCACCCTCCTCCTCCCCCTCCTCTCTCCCACTCTTCATAACATCAAAAACAACCCTCACATCCTCCACACTCCCTCCCATAGGCCCAACAACATCCTGCACCGAACTAACAGGCACAACACCGCTTGTACAAACCCTCCCCACCGACGGCCGAAACCCAACAATCCCACACGCCGACGCAGGAGACCTCAACGAATTAACCGTGTCACTCCCACACCCGACAAGCCCCAATCCGCCCGCCAGCGCAGCCGCAGTTCCCCCCGAGGAACCACCCGGTGTCCGGGTCGCATCGAACGGGTTCAACGTCTGCCCGCCTAGCGAGGATGTGGTCGTTCCGTGGAGGGCGAATTCGTGGAGATTCGCCTTGGCGAGGATGATACAGCCTGCGAGGCGGAGACGGGAGACTACTTCGCTATCTGTGGTTGTGCGGAGGGCGTGGAGGGCTTGGACGCCTGCGCTGGTGGGTGTATCATGGGTTGTAAAGTTATCTTTTAGGATAATAGGGACGCCGTGTAAGGGCGGGAGGGGGTGGGAATTGTTTAGGAAGTGGGTTGTTTGTTTGTCCTTTTGGGCGGCTATTTCGAGGGCGTTTTCGTTGATGTATAGCAGAGATTTGAGGGTTGGATCGTAGCGGGTTATGCGGGCGAGGTAGGTGGTGACTAGGGCTGTGCAGGTTGTTGTGCCGTTGGAGAGGGCTGCGTGGTATTTTGGGATTGTGAGGGAGGGGATGTCTAACTCTGTGCTTGTTGGGTCCATGATGGAGGTGTGTATTGGGAATTGAGTCGATTGGAGAGAGGGGAGGTTGAGTGGGAGAGTCGGAGGGTAGTCGAAGGTGATAGTTGTAATAAGAGGATGTTGGGGTAGTGTTGGAGTAAGCTACTCGAGATACTCTACTCCAACTCAGTCCAATGTGCATATGCGGGGGTTTCTTTCTTACGAATAGTAAAGTCCCCTTGACTAGGGGTATCGAGGAGCTTTACACCGATAGGATGCATCCAACATATACAAAGCGTATATTCAACTATACAACAATCCCTAGACAAACAAACCATGCAAAACCCCCAAAAATTCTATTCAATGCACATGCAACAAAATGCACACGCTAGAGTCAAACGCCAAAAACAAAACTCAAACAAATATCAAAGTCAAATCCATTTACATACCCCGATTAAACTCAACCATCCCCTCATACCCACCACGACCATGGAACTCCTCCTCCAACGAAGCCGCACTAATAGCCTGACGCTGCGGGAACGCCGCCAACGCCAACGGCAACGCAAACAGCGAAGTCGTCAGAACCAATCCCAGATTCACGGGCAGAGTCATGCGTGGGTTCGCGCGCAGCCAGGCCGTCTTCTCGAGACGCACCAGGATAAGAGGGGGCAGGACCATGATGGGGGTGGCGTTCAGGACACGCGAGATAGCAGTCTCGCCGACAGCGAGGGTAGCGGCCTTTTTGCTCTTGCCCAGACTTTGGAGGGGCTCTGCGTCGTCGCCGAGAGCTTCGCGCTTGGCGCGGTCTTTGTCCGAGAGGACGGGGTAGACGTCGATGCCGCGGCGAATTTCCTCGCCGCGCATGAGGAAGACGTTTAGCGCGGAGGCGCTGGCGACGGCGGCGAAGGGGACGAGGCGAGAGAGAATTAGGCGGGTGTTTGGGGAGATGCTCTTCAGGCGGGGCACGAGGGCGTTTAGACCCAGGGCGACGGAGCAGGAGGCGGAGACGGCCATGAGGTAGGATTTGGCGATTTGGGAGGTGGAGAGCGGGGTGGATTTGTTGGCGTTGGCATTGTTGATGGCGACGTTGAGGGATTGGTTACCAATTTGCCAGAGGAGGGTGCCAGTTGTCTGGAGGGAATCGGGTTAGTATTTTTGTCGCGTGCCTACAACTTGAATGCTCGAATCACTCACTCCTAGGCCCGGGGTGAGCATGCCCGCCGTAACGACCAAATTCGTCAGGACGTAGGCGGACATGCGGAAGGGTAGCATGACCGGTTCACCGGTATCTACAGCACAACCCAATTAGCTAATGACCTCCATTCCCAATGTATTGATCCAATCCATACCAGGGTGCAGCGTCGAGTCGACCACCTTCTTCGCCTTCCACAATTCCGGGGTCATAGTGGGAATCTTATTCTGCTTATACGAAGCAATCAAAGCCTTCGCCTGATCCAGGCCCGCGGGCGAGACGAGCAGCGTCCTGGTGGATCAATTAGCATACGATCGCGTAGACAAAGGGTACCCTCGGGGATGCTTACCGAGGATCGGAGATGTCAGCAGCATGGCGGACACGGCCCCAGTAGGACTTCAGATCATATTGAGAGACAGGGGGGTCACGAGAACCAGGGAGAGAGGCAGACATGGCCTGAAGAAGTAAAAGAATGAGTGTTCAAGAACGAAAGAATGAAAGAGTGCAGGCTGGGGGAGGCGAGAAAGAAATGACTCGACTTTTGCGGGGAGGCCCAATTTACTTTTTTCACGATAATAAAAGGCGGTGAGGCGATAAGTGGATTACGCCCAATCAGAGGAGAGTCACGAGATTCGCCTTCCAGGGACATCGGGCGGGCTTCCGATTCTATGCGGGACAACTCCAAAAGGAAGCAGTTCTATTGGACCGGGCAAAGTATAATGGCAATAGTACATACAAAAAGAGTACAGAGGTATCATCAAAGGCAGAAAGGAAAACGAAGGGAAGTAATTAAAAGACACAACGGCGGGAAGTGTCCCGATGCATGGAGATAATAGAAAAAAGAAGACCCGACGCTAGGGGGAATGATTTAACAAAAGAAACGGGTCGTAAAAGACACATCCTCACAGGACAGGACACTTGGACCCCCGGCAAGTCTACCGGAACCGAAACGATTTATGCGCCAACGGGGAGGGGGACCCCCGCCAGGCGCATACCCGGACCGGACACGGGACGGGGTTTGGGCACAGAAAATGCAGACATAAAATGATGGCAGGTTGGACCGTTCCAGACCGACACATTTCGTATGGAGCCAGTGTGTACAGGATTCGCTGGAAGAAAAAGGGTGAGTATGATTGATCAGACAGAACCTGCGGGCGACAGTGCTTACCATTGAATCATGAGATGGCCGCCATTATCCATCGAATTGCAAACGCACCGTGTGCCGTTGCTGGGATTGCTATGGCGGTCGGTGCTGGGAGTCGCCAGGTCGGGGTCCGTCAAGGTGGTGGGAGAGTTGTTGGAATGATGAGATGGGTGGATATCAAAATCGCTGTGTAGTCGAGGAGGGGAGGAGCGTAAATGAGCAAAGGTAGCAGCACGTGGAAGACGAGCCCCGTAGCCACCACCAGTAGAAGGCCTGGCACCCCGGCCGCGCTCTTTCAGTACCTGTCGAAGTGCATGAGTGGCATCACCGCTGTCATCCTCTTCGCCCGGTAATGTCTGAGAGGCAACGCTACCCCGGGTATATGTAGCGTCCGAATGTAGCAGGGATGAATGCCGCTTGCTTGGCGTCCGCTTCATCGCCTCGGGAGAGCCCCGATAGGTGGATCGACTAGAGACCCCTCGCGAGGAGCCAGCCCAAGGAGACATCCGTCCCGAGTGGGATGAACCCACTGTAGACGCATAGGATCCCTTAGAAGGAGGACGAGAACCAGAGTCACTACGGGAGAAGGATGGCCGACCGCCGTCAAAGAGACCGTATGAGGAGGACTGTGGGCGAGGCAGAACCGGATATTCAGAGTACTCAGCAGGGTCAGCTTCGCTCTCGGTGGCAGAACCATCCAGGTCCATGCCCGTCAACGGATCAGTCAACCCCGTGGGACCCTCATCAAGGGACTGCATTTCGGCCTTGGCTCGACCATCCTTGCCAATTTTCAACACCACCGACTGCGAACGAGTGGGCATGCCCGTGGCGATGGAATTCGACCGACCTAACGGTGCCGGTCTCATGGTTTTGACGGGCGAGGACCGGCCCTTGGAAGGACTCTTGCGAATTCCACTCGTCGTGGCCATAATACCGCTGGACCGACTGAGTGGACGATGGGAAGAGCTCGTGATGGCGGTATGGGTCACACTCCGAGTCAGTCCTGGCCGGCCACGGGGTGTGAACTCATCATCCTCATCGTCTCCTGAGAAGCTCGAGAATGATCCCGGACGTTGGCCTTCATAGCCCTGAGCCCGACGAAGTTCATCTCGTTTCGATTCTTCTATCTGGTGGTGATAAGGCTGTCTCATCCCAGGCCGCCTTTCCGGCGTGATTTGAGGCCCACCAAACCGTCGGGCAGGGGAGCTCAAAAACATCGCTGGGTCCTCGGCCTTGGCAACGGGGATACGCGGGGATGTCGAAAAAGGAGCGGGAAACAGAGCAGCATCGGTAGGAGGAGGAGCGGAGGAGATCCCAAATCCACCGCTGCTGAATTCAGGTAGATCCATGGAGCCATCGATGGCGGGTAGTTGTGGGATGTTCGTGTGTATAGAGGCATGAGTCGGCGATCGTTCCACGTGAGCATTGCCTCTACCCGAGACTAGGGACGGCAGTCCATTTACTGACGGCTCCTGCTCTTGGTCCCAAAACAGCCGTTGTTGTGGGAAGAAGGGAGACCCCGCAGGATCGAGAGATGCGAGTTGGAACAGATCTGGCGAAGACTGCAGATTGCCGAACAGTCGAGGGGATACCCCCAGGAGACGACTCGGGGTCTCTAAATGATTGCCCACCCGCGGTGTGGTCCCTCTCCCAACACTGCCCATCGACTCAAAATCGGGGATCTTCCGTCTTGACGCACTGGTTGGCGGCGGGGTTTGCATGGATGCCGCAGATTTGGCCGAATCCACCGTCCTCGGACCGTCTTCACCGACAGCGGGCATAGGCTTCAAAGGGCGAATCCTCCTAGCCGTATCGGTATTTTCCGAGCCCCGTCCATCTCTACTATCTGCAGAGGTTTCCGCTCTGAAAACATTGGACGAGGAATTGATACCGAGCTTGTGCGGAGAGCGGAGGAACTCAGGACTAGAAGCATACGGGTCGGCGGTATCCCAGGTGACTCGAGGGTCAAAGAAACTGGACTCGAGTTTCGGAGTCGTAAACGAGTCAAAGGCGGCCGTCGTGGGAGTCCTCGTCGGGGTCTGAGGTTCGCCGTTGGGATAGCTGAAGCTGAACATGGCCGGGTACATTAGCATCATCTTTCGGGGGTGCTCACGACGGCAATGCAGGACACAAAGATTGCAGCCAGAGAGAGGAATAGCATAAAACCCCCCCCTAGGCACGAGGCACAGAGTATCTTGGAACTAGGGACCCCGCACGGAAGGGAGGAAAGGAGTGGAGGGGAGGGGGGGTTCGAGGTGGTAGTGGGAGCGGCAGCAGCAGGAGGACAGGGCTTCAACATACCTGTGGACTGGGTGATCCCAACTCATATCAGCAACACGAGCCTGGCAACCATCGAAGGTCGAGCTGCCAGGCAACCTTAACGGCAAGAGATATGGAGAGAAGATTGGAGGAGAAGAGTCCGAAGGGGGAAACGAGAGGAATGCTCGGCAGGGAGAAGATGGGAAGGAAGGTTTGCGGAGTTACAGCATTGGTCGAAGGTGAGTTGCGGCCGTCTGAATTGTCGGGGGTGGTGGAGTGACGAGTTAAGAAAAAAGAGCAAGGATTGAACTGTAGCTTCTTTGTAGCTCGGATCGGGGTGAAATTGGATGTTCGTGTTCTGGTGCAGCCAGGCGGCTCTGTAGGAAGGAGGAGGAGGTCGTCGGTGTAGTGGAAGTAAGCCGTCGGGCTTCGTAGCTTCCGTGCTCGGGTTGAGGGACTGTATACAAAGTTTGGGTTTGTCCCGGAGCAGGCAGGGTTGGTCTCAGAGTTGTGGGAGGGAGAAAGGAGGGAGCAAGAATGTCCGATGAGGAAAGGGTCGACGGTCGAGATTGTCGAGGGATGGGTCTGGTCTGTAGGTCTGTAGGGAGGAGAGAAAGAAAGAAAGCACGGAGGGGTGTTTTTCTTTTTCTCAGTTGGTCCAAGATCGTTCTTTTTTTTTCCGTGGGGACCACCTTTTTTTTTCTTCCTTTGGTTGGCCTCCACCGATCCACTACGAGTTCTACGAAGCTTCCGATTTTCCGTATGACGATAGACTATAGTAGTACTGAGGTAGGCGATATTAGATCAAGAAATGAGACGAGAGATAATTATATACGGGAGTCAAGAATACAAGAATACCGGGGACTGAGCTCCGATCTTGGGCATATTAGTAGTCTCTGCGGAGTATACAATGAAAATGGAGTAGTACCAACGGAAGTATACCGATATTTAACCTCGTTCCAGTGGACTACAATCGATGATGAATACATATAATCTTACACTTGTTATAACGTTCCAGTCTATTATTATAGCTTCCATCATCATCATCATCATCATCATCATCATCTCCTCCAGATCGACTCGGTCGCATGCAAACTCCCTTTTGGAGCCCCCTCCTCGGTCCGACCAAGTCAGCACCAGCTGAACAAACTACTTGGAAGGGGCGCCTATCAAGGGCCTCTCTCTGTCTCAACCCATCAAAGGATCCTCCTCAGGCCCCGCCGATCCAGACCCCATTGGGGCGGGCACGATCGAGCCTCGTTTCCTAAGTTTCTCTAGGCTCATTGACTTCCCTGGTCAAGACTCGAGTCGTCTCTCCCTCCTGCCGGAGCTTCGGAGTAGCCGGTAGCCCATTGGCACAACCAGTCAACTAATGATTAACAGGCTCGAGGTCACTCCCGTTTTGTTCGTCTTTCTCTCTCTTTGCAGTGTCGATAACTCAATAGTAGTCACGATGGGAGTATGTACATACTCAACCACACTGAACTCGACTGGCTCAACTCCCCAGGCCCATTATTCTGACCGATGACGACATGCGGCCGTCCCTGGCGAGATGAAAGTGGAGCCGCCTTGGAACCACCATTGAAGAGCCTGGAGAAGAGCGGCTGGACGGCTTAACAACGGAGGTTGGAGTACCTGACTAGGTTACCACTACGGAGTATTGACTATGTACATACTGTACCTGCTTCAAGGCTCCAGCTTGGAACCGGGCCAGCCTGGGCAAATTGGGGTTCCCTGAAGTGGTTCTTGTCCAGGTCGATTCTGGTTAGCGGGGAGTAATCCGGACTCCGTACTGGGAAACATCCCTCGGGAGCAATTGCTGACGGGGAGCTGGTACTTATCGTCTGGCTGTTAAAGGAGGAGGGGTTCAGCTCGCCATGATGCTCAGGATTAGGCCGTATGCCTGAACGAGCTAGAGACTAGTAACTCCAGCTGAAGTTCATTATTATTGTCCCCCGTGAAAGGGGTGCTTGAAGCCAGTAGTCTCTTCCTGTAGTGCCGACAGGTACTTTCCCACGTATTCCACCACGTATTAATCCCAGTATCCGAGCACGACTCTCCCTAACCCCTCAGGCGAAAAGGGGAAGCCCCGCTGCCCATCTTTGGATCTGTCCATTCGACATACCATACCGAGTAGATGGAGAGTACGGAGTACTGTATTGAGTATGATTGCTATCGAGGAGTCGTAGTTTAGTTTACACACATATCCTCCGAACAGGCCCGTGAATCTCTCCCCTCAGCTTTGTCAATCGCCAGCCGCTAGTTAGTTCATCCACGGCCCCTGGCATATACGACCAGCCCATCTTCTTGGCAACCACCTTGAATTGGTGACTTTCCGCTGATTCATCCTTCCTACCAGCGGGTCGCTTCCCCTTGCTCCTTATTTGTTCCTGGTCTCGTCTGAACCGGATTTCTGCTGGCTGAGCGTCTCGCACGGCCCAGTATGTCTACTGTAGCAAGTACTTTGTACTGTACGGAGTACTTCTCCAGGACGGAGTACAGTGGTGTTCCATAAGTTTGTAACACCCGAAAAAGTTCAAACCCATCTCATCAGCTATACTTTGAAAGACAAGTTGAAACACAGATGCCGGGAACATAAAATCGAGGCATATTTTGACGGCCTGTTTTCTTGGTCCCTGGCTTCAGACTTTTGAACTGCCACTGTACTTGTGGAAGCGACCTCGGACTCGCAGACACTCCCCTCGCGCCCAAGCAACAGCCCCAGTCGTCCACTTGTCCACTTGTCCCCTTGTCCAATTTCCGATTTGAAGGTCCAGCCCAGCCCACATTCAACCCACAAGCTAACAAGCTAACCCACTAGAGCTCCCCACGCTAAATCTCACGCGAGATCTGGGCTGATCATAATCTCGGTCACCCTACGGAGTAGTAGTACTGTACTCCGTACCTACAATCCTATCCACCATTTACCGACCGAGTTACGAACCGGATTCACATTTTTCCCCAATAGATCAGAGCCGCCTCCAGGAACACTTTTTAACCCGACCTGAGTAGGACCTCCGAGCCGTGTCTCCCAATTTCGAGACAAATTGGGGCAGTCTTCCCTCCTTTGAAGACAATGATCGCCGAGGAGAAACAAGCGTGAGACTTGTACCTGGATTTTGCATTGTACCTGCGTCGTGTGCTGCAAGGGCGGGCACACACTCGACGTGGCAATAGGATCACGAGGAAGCTTGATCTGCAGCGTTGACCCCACGTAGCTTCCTATTCAAGTCTTCAGTATGGAGGACACCAGACATGCTGTACAATTACTACTGTATGTAGAAGGGACCAGAGTAGTACATAATCACTACTTTAAAGTATGGACCAACTTGATCCGACCGCATCGCACCAGGCTGGTGTGCTTCCCCCTCATCCCCACATTGGAAGCTCTCTCTCTGTATGCCGCCCGTCCCACGTAATTGGACCGTAGATCTGAGAAATCATCAGGATTGCGTGCACACAAATGTCACCTCGATTTCGCTTGAAACATAGCATTGGCCCATCACATTGATCGGACTCATAGCAGCACGTGGTGGAGTATGTAGAACTCCAGGTAGGGGCCATGCTAGTGTTGAACTTTGGCAGACTACACTATTGGAGGCGACTCCATGTTTGCGATATACTGTTTGTGCGTATTACGGAAATACATCATTTAAAGAAATTGAATCCGCAAGGCTGCTGAGAGAATAAGTAGCTGGTCACCTGCAACGCATAAGGGCGCCGAGTGAGTGACCGCCTGGCCTTGACTGTCAGGCTGCCAGGCACGATCAGCCCCCTGGTGCGCCACACTTTCATCCACAGCCACAGCTCCCCGCCACATTCTGCGCCTTCCCAAATCGATCAACTCCTCCAGCATCAACACTCCCATCCATCTCAAACATCCTCAAGACAGAATGAATGCCTGACTGCCTACATTCAAAACGTGGCCCATCTCAGTAGACCCAACTGAGCGGGGCCATCCCTTCGGCCTCTCTTCTTTGTCTTCCTCGTCTTTCTTTCTCTCCGTCTCTCTGGTCCAGGTCTTTGTTGGCTTACATTTATCTTCCCATTCAACGAATTCTCCGACCTTCATTTTATCTCCAGCTCTACCTTCATCTCTATCACCCAGAATCAATATGTCACGCCCATCCCCGCGCAAAGTTCACCGCCGTAAGAAGGTGATGCACCATCGACAGGGCAGAGTGCGCAAGCTGAAAAGTGGGTCCTCGAACCTGGCAGGCCAGCCAGGTCCGAATGGGAGTCAAGCACCTCGGAAGGCAAAGCAGGCATCAAAACCCAGAATATCCGAGTCTGACGATCCACTAGAAGATGTAAGTTTCATCTCCTCCCTGCTTGATTGCGGTTCACAATCATTGTCTAATCTTGCATAGAATGTGTTTGAACGTACGCCCATGCCAGCGGGTTATTCTTTTGTCCCCAAGGGTGATGTTTACATCACTCGAAAGTGTCGGCTCATGACCAAGGAGATTGATCAAGTTGTGTACAAGGTCTACGTGAGTACCAACATACCTCTTTTAAGACATCTATCTTCCATTCCTTACCGTATCATTCTAATCAACTTCCGTAGAACAAAACAGGAAAACGGTCTTCCGGGATCCGAGTACCCTCTGACATCTACAATGAGGTTCTAGCCATGTCCAAAGAGACCGAAAAATCTCGCGCCTCCGCCACTAGAGCCCGGGACACCAAATTCCTCGACCAAGGACGAGAGCTCTTACGAGACCAATTCCCGTTGATGCCAGAGGATACGCTCGATATCATTATGGAACATGCCTTCTGCAAAGGCTCTAGAAGAGTAGGCCGTACTGGTACTCTCTCGGACAGTCACAAAGCCCAGTTGGCTGTCGAGGCTCATGTTCGACACAAATACACCCCTTACGAGGCTATGCTTGCAAGTGGTGAGGATCGAACGATGGCCCGCAGAAAGGTCTGGGATACTGTCCAAATGATCCGGAAGGCGTGGGAGGGGACTGGATCAAAGATAGATGAGTGCTTGGCATTGCGTTTGGGATGATTTGGCATTTTCTGTGCGTTGGTTGTGTAAGAGGGTGTTGCATAGCAATGGAGTTTTGGTTTAGATATGGGATATGGCATGTGAAGAATGGTTTTATGATATTGTGATACTTGAATGATAATGAATGTTAGTTAGCGACCATGGCTTGATTCATCTATTTTCTTTTTTTCCATTCACATGGGACTCGCCGCATCCTGAGGCTGTTCAGTTTGCTTTCCCGCGAGCTTCTGGCCCTGCTTAATCGATGTCGGGTATGCTCAGGGCCTCTTGGCCTATGTCCATGCATATTATCCCGTTTTTTTCATCTTCTCCTACCCACCCAAACCTACTATCGAAGTGAATCTTCGGTTCATCCCAGCTCGGCGAGAAGCACCGCCATTAACCCCATTTGGATTGGCGCGCTCAGGGGCAGCCGCAGTTAAGCATCAATCAGCGCTGGGCAGTGGATCCCGGCCCCCACCCAACATCCAAGGGTCCCATTCGCCTCGTGGTCCAAGCGAAATCAGTCGAATGGAGAATCTTGTTGCGCCGACTCTCCCCCTCCTCCGTCAGCATTCGGCCCAGCTCGACTCGATATTTCCCTCCATCATGGCCCCTCCCCGTCCACCATGTTGAGGCGATACCTGCCCGTCCGGGGATGGCTTGGCCGGCGGCGCTCCGTCGTGCTCATCGCCCTGCTAGCCTTGTTCTTGCTAGTCAGGAGTCTGCCAGCGCTGAAAAGTGAATTGGATGGCCGTGTGGGCCTTGCGCTCCCCGAGGACCGGCCGCGATACCTCTACCACTCCGCATTCCGCAAGAACCCAGATCGGATGTATGAAGAGCAGCTGTCGAATGCACTGCAAGAAATTGAGCGGCAGCAATTATCGCTGACTGGCGACGAGGATAAGACGCATACATTATGGCAGATCATGCTGGGGCTGGACCCCAGCGCGGAAATCCGGGGTGACGATTCACTGACATTCGAGAAGAAGAATTCCGAATGGAAATACAAGGTAAGATCGCGAGAACTGGTCCTCTGCGTATGTCGCAACTCGGCGCGCATCTCGCTGACTATCGCAAATAACCAGCTCGTGACCACCGAATGGGCCGAAGAATTCATAACGATCACTCTTGCCTCCATCCCAGGCCTCGCCACTCTTTACCATTCATACCCACATCACGTCCTCCGCGCGGATCTACTGCGCTATCTAATGCTATGGTACTTCGGCGGCTACTACGCCGACACGGACGTTTTCCCCGCTCGATCTATCAAACAATGCCCATCACTACAGAACTCCGTATTCCAAACCGACAACCCCGATATCTCACTCGTCGTGGGCATCGAAATTGACGAACCATTTGCTTCGCCCCAGAAAATGCACGACTGGCACTGGGTCCGCAGCTACGGCTTCATCCAGTACACCATGTACGCACCGCGTCGCTTCAGTCCACTACTGAGAGAAGTGATTATCCGAGTCCTATCACATACCAAGCGCCACATCGACGAAAGTAACATCTTTCTCGGGGCGCGATATAATGAACTCACTACCCTTGAAATCACTGGACCGGGCGTCTTCACCGATGCCATTCTAGACGTGTTATCGGACACGTTACCCGCAAACCACTCGTTAATCTCACAGTCACTCAAGGCAGATGCAGGCCTGGGCGACCTCGTACCGGAGTATTCAAGCGTCCCGCAAGAGCGCGTGACCTGGGCACCGTTCTACCGACTCGAGACACCATTGTGCGTCGAAGGCTCCGAGGCTAAACCGGGCACTCAGCTGGGTGGACTGTGTGTTCTCCCTGTGAATGCTTGGGGTAATGGGCAGAGACATAGCGGATCAGAAGATTTTGGCAGCTCTCATGCCTGCATCAACCATCGGTTTGGTGGGACGTGGAAGCCGTGGAAGCAGAGCTGGAAGAAGTATCTCTTTGGATGAGTGGGATTTAGGTTTCTGTCTCGGGTTGTATTCATTTTAGACAAACCTTTTCTTCTGTACATATATGCACTTCAATACATGGGATAATGTCCGTCGGTTTTCCTATCTGGGCTGCCGTCGCTTTTATGAAGGCAATCAGGCTCAGGCCCACTGGGTAAATGCCAGTATTCCGTTAATCTCTCCAGCTCAAGGTCTACTCTACGCAGATTGATTTCAGCAACCAAACCTATCTCTGGTTCCACCGGGATATCGGAATATGGGGTCAGCTGTCAGATGGAGGCGATGTGTAATGCCAGCCGGATGGATCTCCGTAAGACACTCCGGAAATAGTAACTCTTCTGGCCACCAGCGAATCGCATTACGGTTGTGAGTCCTGGAAAATACGTAGAACCTTTCCAAAGCAGGATATTTCGAACGCAAAGAGAACCACAGAATATTATGCGAATCCAACACTGCTTGTGGCGGTCCAATGTGGATAACGCTCCAGATACGATGCATCTGTGAATTCAGTTGGATTATGAGTCACTCCACCGACAACCTAGACTACTAAATCTTTGAGCCACCAATTACTGCTGCTTTTCCAAGGTCCAGCGATCTCCTCAATGCCTTGATTCTTCGTTCCGTCACGAGAATCGAGTCTGGATAGTCCTCCTTTATATCGCGGCCAAGTAGTAGGTTGGCCACAAACTGCGACATGCGGAACGCTTTTATCATGCCAGTAGCATGGTAGCCGCCACATACCCATTGATGGGTGCGGTGTGGGAATGGCAGCCGGCCAGCAAAGGGCATGCCGTCTTGCGAGAATGCAAGGATTCCCGACCAGGCATGTGTAATATGAGCCGACGATCCTGGGATAGGAGAAGCGGCAACCTCGTCCCCAAAGCCACGTAAGTGCGCAATAGCCCCAAGGTCTGTCTCACTGTCATCGGCGGTTGCTCTGCGGCCGGTATTCGCACGTCCGACGACAATGTCACCCTCTTTGCGTTGGATGAGATAGTCGTAATCTTTGTCTCCATAGCGGAGCCAGTATGAAAAGTGGCGATCGAATCCGAGTACCGAGGAGTTTGCATTGCTGCTTGGTGGTACAGCCCCATAATGCACTACATTTCCTCTCACTGGAGATATATAAGGTTGTAATTCCGGCAAGAGATGTCCCAGCCAGGCATTCGTAGCATGGATAACGTTTTGTGCTTTGATATTCCCGCGTTGAGTGTGAACGACGGCAAAGTCGTCTGCCTGCCTATCTGTGATGGATTGTACTGTCGTGTGCGTTTGGACGTTGAGCTTTCCTGACTCGATCAATTCGCCCAAAACACTCGTGATCCACTTGTATGGCCAGAGCGACGCAGCCGGGATGCCGATAGCGCCAATACAGCGCGAAGATAGCTTCAGAATCTGATGCAGATGAGCTTTGTCGATATAGACGCTGTGCTTAGCGGCCAAATGGGGAGCATGTTTCCCCATATCCTCAAGTGCTTTCACGGCCTTGTCGAATGTTTTTTGGTCACAGTATGCTTCGATACCCTCAGTCAACTGGAGATCACAGTTTATACCGTCTTCGCGAATAGCTTGCGTCATTGCCTGTAGATGACTGTTCTCGAACTCAGAAATCCGAATTGCTTCTTCAATGCCAAAAGTTCGTTTGCGTTCTTCCCACATCGCAAAGGTCATAGTTTTGATGTGGCCACCATTGCGAGCGGTCGCTCCGGAACAGAGAGCGCGAGCGTCCACGAGGACAACACGTAGGTCTGGTTTCAAGGAAAGAAGTGTCCGTGATAGGCCCATTCCAGAAATACCTGAGCCTATGATAACCACGTCGACCGTGTCTGTTGGCCATGGGGATTGGTGGTTGGCAAGGTGGTGGGGGGATGAATGCCAGAAGGGAGTTGTCGCATTTGGAACAGGAAGGCCGGGGTCAATGACTCCTGGATCATAAATGCCTTCCAGAGCGCCAGACATTATCAAGACGATAATTTGACAAGAAACCGAGCTTAATTGATAACCAACAAAATATGGTGGATATTGCAATCAAGCAGTTCATCCGTGTTCATTTATACCCTTCGACTTTCGCGATTCCATTCCTCGGTAAAAGTATCCCAAGCTGAGGTTGATAACTTCCGGTTGGCCCTCTGTGGTGGGGTGCGCTATTTGGAAAATGGGCGATGGTCGGAGTGAAAGTGTTCTCATTCTACTTGCCCGAATGGGTAGACACGTTTTCCAACACGGAACATCATTGCGAGGAGGACAACATAATACTGTTAGCGGTAGCGGTAATATGGAATTCAGGTCAGTAATCTTCAAAGGGCCAGATGAGCAATATTCATCTTATTCTGGGTCTCATTTGAACTTCCTTCTGTATACACCTGGTGGAAATAGCCCCTCTCCGAGTCGAGGTAAAAAAGTGAAAACTCCGTTTCTCGTTCAACCTTCCCAAACGAGTCAAAACAGGTACGAAGGTCGAATCATCGTCGCTGCGCGCTGATCCTCCGAGCTATACATAACTTGACAATTTGAACCGAGTTGAACTCGCCGACTGCCTGCTGGCTATAAGTTGCTACTCACTGAAGATTACTTCGTTTCTATCGATCGTAAGAATGTATCATATAGTGTCTACAGTAGACGGAACAAATGATCCCGAATCCTCTTGGGAGGTAAAAAATAGATAAGTAGTAGCACATGCTGTAAATAGTGCAGAATATTAAATCCTATTTCCGATCGTACGAGGTTGAAAAAGTGCCGGCATACTGGTTCCCAGCGTGAGCCTTCCATCCGAAGCTCGACTGGCATCACAAATGAAGATCTTCCGCGGGATAAAGTCATATCATTCGGAGTCTATTAATCTTGTTGATATGAAGTACCTGCGGACTTAAAAAAGCCGCCTCTCAATTGATATCATACCTTATTATCAAATTTCATACTATATATACGCTCACATAAGGAACAACTGTCCCTGAGGTAACAGATGAGTCCATCGAATCCCCTCGCTTCTTCTGGCCCAGATATGTCGCAGCTGCGCAAGTCCCTTGAGCACATTGGCGAACTTACTTCTGTTGTAATTTTCGATCAAGACATTTTCAAAGAAAGCCTTGTGTTCGTCCAGAATGCAATCCGAAGCTGCGATAAATGTTGCCCAGACCAAAACCTGTTTCCCCGGTGACCCCGTTGGAAAAGTTTCAAGCGTGCTTTTGAACATTTCTAGACGATCAATTGACTCTCGAGTGAAATCCTCAGTTTGAAAAATCATTGAACCGGTGAGTGCTTGCCGAAGATAGATATCGTGTGCTTGTCGCACGAGGTTCTCGATGCAGGATAAAGCTTCGGCGTGTTTGGGTTCAGTCTGGGAACAGTACCTGATGCAGTCGAAAAGTTGTTCCCAATGAGATGGCGAAGATAGTATGTTCAAGCCAACACGTTCACTTATCAACGGGGCTGCATAGACTCGCATTCTATGGGGCTGTATTAGTAAAAGCTAATCTTTGCTGGCACGGAATACCTTGAAAAAATAAAGAAAAGAGTCGCTGACTTTCGGACTTGACGGATGATAAAGTCACCTAACTCGCTTCCTCCCAATTGACATTCCCCTCCAATAACTTTGATTGCTGCATCTAGCATACCGAACAAGATTGGAAAGTCGGTCCTTCCATTCACCATCACGGTAGTAAGTAGTACGAGAATTGTGACAATGATGGATTGCTTTGCGTCAAAGTCACTTTTAGCGAAATCTCGTCGTTGCTTCAGGCCTCGAATCGTGAGATCATAGAGAAATTCAGCACTGGTGCGGTCGTCTGACAAAAACCCGCGGGGCGGCATGAAGAGGCTGTCATCCAACTGTTGCTCTGTCCCTTCTTGGAGAGATATATGGAAGGCTGATACAGTGAGGACGGCACTCATCACCAGTCCATCAGTATGTGCAATAGGGAGAATTATATGGCGCCATCCATTATGTCGTCCATCAATTGCTATCATTTCAACTGCAATGCGGTCCGAATCTTGGAAAAGTTCATATCACTAATCTGGCCGGAAGGAAACGTATGTATATGACGTACAGTGTGAAAGCAACCGCTGTTGCCAAGGCGGGATATTATCAGGCAAAGGTTCATACAGCAATCGAGTCATGGAATTCATGAATCTCGAAGTTTGCGCAAGATGTTGCTGTGAGGAAAGTGAGTTGTCATGCGGTCGGGGGACCTCCTCGTCATCGCAACTATACGACAGCACAGATACGCCATCAACCGAATAAGATGTAGAACAATCGAGGAAGTTAAGAGGGAAATCATCTTCATTCTCACTAGGATTCGTCTCAGGTAGACCGAGTAGATCGGCATTGGAGACCTCGTGGTGCTTTCCCCTGGTCAACCCACTTTGGGGGGCAGTCATCTCCTGCGACTCGGGCACATGTCGTTCATCAGCCAACACTTCGCTGATATCGCAGCAACCAGAAAGGCAAGATCCTATTGGTGGTTTCGTAACAGTGGTGCGACCTGGCCGGTAATGCCGGGGTTTTTCACTAAGCCTGCCGAGATCCGCTGTCAATAACCGCCCATGAGGAGAAGAGCAAGTATATTACCTTTGATAGAGAGAGTTTACCGACTCGCCCGCCCATTTGCCACGAACGCTAACTCCTTTCGTGAAACGATACCGCAGGTCAAGGCCGCTACATTGTAGCCCCCTCGAGACGCATTTCGTGCATTCGGGCGTTGTTCGATCACAGGATATGCGCCGCTGGGAGCATTCGTAGCAGCCTATTTATGAATTTCAATTTTAGATGCGCAAGAACTGAGGGCATAGATGCAAACCTTTGATCTTCGGACGATAGGGACGGTGGCGTGGGCTCATGTTGGCGGCGCGGAGTGACGGTAACTACGATGCGCTTCAGAGACCTGTGATAAGACTGCATAGATCATCCAAGTATCCCACTCGTAGAAACTATGGTCAGTAGCTTCAGGAGTGAAACAGAAGATTAGATCAGTCGTGATTCAAATGATCGTTGATTCGCAATCGGGGATCCCACGTTGGGCTTTGAGGAGTGCTAGTTGGAGATATCGGATGACTCCAGGAATGGATCCTAGGGTAAGTGGAGGTTGGGTTGGGTCTCATTTGACATTCCCCATCGAGCCAAGCGTACCGAACGAACTCCACAACTTCGAGCGGCCAGACTAGGTACCGTGGTACTGTACTCTCCGAGTCTAAGAGAGGTAACTACTCAACCAATTTACAAGTAGCTGATAGCGTTGGAAAGTGGAGAGTGCGAAATCTTGCGGAGCCCCGCGTTCCTTATCGAGTGGTCTCATACAGCTTCCAAACTCGGCCCACTCATGCGAGCACGAAAAAGACCGCCTTGAATCAATGCCGGGCATGGATCTATTGGAAATCTCATGTCTGAGGTGGATTGCCTCTCCCCGCATCAACAAAACCCGACTTCCCCGAATCCCAAATAATGACATTTGCAAAGAGGCTGAGGCGCATTGCCCCGAGAAAGTCGTCCTGTTCTCCAAACAATACCAGACAGATAGGACCACGGCAAACTTTAAGCCTTGTGAAGCCCCGACGGCCTTTATAAGTCGATGAACTGCTTCCAAACTACGCCTGCCGTTCCTCCTCAGTCTAACTACATCCCCTCCGCGTCTGCCACGACGGTACTCCTATCTACCCACAATGGAAGTGAAAACAGGTAATTTTTGCCCATTGCAGTGAGAAATCATCATTTCCGCTAACTCCTACGGGAAATTAGACAGGGCGAGATCGATTGAAGACGATTCCGGTCAGCTTGAGGGTACGGCCGCTTAGCATACCTCTATGAAATGGTATCACCAATCTAACATGTTTCCCCATAGGCCATAAGGGTGAGTATTCTAACGGATTCACACTTCCGATCGGAGTGTTGACCTGCTGGTAGTTGAGCAGGGCCATGTTGGCAACGTGCTGGTTCTCGAAACTCTCGGCCTTGAGGCGCAGATGAAGAAGAATCTGGGTCCCTTTGCAATTCTCTGTGTGGGATTCAACATCTGCAACAGTTGGGTGGGCTTGGCGGCCACCATGGTCATTGGTATGGAGCAAGGAGGTAGCGTTACGGTTGTACACGGGATGCTCGTCGTTCTCTTCTTCATGTGCTGCTCGGCTCTCACCATGGCCGAATTGGCCAGTGTATATCCCACAGCCGGAGGCCCTTATCATTGGACTTCGATCCTGGCTCCCAATTATTCGAACCGAGTTATGGTCAGTTGTTTGGATCGTCCAACGTGATCACCGCATATCCCGATTACTGACCCTTTTCTCCAAGAGCTACATCGCTGCCTGTTTCAACATTTTCGGGTGGTTATCGATTACTTCCGGTGTGGTCGTTCAGCCTGGCCAGTTCATTCAGGCCGTACGAATATTCTTCAATCCAGAGGTTAACGTACCCGCTTGGCAATATTTCCTCTTCTTTCAAGCTGCTAATATTCTCGTGCTACTACATAATGCAATACTCCAGCACCGTACCCCATGGGTTCATGATATTGGATGTAGGTATAGTGGTAACGGTCATGCTTGATTCAGGACGTCATGAGCTGATTAGAGTTTCAGTTATGCTCTCAATTACCTCGTTTGTCGTTATAATCGTAACCTGCCTCTCCCGGACAACGTCCTTTAACTCATCGGAGTTTGTCTGGACGACCTTCATCAACAACACTGGATGGAAGTCCAGCGCTGTGGTCTTCTTAACAGGAATGGCCAACCCAAATTTCATGTTCGCTGGAATCGATGGAGCAGTCCACCTCGCCGAGGAAGTTTCTGATGCTGCGAAATTTGTTCCACGCGCTTTAATGAGCACCATTGTGATCGGCTTCATCACAGCCTTTGGGTTTTCCCTTTCAATGCTTTACAGTCTGACCGACTTTGATAAAGTTCTGCAAGGTCTGACTGGGTGGGTTGCCAATCTTTATTTTTATTTCTTGAGTAACCATGCTGACACGAAGAAATTAGCGTGCCTATCTATGAAATTTGGTATCAAGCAACCCGATCCCAAGCAGCCGCCACCGTCTTTATCTTTGTCTTGCTTTCAATTGCTTTCTTCTCGTTGAACGCCGTCGTCGAATCTAGTTCTCGCCTCACATGGGCCTTTGCTCGTGATAACGCTCTCCTTGGCTCTAAACTCATTGGACAAGTCCATCCCCTCCTTCAGGTACCCATCTGGGCTCTATTAGCCAATGCCACCGTTATATTCATAATCGGTTGCATCTATCTGGGGTCATCAACGGCATTCAATGCGTTCATTAACTCGGGATTGTTACTCCAGCAGTGCAGTTTCGCCATTCCTGCTGCCTTGTTAATGTGGCATGGACGGTCTGACAGAGTGCTTCCCGAGTCTCGAGCTTTCAATCTTGGCCTCTTTGGATGGTTTGCCAACGCTGCTACTGTACTCTTTGCGCCACTCATTACGATCATGTACTGCTTTCCCGTGAGCATGCCAGTTACCCCCTCTGGAATGAGTGAGTTCATCCTGTGAGATTATCAGTGGAGTCGGTACGTAAGCTGATATTTCATCAGACTATACAGCTGCTGTGGTAGGAGTGATGGGGCTTTTCTCTATGGCGAACTGGTTTCTATATGCGAGAGAGCATTACAGAGGGCCACGTCTTCCGTCTATGTAGAGTGAAGCTATGCTAAGTGTGTTTTATTAGTGTTGAGCACTAGCAGACCTGGTCCTATGATCTAGGGATGAAAGGTGTTGGTGGTTGGTGGTCGTCTGCCATATATGAAGAACGTTTTAGGGGAGCGTTCAGGCTTGCGAGAGCCTCAGTGAAGACACTCAGTGACGACACTCAGTAATTACAGTTATATAACTTTAGTATATTGTGAAGTAGTTTCTTCCCTACTCAAGGCCTAGCTGCAGCAAACTTATAGGCAGACTGTCGCGCACACAACTACCATACGCTCCAGCCATTTTCCCCTTCTGATAGAATATTATTGGTTGCAGAATCAATGATAGAGCGGACAGCTCTCCATTCAGGCATAAGAAAATACAAAATTTCAGAGGCGTGCTCGCGTGATTCGAATCAAGCATACTGAGTATCCATTTAAAGTGCTGTACGTTTGTTGTCTTCCCAATCTGGCACTTAGGGCTAACCCCGAGCCCGCCTTATCGCGCTAGTCCCAATGCGTTATCAAAAGTTCCTGCTCCGCTGAGGTTCAGACTGAGATTCAGACTGAGATTCAACTTGATTCTCCAATCAAGCCTTCTCACAATGGAACGACCAGAGCTTGTGGAGTCTCCGCGGAAGCGGCAAAAGACTGAGGATGCTCCTGCAGCTGATGTCACGGTCGATGTGCTTTCAGGAAGTGACAGCGCCGCGACACCAAATGCGCAGACCACCAAGGAACATGATGTTGGCATTACGGAGCTCGTGACCGCCGATAGCGAGGGATTCTCGGGAATTTTGAAGAAGAGGTATTGTTGGGAGCTCCACAGGATCTCATAATCATTGTACTAAACGTTCTACTACAGATATACCGATTTCTTGGTCAATGAGATCACACCCTCCGGCGAAGTTGTTCACCTCCAAAACACCCGTGCACCCTTCTCTTCGAGCAATGAGGAAGCCCCTGCGAATGATACGCAGCAGCCTGCGCCTCAGACAACGGAGACACCAGCTCAAAAGGAGGAAGTTTCGGAGACCTCAGAAGCTGCGACACCCGCGGAGTTCAAGGTGTCGGAAGAGGACAATGCTCTGCTTGCAGAGTACTTTGGCGTTGAAAAGGCGGCCGCAATTGTCAATCTACACCAGACAGCGATGGACTCACCACGGGCTCGTCCTAGTGAACTGGGCAAGGTCATCGTTGCGGTCGCCGACCGGGATCTCCGCACCAAGATCCACCAAGCCATTCGCCGCATTTTTAACTCGCAGTTAGAGTCGAGCACCGATAGTGAGGGAAACCTCGCTATCACGGCAGCCGGCAACCGCTTCAAGCGCAAAGCTCAAGGTCACCGTGGTGGCGGTGGTCGTGGCGGTGGCCGCATGAACTGGGACGAGCTGGGTGGCCCGTATCTCCATTTCACCATCTACAAGGAGAACAAGGACACGATGGAGGTCATCTCATACCTGGCACGCACCCTGAAGATGAATCCGAAGACGTTCCAGTTCGCCGGTACCAAGGACAGGCGCGGTGTGACCGCGCAGCGCGCCTGTGTCCTTCGTGTTCAAGCAGAGCGACTTGCAAACATGAACAAGACTCTGCGAAATGCTTGCCTGGGCGACTTTGAGTACCGTAAGCATGGGCTTGAGCTTGGCGACCTCGGCGGTAACGAGTTTGTGATCACGCTCCGCGACTGTGAATTCCCCGGTGTGGACATGAAAGATGCTCAAGCTGCTGTGAGCAAGGCTTCCGAGATTGTTGGCACCTCTTTGAAGAATCTTCACGATCGTGGTTACTTCAACTATTACGGTCTTCAGCGATTCGGTACCTTCTTGACCCGGACTGATACCATCGGCGTCAAGATGCTGCAAGATGACTTCAAGGGAGCTGCCGAGGCCATCCTTCATTACAGTCCACATGTCCTCGCTGCCGCGCAGGAGGGCGAGTCATCAACAGCCCTAATTAGCACTGACGACAAGGCTCGTGCCGAAGCAATCTATATCTTCCAGAGCACCAACAACGTCAACGACGCTCTCGCCAAACTTCCGCGGAAGTTCTCTGCCGAGGCCAACATCATCCGTCATCTGGGTCGGGTCAAGAACGACTACCTGGGTGCCATCATGTCCATTCCCCGCAATTTGCGATTGATCTACGTGCACGCTTACCAGTCCCTTGTATGGAACTTTGCCGCTAGCGAGCGCTGGCGACTCTACGGCGACAAGGTTGCCGAGGGTGATCTGGTCATTGTTAGCGAGCATCGGGATAAGGAAGCGACCGATGATACCGCAGCTAATAGCGGCGTCGATGCAGACGGCGAGGTTGTCGTTCTGCCCGAGGGTGAGAACAGCTCATACGCCGCGGAAGACGCATTCACTCGGGCTCGGGCTTTGACCGCCGAGGAGGCCGCTAGTGGCAAGTACTCCATCTTTGACGTGGTTCTACCCCAACCTGGCTTCGATGTCCTGTACCCAGCCAATCAGATGACCGAGTTCTATAAAAAGTTCATGGGCAGCGAGCAAGGTGGTGGCCTTGATCCTTTCAACATGCGCCGCAAGAACAAGGATACCAGTCTGAGCGGTGGTTACCGTAAAGTCTTTAGCCGGATGGGGCTTCACTTCTCGCATGAAGTCAAGCTGTACTCCGAGGACAATGAGCAGTTTGTTCAAACGGACATGGAGAAGCTCAAGGGCAGTACCGAGGGTGGCAGTGCAGTGACGACCCAAACTGGCGACAAGTTGGCTGTTGTGTTGAAGTTCCAATTGGGCTCTAGCCAGTACGCGACCATGGCTCTTCGCGAGCTGACCAAGGGCTTGGTCCGTGAATACAAGCCTGATCTTGGTGGTGGTCGATAAGCGAATGATTGTATGATACGACGGAATCACTGGCCCTCCACTTTCGTTGTACATAGTCTGTTATTCAAAAGTGGAACAGATTCACCATGAAACACATGGCAATGAAGAGTCATCGCGTGTATGCCCCGTTTATTACAGAGACCCTTTCTACGTCCTCTGGCTAAGTCGATTATCTGACGCTATTTAACGCTCCAATAATGTTGGAAACCTTCAATGATGAAGAAAGATCATATTTGTAACCTTTCAAGTTGGATATAAACAAGCCCACATATTAAAGAAACACGTTTCCACCACAACGCCAGTGCTCCAGTGCTTGAAACTCGTAAAACGAACGACTGGTATATAAAATCCTAAAACTTGGACACACCCAAGTACCATCACCCTGTCGCCGGAACGACGGCCCATGGCCCTCATGAGATCCGCGGATGCTCATCATCAAAAGACGAAACAGAAGACATGTCATCAAAATCACGTTCATGATCCGTCCGCCCATGCTCCCCGGAAACAATCGACACCGCATCAGTCTCATCACTACTCTGATTCTCAAATGGCATCCGCACACTCGCCAGCCCACCACTAGGCGGTCCAGCACTGACACGGTGACTGGCCGATGATACCGGGCGACTAAACTCACGTAGATCATGCTCCGTCGCGCTGAGTCGTTGGTCCATCGGGACGGCCACGGCGACTCCCAGTTCCGTGCGTGGATCGTCATCTGAGCGTGCAGATGCGGAACCGGGCCTGGGGGCGTGTTCGTGGTCTTGACTTCTCATCACATCGATTACTGGTAGTCGGGACAGATTTACTGTCGCTGGTTGGGGAGAAGTGATGGCGATCTTGGGCGTAGTAGTCATGAGAGCGGCGGTTGAGACGCCTGGTGTTTTGGTATCTGACATTTCATATGGAGGACGGGCTTTGCGATGCTTCCGACGACGAACAAAGAAGAATATCAGAGCTAGAATGACGAGGAGACCGACTATAGCGATGGGCAGAGCGATGGCGAGTTTGTTTTTGACCGAGTCGCCTCCACCGGAGTAGGCGCCGGGGGCTGCTGTCCCGGTCTCGAGGGCACTAGAACTAGTAGTGGTAGTACTGACCACTGTGCCGGAGAGAGTCATGGCTGTCTCTGAGGATGCAGTTGGGAATGTCAACGTTATAGTCATTGGTATACTGGTTTCAGACACCACGGATAGACTGCTGATTGAGGAGGGCATGGCTGATGTCGTGTCGCTTGTAGTCGCCGACGATGCAGGTGTTATCGACGCACTCCCAGCCAAACTTTCCAACAACCCTTCAGGCAATGAAGCAGCTTCCGCAGCCAGATTGTGGCTTGCTGCCATCTGCGAAGTCTCTGCTGTGACTGGCGTCGCAATTCCATCAGTTCCCCAAGTCGTTCCCAAGATCGCGCTGGTTTCCGAATTAACGATCGATGCCTGTTCGTCCCATGATGACTCTCTTGGCTGTCGCTTGAAATAATCCACATCCATGGAATCGTCCATGGTGACTCCCACAAGTGTGTACTATATCCCAGATCACTTTCACTGGAGAGTTGTGTATTTCGTAGTCCAGGAGCAGTTGAAAATCGAGGTCTTGCAAATTCTCAAGACACACCCTTGTAGCGGACGCAAACAAAGGAACCAGGATCACGCAGACACAAAGGACGCACTGGGGGCCGGAATTGGGAAATGTGCGCTTTTCAATGGGGCGTTGACGAGTACGAGTGGCTTTTTCACGACCCCGTATTCCTTTTAGACTATGTCGGTGATTCTTGCTTTCTTGGGGTTTCTCGGGTTGTGATAGAAGGTCGACTAGAAGAAAGTTGTAGAAGCAATGTATACATCTTGGTAGAAGACATGAAATTGGCAAAGCGCACACCAGAAGACGTCGCGGGCCACAGCCTCCCTTGTCTTCTGGTCTTCCTTATTTTTTTCCATTCCTTGATCACCACCACCATTTACCAACACTACAAAGCCGCTCGTCTACGGCCGTGGTTCGCGCACAGGGTGGGGAAGGGCTTCAGCTTGGGGGCGGCACAGCCATCGGGCTCGGAGAGCGGTTCGTACAAAGAATTCCATCCATCCAATCAATTACAATCCAACTGAGATACATGAACGTTTGATTATAGGTGTATGGACATCATTCGGATACAACGGATGATCTTTCAAACAAAGAATGCCCATTCTTTTCCTGTGTGTTTTCCCCAGTCTTCTCGGACCTTGTTCGTGGTCTTGTTCTATATTTACTCATCTGCCACGCATTCCTTGGGGGCGAACACGATGGATCGGCGCCCTAATCCCTTTTGCGTATGGCGCGTTGTTCGTGAGACTCCCCACTCCCCATCTTGACAACGACGATCATCCTGACTGTGTATGATAATGTCCAAGTGTTCGTATTAATCAAAGTTCCTATGTTCCTGATCGTATTCACGATTTCTTTGGAAGTTGGGGCTTGATAGTGAGCCCAAGGCTACAATAACCATATGTACACAGTTCGTATACCCATAATTCCAGGAACTAAGGGCTCGGGATCATGTTTGTCTCCTAAGCTGTACCAAAGGTGTTGGCAATTGCATGGACGAATAGTCCGATCCCATATTCCGCCTAAAATACAAAGCAGACGTATGACTCTCAAAGCATTCATTGGTCCTGGCCTGCTCGAAAAATTGACATGGTTCGTCATCTGCAAGCTCCGTGTGACTTGCATGACTGACTGCAACCTTCAACGATCAACACTGATATATAGAAGGAATTCCTATTACAGTACGTATCATGGAAATACGTAGGGGATAATTCTAATAGAAAGATACAGTCCAACTTCGATACGTAAACGCTAGACAAGTCAACCAAGCAACCATGGTAGGACACTTGCCCAATCAATGTTGTGTTCAACCAAGCATGGCAAGGTTACTGATAATCTTGAGCTATTCGCTTTGCATTCCAATCTTTTAAAAAAAGAATAACTACTTAGATGCTCTTTACTTGATCAAATCTTCTTCGAGGATCTTGAGGACCTAACTTAGGGCATCTGTTTACACTTGTTGCCTTTTCCATTATGCAACGAGTTTACTTTGACCAAGGCTGGGTATGCCATGCTTTTTATGGAACGATATTTTGTTGTGCTATCATAAACATGATTAGAAACTCTTGTAAAACAAGCCATTATCCGTTTTGCTTGTTTTGATTCCCGTAGCCCATGGGAGCCATGGTTCATTAAGCATAACTCTGGAGCCACATCGCCTGATCGGGGACCGCTTCCACGTGACTGCGGAGTAAGCGGGGTCACGTAGTTATCCGTTCGACACTGAGTCTCCTTGACAGCTCATCCGCTTCACTGACCATCATGAGTGGTTTCAAAAATGTGATGAAGGATGGCTGGCATCCCAAGAGCAAGGATGGAAAGAAAGAAAGCTGGCGTGGTGACTTCAAGGGGATCAACCAAGTGGTGAGCACCCAATCTGTTCGACTACTGGCCAGATGCATGCCTCGGCCGCTAACCGACTTGACAGGCAGGATGGATGGGCAAGGGCAAAGACTCGAGCTCCGAGGCCTCCGATCATGTATCTCAACCACTCTCATCGCTGAAGGACCCTGCCTCTTTTGGCCCACCACCTAAACACATCCATTACCATGGCGCCGCAGCTCTACCGAACGAGACTACCCCCGATCGTCGAGGGCTTGGGGTTCCGTTGTCCCAGAATCAGATCGCCGAGCAGAATGCATACCACCAGCAAGCGATACAAGCAGAAGAGGAAGCTGCTCAGAAGCCTCAAGGTCCGCCAGTTCCATATCGAGTCAACACGACCGGGCTCTCTACGAACAATCTTCCGCCGCCCCCTGTACGGCGCCTCGATTCACCGAGTTCGGGTTCCCCGGCTTCGGCTTCGGCGAGTGCACCGGTGAGTGCAAAGCCCAAACCACCAATTCCGCCTCGAGTCCCTCCACGAAATGCTACACCAGTCTCACACTCCCCTTCCCCGCCGCCGGCATACAACGCTACGCCACCCCCTGCGTCGCAGGGATACGTCAATCAAGAAGCGACATCACGCCTTGCCAACGCTGGCGTTTCGGTCCCTGCACTCGGGATCGGCGAGGCCAATGCTTCTTCACCGGCATCATCGGGTGCTCAAGGGGCGAATATCAACGAACTGCAATCCCGATTCTCGACGATGCGAACCAACTCTGGCTCGCCGTCTGCAGCGCCTCAATCCCCTTCGCGGACGCCCATTCCCAGCGCTAATCGGGAAGACGCTCTTCCTCCCCCTCTTACGTTCCGCGAGCGCCATGCAGATAAGATCGATATGGGCAAACAGAAATGGGGTGGAGTGACGTCGCGGTTCAATACATTTGTGGAAGACCGCAAGTTTTCGGCCAACGCAAACAAGAGAATTCCTCGTCCTCCCGGTCCCAATTCCCCCAGCACCAGCAGTTCCACGACCAATATGCGCACTCCTACGGTGGGCGATAGCCCAACTCGATCAACTGTGGACAGCCCGGAAGCCCAAGCCCAACGCAAGAAAGCACCCCCTCCTCCACCTCCCAAGAAACCAGAGATGCGCGCTGCTCCTGCTCCTGCCTCACCGACGTCATCAGCCTCACATACACCGCCTCCCGTGCCACTCAACACCAGACCCCGCTGAGCGGGGTGTCGTTCCTCTCGTTCTAAGTACCACAATAGTTCCACTTTATCTTCAACGACTGGCGCGAATTTGAAAATTTTAGGAGAATGCGAACCGTGCGTGCATTTTTCCCTTTGTACTCCATAGCTTGATCGAGATCGATCTCAATTGCATGAAACTTCTTGATGGTTCCCTGCACCCTTTTGCTGCGTCACGGCCTCGGCCGCATGTGAAGACTCCGGTTGGCCGATATCGTTTGACGTGATTCCCCGAGATGTTGGGAACTTGGGCAAACGTGTCTGCAGTGTACAGTCAGTGATTGGTCCCAACAATATATGATTACCGTACCAGCATTGATGGTTTGCGCATGCACGCTGTTCTGATACTGATCTCGGTTGTCCAGCACACATGTGGATGTTGCTGCCTGAAATTTGTGGAATGCGTGCCTGAATTTGGCCCGAGTCAGATATGGCTGAGTCAGCGGAGGCAGTTCCTCCCCCCTGGCAGGTAAGGTTCTTCTGGAAATTCCGCCAAGAACCACCACACCGTCGGGTTTGCAGATGTTTGTCCAGTTTGCAGCATTTGCACTTTCAACGAGTCGCGTGTGGTGGTCGTGGGGTTGTCGTGTGCCTCCTTTCTTCCCACGATTCGAACTGAATATTTCTCCCGCTCTCGAGAACAGAATGATCGAGCATGCATTTTGATCCTCGTCCGTCATACAGCTCACTTGCCGTGGATCAATTGGATGAGTGGAAAAGATATGCACCGAATTGCCACTGCGCATCATCGTGACCGCACCGGTTGGCCCCAATCGATGGGGTACATCAACCTCGGCACTGTGTTCCCCCAATTCCCAACAAACGCGGGCTCCACCACGGCCAGTTGAGCGCCTCACGCCTGCTGATAAGTCCATTTACACTTGAGTCTGCTTTTTTATCAGCCCGGTGGAGCCCCCTCTGCTCCTTCCGTGTCGAGACTGCCAAAAAAAAAGAATCTGGTCTTCCTGGTCTTTTTTTTCTCCGTTTCCTTTTTTTTCTCTCTTGCTCGTCAGCAGCTCTCTCCGCATTTCGACTCTTTCGCCTTCACCCCCAAAGAAAGCCGGTTGATCCTCCCTTGCGATCTTCTCTGGTTGTGGGCTTCACCATGTTCGATATCAACGTGCCCACCCAGTTTGGCCGGGCCGCTGTTCGCATTGCGCTGCCGCCCGCCTCCCTCCTCAGCTTCCCGCCCGCGGAGCTCCCCGCGACAGTCCCCGCGCCACACGTTGCAGAACCGTCATGGAAGCAGCCCTTCAACATTCCTGATGACCTCTATACCCAGCTGTTGGATGTGCGCGTTCCGATCACTATTGCCAGCGTCTATGCCGTCACGGTCGTCCTGATCAACCGCATCAACAAGAGTCGCGGCTACAAGCCCTACGGCTTCAGCCATACCCCACTCTTCAAGCTGTTTGTCGTGCTGCACAACGTCTTCCTGGCTGTATACTCTGCATGGACCTTCCTTGGTATGTTCCAGGCCTTTGGCACTGCCTGGGCAGACCGTGACCAGCCCAACGGCCTTGTCGGAGTGGTCGATTCCCTCTGCAAGATCAATGGACCCCGCGGCTATGGCAATGCAGCTACCTACAGCCCCATCACCAACCAGTGGTCGATTCCCAACCCCGAGTTCAAGCTGACCGGTGGTCTGCCTGATTCGTCTGACGTTGGCCGTCTGTGGAATGGTGGCCTGGCCTACTTCGGCTGGATCTTCTACCTGTCCAAGTTCTACGAAGTCGTCGATACCGCGATCATTCTGGCAAAGGGCAAGAAGAGCTCAACCCTGCAGACCTATCACCACGCCGGTGCCATGATGTGCATGTGGGCCGGTATCCGTTATATGGCACCTCCCATTTGGATCTTTACCCTGGTCAACTCGGCCATTCACGCGATGATGGTATGGATTTTCTTTTTCCTTAACAAAGCGATATCTCGTGGAGCTCCTATAGCTGACTTGTTTACTTTCAGTACACTTATTACACCCTCACCGCTCTGCGAATCCGAGTCCCCAACGCGATCAAGCGTAGCTTGACCACCATGCAGATCACCCAGTTCGTCTTCGGTACCAACATGGCCGCTGCCTATCTCTTTGTTCACTACACCATCCCCTACCCCGTTGGAAGTGCCGCTCTGCAGCACCTGTCCAAGGCCGCCCCCGCCGTTGCGACTGCGGTTGCCGAGGCTGGTTCCATTCCCTGGCTGAAGAAGCTTGCTCTGCGTGCTGCCGGTGCTGAGGGAATTGCGGAAAACGTTGGTGGAGTCGTTGCTGCCCCTGCTACCGGCTACACTCAGGAGATGATGACCTGCATGGACACCTCTGGTCAGGCCTTTGCCATCTTGCTCAACGTCTCCTACCTGCTGCCTCTGACCTGGTTGTTCGCGCGCTTCTTCGTGCGATCCTACTTGAGCCGCAAGGATCCCAAGCAGCCTACCCACATGGAGGCCGCGGAGAAGGCTGGCATGGATGCCCTCAAGGGCCTTAGCCGCGAGATTCGGAGGGCCGCCATCGAGGGCGAGAACAGTGAGAACACTGACGAGGAGGTTGCCAAGGCTCAAGTGCAGAAGGTCTCTGGCCAGACCGTGGACTCCCCCGTCCGTACTCGCGCATCTGCAGCCAACAAGGCCAAGGCCAAGGCTGCCGCTGCCGCTGCCGCTGCCGCTGCCAACGAGTCAGCCTCGGACGAGGGTTTCTCAACTGTCCCTGCGAAGAAGGGAGCTAAGAAGCAGACCAAGAACGAGCGCGAGTCTGCCTCGAACGTTTCAGAAACCAAGGGTCAGAACCCCTTCGGTGTTCTTGAGAACAATGCTTGAGTTTGATTAAGTGGGATGTTTGTGACATCGATTTGCGGCATAAAAAAATTGGAGTCTTGGAGTTCAGCGCAATATCCACTTCCTTTATTTGAGGCGGACGGGGCATGATGTGCGCTGCCCTGATTCGCTCTCTCTTCTTACCCGATATATGTACCTATATACACATGATTTCGTCCGCCGGGTAGGGCTTTCCGGTCTGGCTGCCGCCACTTTAATGCGGGCGATCAGGCTTATGCTCAGCGGTCCGGAAGGCACAGTCATAGGATCGGTCAGTGACCAATCCTGGATGCTTAGTGATTGCTCAATGATCAGTTAGCTACTGCTAGCTCACTAGTACTCTCTATCTAGTTAGCAAACCGTATATACTTATTTTGCTTCTAGCCAATATCAGACTATACCCAAAAAAGATATAACCTATAGGGTCATCTATTATTATTCTGCAAAAAGCTGGTGCGTAATAGTGTTACGAACCTCGAGGCACGGGGGCCGTACTACTCGAGTAGTATGGCAGTATAACCGACATTGCCTCGGGTGTGGAAATTGCCTGCATCGACAGCCCTCGTGAAACAGTATACTCTGGTGAAACGACTACTAAATTGGTTCAGGGCTCTACTGTCTTCATTAAGATCGGTCCTCGCCCAATTTGCTCGGGTATGATATGGTCGATTCTTGGTGAAGATATCCAGACTCTGCCTACTTTTGAGGAAAAATCAACACCCATGGGAGGTTATTGTGACGAGCCTTGCTTCGCTTCAAGACATGCGTCAGAATATTATCGGGACTGCGAACAGGTTTGTCGTCTTTTGACTCTCCCTGCCTATGCATTCGACAATAAAGCCTATGGATTGACTACAGGAATGACTGGACCTTGCGGAAAGGTGACCTTTTTGCCTATTCCCAGTGGGAACGCTAAGGCTAAACCGAAGTCAAAGAAGCTGTCCGGCTCTATATATCGGACTGTGAAGAAGAATTATAACCGATTCAAAGGGCTCGTTATCTTTAAAACGGCCCTCGCAAGTCCAGGGAACTATACCGCCATCAACGGACATCGTGTGAACGGATCTGCTCTGTGCCCTTCTGTGCGATATCCTTCCGAGTGTTTAATTCCTGGTGGTTGTCCGTTTTGGAACGAGCCTAGGAAGCAACTCGGGAAACACTCAACCCGGGCAACTTAGGGTCAGTGAGCACCTCAGGTTGATCAGAGGCGTGCGTAATTCTGTGCTAGTTAAGGGGTGAGCGCTAGAACGGAAGGGGAGGGCCGGGAATTGCCAGATATTATCCGGGATATCGGCAGGCCTTCGGGTTAACTGGTACTGTACTTTTGACGTTGATTGTTAAGGACCTCGCGCCGCGTCATCAGCTGAACAGACGAGTCCGGGGGATAAAGAGGTCTACGTGCTCTGTGATTAAATTGCTATTCGCTTCCAAAGGACCTGGCCGGTCTCCCTTCTTGGAATGGCGGGGGTTTTGCGGAGATGTACTCTACAAACACCACACCGTTGGCTAGTTCCTGATGGCTCGGCTTGTTCTAGATTCAAGTCAAGACACAACCGGGAGGTACATTACAATTGGAAATCCAAAAGTGCAGATTTTCACTTGAGATGCCTCTTTTCGCCATGTAGAATTACTGTAATTTCCATCATCTCCACACCTTCAAGCAAGCTGAATGGAGGAAAAAAGACATCCCGCGATAGTTCGCGCGGGGAAGAGTGGAACTCCACCGAACGTCCCTGTTAAATATCAATGGGCTTTGACGCAGACTACGGGTGATTAGCGATATTAACTGATTTCCTTCACCCCGCATTTTTCTCCGAGAAGCAAGTTCTTCAAACGCACATCATGGATCCAACGCGACATAAATTGGGGCTCCCCGGTCCGAATTGGCCCGTCGCGAGCTCGAATCAACCGATCGGCAGCTTGAGAATTCTCGGCCGAAGACCGAGTTGAATTCAAGATGACGCGAGCAACTCGTCTCTTTTATGGACTAGGAACGATCTTCTCTCTGCTAGGCGCTACGATCGCCACTGAGAATCAACCCACCACGGAATGGCCTCTGCACGATGATGGTCTGAACGAAGTGGTCCAATGGGATCACTACAGTTTCCAAATCAACAGCCAGCGTATCTTTGTCTTCTCCGGTGAATTTCACTACTGGCGTATCCCTGTCCCCGGTCTGTGGCGGGATATCCTCGAGAAGATCAAAGCAGCCGGTTTCACGGCGTTTGCCTTTTACGCCAACTGGGCGTACCATGCACCCAATAACCAGACGCTCGACTTTACCACCGGCGCACATGATTTTACTCCACTATTCGAATTGGCAAAAGAGCTTGGGTTGTACATTATCGTTCGCCCCGGACCATATGTCAATGCCGAAGCCAGCGCTGGCGGATTCCCGCTGTGGCTGACTACTGGTGAATACGGCTCCCTTCGCAACAATGATACTCGCTATACCAAAGCCTGGACGCCGTATTTCACCAAGATGTCCCAGATCACCAGCAAGTACCAGGTGACTAACGGAGAGAATGCGATGGTCTATCAAATCGAGAACGAGTATGGAGACCAGTGGGTCGGTTCTGCGTCGAAACGTGTGCCGAATGAAGACGCCATCTCTTATATGGAGCTTCTTGAGGCAAATGCCCGTGCCAATGGGATTACCGTGCCGTTGACTGCGAACGACCCGAACATGAACTCGCATTCGTGGGGAAGCGATTGGTCTAATGAGGGTGGTAATGTGGACGTTGCTGGTGTAGACTCGTACCCTTCGGTAAGTTCGGTCATAGTTTTAGAGCCCCAACCCTTGAGGCTAAGACAATGTTGACATGGAACAGTGTTGGACCTGCGATCTCAGCCAATGCACCTCAACGAATGGCGAATACATCGCGTTCTCAGTCATGGACTACTACGATTACTTCCAAGAATCCCAGCCCACCATGCCCGAATTCATGCCCGAGTTCCAAGGTGGTTCGTACAACCCCTGGGGAGGTCCTGAGGGTGGCTGCGCGGAGAATTCGAACCAGGACTTTGCGAATCTGTTCTACCGATGGAACATCGGTCAGCGAGTCACCGCGATGAGTCTGTACATGCTCTTCGGTGGAACGAACTGGGGTGCCATTGCTGCGCCGGTCACTGCCAGCAGCTACGATTACTCGGCACCCATCTCGGAAGATCGATCTATTGGGGACAAGTACTACGAAACCAAGCTGCTAGCTTTGTTTACTCGCTGCGCGAAGGATTTGACGATGACAAACTTGATTGGGAACGGCACTCAATATACTGATAATGCACTTGTCCGAGCCTATGAGCTACGCAACCCCGACACGAATGCTGGCTTCTATGCGACTTTCCACACCAACACGTCTGTCTCGACTAACGATGCTTTCCATGTCAAGGTGAACACCTCTGCTGGTGTTTTCACTGTTCCCAAGCATGGCGGGGTGGTCCGTCTGAACGGACATCAATCCAAGATCCTGGTTACCGACTTCACCTTTGGCTCGAAGACATTGCTGTATTCCACCGCTGAGGTTCTAACATACGCCGTGTTCGACAAGACTCCTACGCTGGTCCTCTGGGTGCCGACGGGTGAATCAGGCGAATTTAATGTCAAGGGCGCGAAGAAGGGATCCGTCAAGGAGTGCCAGGGCTGTTCTGGTGTGAAATTCTTCAAGGAGAATGGCGGTCTGACGGCCACCTTCACCCAGTCGTCCGGCATGAGTGTGTTGGAGATTGATGATTTCCAGGTCATTCTACTCGACAGGACAGCGGCGTATAAATTCTGGGCTCCTGCGCTTACAAATGACCCCCTTGTGCCTGAGACAGAGAGTGGTAAGTCTCAAGCGCCTAAGCTGTTTTTTCAGACTAAATCTAACAATTTTGGCAGTGCTCGTTCAGGGACCCTACCTCGTTCGCGGCGCTTCTCTTTCGGGCTCGAAGCTTGCTGTGACAGGTGATATTATCAACGCCACGACTTTGGAGGTCTTTGCTCCCAACGCAGTCAAGTCTATTACTTGGAATGGAAAGGCCCTGCACACTCAACGTACCGACTATGGCAGTCTGAAGGGGTCCATTGCAGCACCCAAGGCCGTTACCCTTCCTTCCTTTAAATCATGGAAGTCAGAGGACAGTCTTCCCGAGCGATTGACTACTTATGATGACTCGGGAGCTGCATGGGTTGGTAGGTGCCCCCACTTCTGCGCCATTCTATAAGATTGCCTCTAACCATCACTACAGATGCCAACCACCAGTCCACGCTGAACCCACGCACCCCTACAACCCTGCCAGTCATGTATGCAGATGAATACGGTAAGTCGCCTCATATAAACATCATTCAAAACACTCAATCTAACCCACCCATTCAGGCTTCCACAACGGTGTCCGCCTTTGGCGTGGGTACTTCAACGGCTCCGCAACAGGTGCCTACATCAACGTCCAGGGTGGCTACGCCTTGTAAGTACCCCTCCAACAGCTCTATTCAGCCCCAACCACCGAACTCCCAACACTAATATGATTTAACAGCGGCTGGTCCGCCTGGCTGAACGGCCAATTCATCGGCTCCTTCCTCGGCTCTGCCTCCGTAGAAGCAGGCAACCTAAACCTCTCCTTCTCCAACGCAACTCTCAACACCCACAAGCCCAACGTCCTCCTAGTCCTCCACGACGACACAGGCCACGATGAAACAAGCGGTGCCCTAAACCCCCGCGGTATCCTCGACGCCAGCCTAATCGGTTCTTCATCCGGTTTCTCCCACTGGCGTCTGGCCGGTACCGCCGGCGGCGAGTCTAACCTCGACCCTGTTCGTGGCGTATTCAACGAAGACGGTCTGTACGGTGAGCGTGTTGGCTGGCATCTCCCCGGCTTCGACGACTCGGCCTGGTCCAGCGCCTCATCTCTAAGTTTCACCGGCGCAACTGTCAAGTTTTTCCGTACCACTATCCCGCTCAATCTCCCGTCTGACACGGACGTATCGATTTCTTTCGTCCTGTCTACGCCGTCTGGTAAAACGACCGCGTATCGCGCGCAGATCTTCGTGAACGGGTACCAGTATGGTCGGTATAACCCGTATATCGGCAACCAGGTGGTTTATCCTGTTCCGGCGGGTATTTTGGACTACACCGGCGAGAATACGGTGGCTGTTGCTGTGTGGGCGCAGACGGAGGCGGGGGCTAGTATTGAGGTGGATTGGCGGGTTAACTATGTGGCTGATAGTTCGCTGGATGTTATTAGTGTTAGTGATAAGGCGGAGGGACTGAGGACTAAGTGGACTGAGGTGCGGAAGAAGTATGCCTGATGTGGAGGGATGGATAGATGTGATAAAGTTTAGTCGAACTGGCGGTATTTTGAATGGAGCGTAGCCGAGAATTAAGATGATGTTCAAAAGTGATAATTATCTCTTGATATTTATGGTGTCCAGAATTCGAGTAAGAATCATAGTTATTGGTTCATTGCTCGATTCATCCCGTGGGCTTCCGGTTCCCATGTCTAGTCTAAACGGTCTATTTAAGCCCGCGAATATCTCCGTAGGGCTATTGGACATCATCAGAAAAGCAATCATGATCATTATCCAAGCATAAAGGGCATTCCACTCCAAGCGATGTAAAGAACCAGACATTGTAGAGACCAAATTGACCCTTTCTTTCTCATCCCTAAACCAGGAAGCGGAACCCACGGCTACTGGCTTGGCCAGGAACAGATCCCTCAACGTGCTCACCACGGTCAAGTTTCTTGTTCAGGCGGACCAGGATGAACCGCAGGGCAGTAGCAGCCAGGATGGCGATGAAAGCGGTAGCGCAGTTCACAGACATGGCGGGAACTAAAAGATTATTAGCCATGCTCAACAGATCACTCAGATTCTCCCAGAAGGAACTTACCGAACCGCGGTCCATCACTGGTGGGATACATATAACTCGCGTAGATACTGCTAGCATTGCTAACACAGTTGATAGCAGCGAGGGCGGCAGCACGCTTCGACGCCGGACGAGGCAGAGTGTTGGAGATCCATCCCAAAGCGACAACGTAACCGGAGTAGAAGGACGGGACCATGAGCATCATGGAGAGATATCGAGGGGCGGTACTGGTGGTAGCAGCAGCGATGATGAAAGCCGCAACGGAGACATACAAGGGCAGGGTGACGTGGAAATAGCGCTCGCCAGTGCGATCGGCATGCCAGGCATTGGCAAACGCACAGATGACGGCGAGGCAGTATGGAGGGGCGGTAAGGAGCAGGGTCTCGATGTTGCCGTAGTTCAGGGTTTTGACAACCGTAGGGAAGAAATTGGTGACTGAGGCGGAGGAGACAATGCACAGGATCATGAGCATCTACAAAGGAAGGCAGGTGTCAGCTGATGAAGTATGTGGAGATGGTACGGACGGCCTACCAGAATGTATGTCTTCATATCAGTAAAGGCAAGCTTTGCTCCATGCAGGAAGGATTGCTGTTCGCTGTCGACCCAGTCGTCCTCGCCAATATCTTCCTCCAGACGCCAGGCAGCGAGTGCCTTTTCCTCTTCCGTGAGCCAGCTTGTGGTACGGGGGAAGTTGGGAAGAATGAAGATGGCGATCACAGCGACGGCGATGGTGACTGCGCCTTCGATGATGAACAGCCAGCGCCTATGGAAAGTTAGAAGAAGCGCCTACGGAGATATTGGTAAATCAAGCTTACCAGGCACGAAGACCCATCTTGTGGTCCATACCGCTAGTGATACCGGCAGCAATGAGACCGGAGAAGGCACCCGAGAGAAGGGAACCAGAGTACAGGGCTGCAGTGCGGAAACCCAGTTCCTTGCGGGTATACCATGCACTCAAGAAGTACAGGCAGCCGGGCTACACAGGGGTCAGCCATGGAACATCTGTGTAAAAATACAGAGAAACATACGAAGTAGGCAGCCTCGACGAAACCAAGGAAGAATCGAATCACAACAAGACCGGCAAAGTTGTGAGCAGCCGCAGTAGCAGTCGAGATGATTCCCCAGATGATCATAGCAGTGGGAAGGTAGATAGCCGGCTTTCCGAACTTGTTGAGGAGCAAATTGGAGGGAACTAGTCATTGTGAGGGGAGGTACGGAATGCAATTTCATGGATGAATACGCACTTTGCATCAAGAGATAACCCACGAACAAGATACTAACACAGGTCTGCCCCTATCTCAGTATGTGGTTCACATTTGCGATATTTTGAAATGAACATACCAAGTACTGGTTACCAACGAGGCCCAGATCCTCCTCCAAACCAGCCAGACGGGCAGCAGCCTGGAAAGAAAACTGTTAGTCATGTCATTTTCAAGAACGATAGCCAAAGAGGACTGACAATATTGTTTCTGTCCAGGTAATTGAGAATGTACATGATAATGATCATAGGTAACAGGCGGATGTCGATCTTGCGAACGAGGGCCTTCTCGGCCGCCTCGCGCTCCTCGGGCGACAGGCCAGCAACATATGCCGGTGCCTCTTTGCTCGGATTGGGCTTGTTGGCATTAGCAACGACCTCGACATTGTCCACGTAGGACTTGTCGATATCTGCCTCCTCAATGTCTTGCGATTGACGGGACATCTTGAAGCTTGTTCAAATCTAGCGTGGGGGACAAATCAAGTAGTATAAATAAATAAACAAGACGAGCCACTACCGCGCCAAAAGACAGCAAATAAACCGGTCACGCAAAGATAAGAAAATGCCACAGCACGCAAGGGGGAAAAGAAAGAAAAATGAAATCTCGGGGAAAGGGCAGGACGGGCGACAAGTAAATAAGAATCACGGACCAAATCCGAAGAATCGGGCCAGCCGGTCTAAAGAAAATACCCTTTTTCAGGGTTCCGGATGGCCATAACTCTTTGTGGGAAGCCGGCGAGCTGTGGCGTATCAAACAAGTCCCGAGAAGAAACAATCCCGGTCTACAAGCCCATGCAGATAGGGGGCACAGACACGGAGAACATGGCTGTGTGGATTGGATGGGACGATAGGATGGGCCGAACCCCCAACCAGAGCCGGTCATGCAGTCATACGGCATGGTTCCCCACGGGGAGCGTGCCGAGAAGGTCAACTCCGTTGCTGCACGGCCAACTTGACAAGAGAGAGACGGGCATGTAGAGGCGATTGTAGCCAATGGCCAGTCTGGACGGGGCCCGCAGAGCGTGGGGGAAAGAGGGGTCCGGGGAAGGGATGGAGGAAAGCGAAACATGGGGGTTGCTGGTTTGCTCCAGACTTGCAATTGTGGGTCAATATAGTCCAGGGTTCTGGTGGTTCTTGTTGATTTCTGTTGAATAAGGGTCGCCAACCGGCCTTGCGCCTCGGTTGTCCAAATGGGAACGGGATACGCCTAGAGCGTGGGGGTTGCACACAACGGACCCTTGAGGTCTCTGGATGACCCCCCGTCCTTTCTTGAGAAGGTCTGGCCTGATTGGGCCCTTTTAAGTCATAGACTGTGCTTGCTGTCTTGCGCTAAACCTCGTGGAGGTTTCCATTAGGGCAGGTATTGTTGCATTGCATGGTAGCCAAGGAAGCCAACAGTGGCAATTAATCTGCCGATCAACATCATTCTCCACACCATTGAACGGCTTTTATAACAGGCTTGTGCGAATTTCAGCAGCCATGCCACAGTTGTTGACACAGGGAGGCGTAGACCCGGTGTGTGGATGAGGTAAAAGCAGATTGTGGGATAATAATAATCTCTGGGGTATCCCCTATTCGAAAACTGACCTGCCATGTCTTCTGCCATTGGCAAAGAGTTCTCTCGCTTAGCGAAGGGGGGAAATATAAATTCTGTATCTCTCGATACTGACACTCATCCCCACAAGTTTTCCAGTTCATAGAACCAAAACCTTGAGATTAATACATCGAAATAACCTATGTTGGTGGTGTGGAATATAAATCGAGCCACGTCTGTCCCTCAGTTCTAACCAATCAATACTAATTTAATGCCCCGAGGTACCCAACATTGGAATCAGGGGCTACTACCCATCTAGGACCAACAAGCTTCTTCCCTCGATATTCTTCACAAAGTTGACTGGGAGTCTAAAAATGCAATACCTAATGTACAGATAGCCATAACTCAGAACGCCCTGGGTTCTATCCCGAGCATTAAGGTCATATCTCGCCTTAACGCGACGAGACGACTACCGTACGTAGCAAGCAGACCTCTTCAATCAACATGAGAACACTTGTCTAGCATCAGCTATATGGCAATCATGGAACGCACCAGTCCGCAAAAGCACCAGCTCGACTCTCACGTACTAGAAGCACATCAAGATCTCTAAAATAGTAAAAGAAACATGGTTACGACATAAAAAAGACATCTAAGCGACAAAATAACCATTACTTCGCCAAGATGCTTTTCTTCAATCTTGAATAATAGACTCGGAAAAGCCCGAAGGCCCTGCAGCAGCCACACCACCACCTGCAGGCGTATACCGCAAAGTCAAGGAGTTTCTGGAATCCGAGCCAATACCCAGCGCTCTTTGCACGGTCCATCAGGAATTGACTTTTGCTATACTATCGAATCAAATCAGATGAGATGTAGGGACCTGAGAGGATTAGAGATTTATCTTTCGTGAAGAGATTAGTGTTGCTACTTTGGTCTAGGAAGGAATTGCATACTAAATGCCTGAACAGGATATGATGTTGCAGCATACTTTCCTCTAGGCATAACTACTTGATTTCTACGAGAAGCACAGCATATAGATTATTCACCAAAACAGACAGAATTGTAGACGAAGATGCAAAGGCTCGGATTGCATTCAGACGAGCTGATGAGATGATAATAGAAGAGTTAAGAGAAAAAAAAAAGAAGGGGTCCCGACATGACCATGGCAGAATGATGTGCTAGAAAACGAAAATGAAAGACATGGAAAGAGAACCATAGGTGATAAACAAAGAAAACAAGCCCAGTTTGCCGACGCTCCCAATACTCAATGACAATGACAATGTTTCGGTTCAAATGCATGCGGAAAAGACAGAGAATGGTAATGGTGAGAAGTGAGGTGCCGTGGAAAAAGGAACAAACAAAAAAGCTTGACGAGAGACTCGACCACCACGCCCCGATAAGTAGTAGGTGGCATGGGAGGCAAGGTTCATTAGATTGACGGATCAACGTCCAAGGCAGAGAAAAAAAATGCCCAAGCAGCATCGGCAGCGAGACCAAGAGGAAGTTTTGAGACAAGCCACACCATTTTTGTTCCGACATACTGAACTCATCCAGTTGTGTGAAAAGCCACATCAAAGATTAACAACCGGACAGAGAGTTGGCACAGTGATTAGGCCGCCGAGACACGGGGAAAAACAATACTAGGGAAAACCAGATGCTCGAGTTTCCATAGTCGCACCCAGACAAGAGATAGAGAAGAGGAAAGGGGGAAACAAGGTCATCAAACACCCCCCGATCGCCGAAGTAAATGCAGATCTATGGACTTGGATGTAGGCTTGAGGTAAGAAACCGCGCAGAACAATCCTGACCAGTGAAATCAAATGAAGTGCGTGTAGATCTTGGAGTTCTCATGGACTTCCATCTCCTAGAGGCTGAGTTAGCATGCACAATTCAATGGAACAAAGGGGGCGCCTGTAGCTGTGGGATCATTCTTACCATCTTGAAGTTGTTGATCTCCTCTCGGATCTGCTGAGCGAGCAGAGGCGTCAAACGGTTGCAAGTCGCAATGTCTCCACGACGGTCATACTCGCCACTAGGCCAGGTGTCGTGGAATTGAATGCGAGGGCTGAACATGATGTTTCGTGAGCTCGGCTGCGGGGTGATGGGAGCGCTCTTAGTGTCACCCCCGGTGAACCGTCCACCCTCCGACATGAAGTAGTCTTCGCCGGCGATCTTGACGTGGTCGGCTGGGCGAGCAGCCCGTGACCCTTCATCGGGGGTCGTTGGTGCACTGGAATGTGGCGATTCACTGCCATTCTGTGCACGAGCCTGGGATGACACACCGAGATCCGAGTTTGTCTTCTTCAGGATACCCCGAGTCTGGCGAATATTCGCCAATACCTCCGCTCGTTCACGCTCACCGCCGAGAATGCTCTTACGTGTGTCACCTGTGTTATCCGAGACACTGCGTTGCTGCGGTCGCTCGCGGATAGAAGCCGAGCGGCGAGGCTCCGAGCCCCCTTCGGCCTTGGGGAACACTGTGCCGCCACGGGGCATGTCTTGCGGATCCAGGTTCACCGTTACGCTCTCCAGGTCCGCTCGCTCTCCTTCAACGTTGACCACCGAGATCTTGGGAGCAGCCATGGGCTGCTCTGGTGCTCCGACTCCACCTTCGATTGAGTTGACGCTGGCAATCGACTTTGGACGAAACAGGCCGACGAGGGACCGACCGCCGCGCTTCATACCCTTGCCCATCTTTCGGAGCATCATCGATGCCGAGGAAGCGGTCGACGAGACGGACAGAGCATCGGTGGAGCCACGGAAGAGATTGCCTTGATGGGAGTAGATACTCTCGCCCAGACCACTGGCTTCTTGTTGTTCAGCGATGGCGGCTTGTTCATCTCCCAGCTCCTCCCGAAGGGCCTCTCGGCGAGCCAGCTCGGCAGCCGCAGCCTCTCGCTTGCTAGCGGCGTTCTGTGCAGAGGATGCCTTCAACAGCTCCGAGGCACTACCGAAAGAGAAGGCGCGTCGCAGGCGTGATTTTCCGGGGCGCTTGTGCTCATTCTTCAACTCAGCCAGGCGTTTGGCGGCCGGTGAGTCAGTCGGTGGTGACGAGGCTGTGGTAGCCTGGGCGTTGGTGGATCTGGTCATTGGAGACTCGGGTGAAGTCGATGGCTGTGAGAGAGGCGAGGGTTTGCTCGTTCGCTTCTCCTCCGGCCTGCCGGTCTTACTGGTGATGGAACTTGCATCGGGAGACTGCCCTTCGCGGACCTATCAAGATATCACATGTCAGTTGAATCCCTTCAAGAAAATGGCACCAAATCCAGAGGCAGCCGTACCGAAGAGGTTGAGGAGTGTGCTGAGTGGACGCTCACGGAGCTATCATGGTGTGAGTGAGCCGAGCGAGGCCGTTGATTGGTGTCAAACGCAATGAAGTCGTATGGGCCTGACTGAGTGGATGAGGCAACGGGCATTTGAAGCTCCAGGTTAGGGTACGCAGATGGATCCATGTTCCCCAGACTCCGGCGCCGGTACCGCTTGGCGAGCTCTGGCTGCGGCCTTTCCACATGAGACGAGTCGTCCACGCTGGAAACACGATTGTGGCCATTTGACCGGAGAATTGGGCGAGGGCCGACAGTCGTCTTGTCATCAATCGCAGGAGGAGTGGATGCAGGGACTGGTGATTGAGACCGAGCACTCTCTGATCGTTGTTGATTCGCACGACGGTAACGATTGGGAGATGGCTTTGCGGAGCCAACGGGAGAGGATATGTTCATGACGTTGGGAGGAGGGAGGTTGGCAGTGGACAGGGGCCGGAGTGGTTGCTCAGTTCTCAACTGCCGGGAGGGGGAGGGCGCTGTCGTCCTTGGAAATATGGGAACGAAAAGAAGAGTTGGACGAAGAGGAAGTCGATACAGAACCAGCTGCAGGATTGTTGACGCGCGAGTTGCCAGTGTAGGATGGATTTAAGGAACCCTGATGGGTCGCAGGAGCAGAAAAGGTGCGATGCTCCGGTCGAAGATGGGGCGACCACGACTGGCGATGCTGGGCTGTGGGAGAAGAGGCCGCGGGAACCAGATTGGGAGCGTAGGCATAGGGAGCCACAACCTGGTGGCCTGCGCGATAGCTCCCGGAATTGCCGGTATTGAAGGAGCTCCAAGACATATTCTGGTAATGAGAGCCTGTATTTTGAGCGGATGGAGAGATGAAGGTGCCCGAGGAGGAGGAAGGACGCGTCTGGAGCACCGGTACCGTGCTACTGTGTTGGGGGATCGTTTGAACCAGCGCAGCCATAATTGTTGCTTTCCGCCAAAGTTGACTTAGGGGGGATTCACGAGTGTGCGGGTCAGTTAGGATGTCGACAAGGCAACTCGCGGTAAAATTGAGAGAATGGCAAAGGATGGGTCGTTGTCAGGATAGATGAGGTCGAGGAACAAGACGGAGTGCTGATAGGGGGGGGACCAGAGAAGTGTCAGCGTGGAGCCCTTATCATAGTGATCTTCGTTGTAACAACGTCACCGGGGTATGGAGGGAGAGAAGGATCGGTGGATAAAAGGGGGTATAAAGTTGGATTGTCGTCCAGTTTTGGTCTCTTGGTGGACAGTTTTTTTGTAGGGAGAGGAGGGATCGGAAGGCAACGCGTCAGCCAGGGGCAGGAGGAACCATACCTGTTCTAAGAAACGTGAACATAAAAAAAAAAGGAGTTATAGTTGTACAACGATCAAAAGAAAGAAACCAAGGACGCTGGATGCCGATAGGATGAAAAATAAAATGCAGAACTCGAAACCAGGCGAGTAGAAGAAACGAAAGGTGGTCGGAAGGGGAACCCCAGAGATGACAAGTCGTGTCGGGAGAACGGGAGAACGGTGGACGGAAGAGGGGGGGGAGAGAGGCATGTACAAGAAGCGAAGAAGAAAAAGAAAAGAAGCCCCGAAGAATAAAAAAGACCAGATCCAAGAAGGGCACAGTCGAAAAGTGCCACTTGTAGGACTGGGGGGGGAGGGGAGGAGGAGGGGGGGATGTTGAATGAATGGAGAGAGAGAGAGAGTGGAAGGGGAAGGAAAAGAGGGAAAGGGAGAAGGAGAAGGGGGGGGCGGAGTGGGAAGGTTTGGGCGGTTGATTCCCCCGACGGGCAGTATACCAGTCGAACAGTCTTAGTAAATAACACTCAGAAGTCCCAGCAAAGACATAAAACTAGAATAATAATAATAATGCGGTATAAACGAGAGCACGGATTTATCTAATTCCCCCAGATCTACGTAATGTTGTTTTAAAAGGGGGAGAATTGTCTCATCCAAAGAACTTTGGTAAGAGAACTAGAGAAAAGCAAAGGCTACTAGGAAAGTATAATACTGGAGCAGCCGACAGGACTGTACAACGGATGCAATCTGTTGTCAACAATAGTGATAGACAGCTTAGATGGAGGATTGACTCCTCTTGACTGCATTGGAGTCCACCATCTCGTCCTTTGTACTAATTATCGGAGTGGGTACGAAGGACTATGGAGTATGTATAATAATTTAGTTGGCTGCAGACATCACTCCAGAGAGGATGTACAATTTTGATGATAATCCTAACTCCGGACCTGATACCCTTATGCTTTACCTCTAATATATGATGGTGTATTTCTCCATCTCAAGTACTTCCTTCAATAGTAATACTGAACAATAATCATAGCAAGCAATCAAATGTGGAAGATTTTTCCAACTTGACACCCACGTACCGAGCAGTGACAGTGACGCCTCTGGACTGGAGACTGCTGGAGGGCCGCAACTCGATCGCCAATCAGCATTGTGGACCCCCTAGCTCACTGCCTGGGGCTGATTTTAGGGGAAACAGAACCTATCCGAGTGCCACGCCGGATAGGGCGGGATAAACACCTCGATGGAGGAGGGGAAATGGGTTTGGTACTTTGGAAACGGCGAGTAAAGTATGTGCTTGGATCAGAGCCTGGCAGTCACTCCGAGGATATGTCATGCTGGAAGGATGCATGCTGCGGCTGTACCTGACGCTGGGGCTCGAGTTGGGGGGAGCAGAGGCCTCCTATTTATGTATTTAGGTTCTTCTTCCTGTGCCCCTCTCTCGAGTCATGCAAGAGAGTTTCTTTGCTTTGTACCCCGTAAAATCTTGTAACCCTGTTGATGATTACCGTGCCCAAATAATAGAAAGGGGCAAATAAAAAGGAAAAAGTTCTCACGACTTTGAGGGCGCGATTGGCGACGGAGAGACACTAAGACAGCTCGGTGCAACGCTATCCCTCGACGGCGTTTTTTTTTTCTCCACGTCCAGTTGTCCACAGCGAATCCACAGGCATTGGGCGAAACAGAATAGCGGCTCCGTGCACCCACCGCACGTGCTAGAGGCATTCTTGTTCTTTTTGGACAGTTATTATTATTGTACAGGATGAATGTCTTACAACATAGTATTATGATGAGTTAATTAAGTTGATCATGGAGATACTCCATATTTAATATCAAGCTATGGTTAGTCCATGAGCGAGATCCTCTATCGTGTTACTTATATTCTGGATAGTATGAATAGAGCCAACTCGCCCGGGCATATACTTCCAGGCTTCCAATCTTCTCACAAGTCCAGAGACATATAGTACATCCTGTCCTCCCCCCGGCCGCCATTTCCAATATCCACCGATATCCTTCCCATCCCCTCCTGAGTCCTGCCCGGTTTTGCGACAAGAAACAAAAAAAACAAGACATTCCACCTCCCCACACCGAAACGCGCACTCCGGGAATTTCCAGCGAGCGGGCGAGTCTGGTTCCATGGATCCCCGTGGATAGCTCAGCTCTCCAACTCAATCGCTCCATTCAAAATTCCAATCGATCCCGCTTGCGATCCCAATACTTCTCCTATCTCCAGGGACCCGACACCGTTGTCACAGACTGCAACCCAGGTACCCGCCCGGTGAAACTGCAGCCATCGGACTGGACGGCAATGGAGACGGGAACGCAGTTTCAGCCGGGACTGGAGCCATTGCAGTACAGTACTATTAAACATGAGATTATTAGCTGTCGATCCACCGATGGAGTATGGTACATATCGAGAATATTATTCTACAGGGTTAGGAGAACATCAATGATGCGATCTCTCGAACTATGGAAATACGGATCAGGCTGAATGGTGGGCCAATCGCCCGCTTCGCCGTGCAAGGTGAACCAGATAGCGTGATTGTGGTTCGCGACGGTTATCAGGGAGTTCAAGAAATTTGGAACCTGGCGGGACTCGAGATTTATTGAGGTTGAGGGAATTTGCATTGAAGTGGTGGATTGTCCCTATTCTGGTTCCCATCATTCCCGTGTCTGCGATGATACTTAGCATCCGATCCACTCGTAGATGACTACTCCAGCGGACATACAATAATCAATCACTAACTACAGTTGCACAGCTCATACTTTTCGACATTATCGTGAAGCCAAAGGGTAATCCCATGACGTATCGATCACTAACCGGGAAGAAAGTATCGGCTAGCCACCAACCAGAATAAGAAAAAAGCAAAGATCGCGCCAGGCCTGGCGGGGGGTTCGCAAAAGCGCCACCATTCAGCGTTACTGGGCACAAGCAAATGGGCTTATCAGGAAGAGGAGGGGCCAGGACGCGAGCCTTGCCCTCGTTTGTCGACTCCGTAGACTCTGTTACTTACATACAGTCATAGTCAGCCTAATCTGCAAAAATATTTACTGTTCTACCACGGAGTACAGACGGTACAAATACTTCATGCACGAGTATACTCCGAGCCTACGTATGATAGCCCCCGCTATGAGAAACTCGGGACTTTAATTCTGCATGTCTCTTATCACTCTACCACGGTACACTCACACCAACAACTACGCCAACAATCTCGCTGTCTCTCTACTCCTAGTATCACTCCGTCTCCAAATCTCTCCCTCTTCCCGCCCCTCTCACATAATTATCATTCTCCACCCACTGCAAACTGCAAACCACTGATTTCGTCGATCCGCATCCCTTAGCGCCCCATAAAGAAAAGCCCCCCTTAACGCCAACCACCAAAACACACCCAAAGACTGAGCACTTCCCGCGTGATCGACATGCCCCCCAAAACCCATCCTCCACGCACGGGGCACGCAGCCTGGCAGTGGCTACTCCGGCCAGATTAACAAAATATATTGTCCGTATGCAGTAAAGTCTTGCTCACTTCTACATTGTTCTACCGCGCAATAATAGCAATGAATGTTGAACATTGAGTATCGAAAACTTCCCCCTCGGTCAGCCTTATTGGCTCATCAACCCACGTTCATCTTATACTGTACTATTGTCTCCATCATCCCGCTGTTCGGTCTCTACCCACCACATTAATTGATTAGCTCCTACTTCATCCGGATTGGCACCGATCAGTTTACCCTGCCGAGGGATTTGACGCGGCTGAGAGTCAGGGAGGGGCGTCTGAACCCGCAAATCATAGAGCACCATCCTTTGTCGAGATTTACATCCCATCCCGCCCCATGCGAGTCCGGCATAATCAACTACTGTATCAAGTGCTTCCTACTCCACACCTAATCTGGAATTTTTGTATTCATATGCTTGTTCCTGCCTGCTACGCACTTTGACTCTCCGACCCGTGATTTCGATATTCCGCGTGAGGAGGGGCGGACGAGACAGAACTCAGGAGGCGATGAGGAATGCGCCAATCTCATGTGGACGATGTCAGGAATGTATGTGCTCGATAATTCCTCGAGTTGCTCCAGCCGTGCCGCTCGTAATTCCCTCAAAGGGTATCGCGCCAGCCGCCGGCATCTTCGTGTTGCAGCATGTCTCGTGGAAAGAGAACCATTCGACGAACGAATACATATTGATAAATTGTAGCTAATGCTGACTATCCTCGGGCGCAATATCAATAATAACTATAGCACAGGGCGAAGTAATGCGAGTCGCCTCCGTCCCTTCCACAAGCCAATGCATTTTTAATTAACATACCCTGCAAGATCAATCTTAGCCTGTCACCCTCAGATGCATCTCACGGCGATGATTTCCGCCCCGAAGGAACCGAATCCTAGTCATTGATCATTCCCCCCATACTCTACTCCTACAAACTAACTCACTAATCCTTGTCTCTTCAATTTCCCCCATACACCACCCTCCCTTGCCTTGACACTTACAGGGGCATCGTCTCCACTCCTTAACTAACAAACTTTACGCGAGCAAGCGACGTCTGGGGAAGCACGGATGTGGAGGACTTGCGTGATGATCCCAGCGCCGTTGTGCGCCTCTTCCTCTTCTTTTTCTTCCGGTCGCGGACCCGAGACCGTGCGCTGCGACTTTTGTCGTGCCAATCATCAATTGAATGGGCGCGGGGATATTTTCATGATACTCCACTATTAGATAGTACGTAGTAGTATTTTGTGAAAATGTGGAGGCGAAAAAGCCTTGGAATTGTCAAATGAGGTCTGCCTCGCATTCATGCTGTGTCCAGGACTCGACAAATCAAAGAAAACTAGCATCATCATTATCTTTAGACGAAGGTTACCATGCAGTCTTAATTCATACCATGCAGATGAGCATTGTTTGACGTTGATGAAAAGTAATCGAGTCGTTCACATGCTAAAGGGCTTTACATTTTTTTTTAATCTCACTCAGACCCTATCACTGGTCCCCGGAATCTATAACCTGGTTATCTTTCATTCATTCCAAACACCAGAGAACTGGATCACCGCGCTAAATATACACCCTCATATCTTTCAACAGTGAGATTTTCCTGTTATCATTTGCGCCTCGGCTTGTCTGAAAGATTATTGAACATTGTCCGATTATCATACGACCGTTAGCTGAGTATGAGAGACCCACTGTTGACGCTTGAGCGCAACACAAGCCACAATGCCAACGTGACGACCAGAAAGACTTTGACCTCGATTGGATATTATGGCGCGGCTTACGAGAAGGGAGAGGAACAAAACTATCCAAGCCGCAAATGAGATGACAATGCGTGATTGCTCCATGAGTATAACCTGTGGTATGTAAGTGGTAGGTAGGTATTAGTGGAGCACGAACCTGCATTTTAAAATGGAGTCAACTTCCATATCTGCTGAAGTGACAGCATGACGTCTATTTTTAATTACGCGCTCCAAAAGTCAGCGAGCCAGAGCGCATTCATCATCGCACGACAGAGGCCATATGATCAGCTGAGATGACGCCCAAGTGAGATCTTACTAACTCCATCACATCAAGCAAACAAGTGGACGAAGGTAGATCATATTGCACCATGTTAAGCCATCCATGCTCAAATATTATATTGAGCACCGTGCCTACAGGGCTACACAGATTGTGATAATACTAACCTTTCTCATAGGGCATCTCAAGTCCCACGGCATCCAATGACAGTACAACAAGCATACGACACCCTAGTACAGGTGAAATGTGGCCTCGATGCGGCCAGCTGGGATCTGGCCATATTGCTAATCCCGCTGGTAGTTCCAATGATCTGGGGGAATGTACACTGCATCTTTAGGTCTCTCGAGCTGATTGCGATTTTAACGGTGGGGCTGCAGGGCTGAAGACGGGGTTTGTGAATTAACAAATGGCGATCAGTCTTTTGGGAGATGGGATAGAGTATAGATCATAGTAGGGCATTTCAAGTTCTATGTCCAAGCTCAAGGACAGATCAGCCTTGTCTGGAACCATTCGTATGATGTAGGTGGTGTAGCTTTGAAATTGCGATTGTCTTTTTATGTCGGGTCATGAAATCTATCTGTATTTCGTCAAGACATAATAGAGGTATCAAACAAGCACATAGAGACAAGAGACCCAAGCTTAGAATCCAAGCTCATCCTCTCCATCAAAATCCCCAGAGCTACCCATATCCTCATCATCTTCCAACCCCTCAAAGATCATAAACTTTTCATTTTTGGCATCCGTCTCTTCCTCAACAAGATATCCATCACCAACTTCACAGTCCTTCAGAACCGAATCCTTTCCAATTACCGCCCTGCGTCCGACGATACAGCCGGTAAGTGTGCAAGAGCTATTCACGACGGCGCCATCCATGATCAAACACCTTTGCAAACGCGCTCCTGAGCAAATCTTCACGTTTGCACCAATAACACTTTCCTTGATCACACATTTTGACTCGACGGTGGTGTTATGACCGACCAAGCAGTCAGACTTGGTGATGGTGGTCCGTTGAGCAATACCTTCGGGGTGTGCAATCTTTTGAGGGAGGGCAAAGGGCGAAGCAGCCGCACCGGCTTCTTCAACGGACTCGAGCTTGGCCAGACGGAGAGCCGTAGAGAGCAGGATCGCGCTGCTGTCAACACGGCGGACGAATGGCGCGGAGCCGCGCTGCACGTAAGCTAGGAGAGGAGGAATCTTCAGTTCTGGTTTCTCGGCATCGCTCGAGAGATTGGACACTCGGGATGCAAAGGAAGAGGTGGGAATGGGTCGAGCCACCTTGATGTTTGGCCTTGAGCTAGTGGTGGACATGGCAAGAAGGTCAATCTCCTCTTCTATTGATTCCCCGTCGTAGCTTCCGTTCTCAGCATGCTGGCCATTTTCTCGATGGAAGATCTCATCCATCCCCAACTTCTCGCCTAGTCCCCGCTGCCATTCAGCTTTTGCCCAGAAGCCGACCAGGTCTTCGCTAACTGACTGGAACTTTTCTTGCCGAAGGGCCAGCTCTTTGACCCAATAGGGGAATATATAAAGATGAGCATCCCGGAAAGTGCTAAGCATCTTGACGCGAGGGTGTCTTTCCGTAAGCGAATGCCGTAGAAGTAGGCCCTTGTCCTGTTCCATCTTCTCCTTGATAGTTGCCATGGGCATAGACAGTATAACCTTGGACAAATTGTGTCTCAGAGCTGCAGGGCCGTCAACGGCATGCGATACTGCCGGTGCCTCATCATCTTCGAGGGGTGCGATGGCCACGAAATCGGTTCCCTCGCCCTTGACCGATTCTTCCCGGTTTTGCGTTTGGTAGAACACGGTCAAACCACCGCGACGACCACCCTTCTCACCACCAGGTCCAGAAGATGTTGGGCCATGAGCATTCCGTCCCTCGGAGACGGTAGACGAGCCTCCCAACGCACTTTGCGAGACCATCCAAGCTTCCAGAAGCGACTCGCCGGGAATTTCGCACACCAAGTCGCAAGGAAGCAGAAGGAAGTCGGTCTTGATGCAGGCTTGCACTTCGGGCAAACGGAGTAGCTCTGCGGTTCCCATGTTTAGATCGAGACCTTTCGGCGCAAGGACTGATGGCGACGGCGTCGGTAGAGAGGTGAGATGCGGGTTTTGTTGTAGAGCGGCCTGAAGAGGAGCGGCGGTCGAGGGGGTGTGATCAATGTGATGTCTGCAACTCATTCATTAGCTGCTCACTTCAGAAGCAAAATTGAATAGTCACGAATCCTTACCGGTGATGCCTGATTTCTTCAGCCATGATAGCTGGTAATAGATCAGGGGCCGATTGGCCAAGGGAATTAGTGCTTTGGGGTATTCCTCGTTCGTAGTGAAGGTGTTCAGGGAAACTCCAGGTCCGCACAAAATCAAGGCTTGGATGCCAACCCCAGGGACGACTGCCGAAGGGGACGGCATTTTGATGACACCCTGGTTGAGACGAATCTAATGCGTTGATCGGATATAGGCCTGGTCGAATAAGTGAGCCCCGCGGCGAAAGTGGGATGGATGATGGATGGATGATTGCTGGTTTGAACTTGTGGGTCGGTCGTTATGATCGAGGGGAAAACTTCAATCGAGCTTCGCCGAGTCCTCAATGGCTGTAAATGCGTTCAAACCTCTCTAACTGGCCGGGACCACTCCAGGCAATAACTGTCGCTTTGAAGCATCAAGCGGGTCGCTATTTTTTGATACTATCACGTGATGATAGCGATGAGTCAGCCCGTGACCCGCCTCCAGTTTTAATTGGCACCAAACAGTGCAAACAATGCGACAGCCGTAAACACCGCGGTTACCATGGGGGCTTGTCCAGCCACATGTTTCCGTGCTCCGAGGTCGAGGTCCCCCATCTTCCCTCCTGCATCTACTGCATTTCCTGCGCCTTCTCCACATCGAGTCTGTTGTCAAGGAAAAGTGAAATGTGACTGGCAAGTCATTGCGACCGCGATTGAATATAATTAAATGCGCTATCGTTAAACAACGTCCCCGCGATCGCAATGTCTTTCCCCCAGGATTCTCGTCGCCACCGCGGTGGAGCCGGCACTGGATTCAGCTCGACAGGCCGGCGTACGGCGATGGGATACTGGATTCCCTTGGCTCTCACAGTGGGAGTTGCGACGCTGAGCATTGCAGCTTGGATTTGGAGCGAACGTGACGAGGACGACGAAAATGACCGCCCCCACGATGGGCCGGACGGTCATTATCCCCGTCCACCTCCCGGTACTGTCGGCAGCGACTATCCTCCTTCATACGAGACAGGGGATTATGCGCGAGGTACAGGGCCGGGAACAACACCCGGTGATAACCCTTATGATCCCAGCTTCATGGGTCGTATGCAGGGTGCTTTGCGCCGAACCCCTAGTCCCCAACAGCTCTTCGACGGGGCCAGTCGGAGAGTCATGGCTAGTGTAACTGCGGCTGGTGCCTATGTTGGCGGTGCACTCACCTCGATTCGGGAAGAAAACCGCGGTGACTTTGAAGATCACACCAGATGGTCCGAGGAAGCTCAGTCCCGGGCCACCCAAAGAGATCAACAAACGCCTGCTGGACCAACTATGAGCGGGGCGTTACCGAGCCGTGCACCCGCTGCTGGCCAGAACACATATGAAAAGAAGAAGAAGACTGTTGCTATTGTCATATCGTCCCTTTCGCCATCGGACTCTGACGAATTCGCTTCGGAACACGCTGTATGCCTCTGTCTTTACACTTACTGCCTTGACCTGCTTGTTCCTTACTGACAATCGCAGTCTATCCTTTCTCACCTCCCCGAACATGTCGATCTCGATACTTCTCGAATCTTCGTTTTGATCTATGCTCCTGATCTCAAGCATGCGATTGGACAAGGTAGTACCTCTCGCCAGACCACCTCCATCGCTTCCTCCTACTCCAACATCGCAACCGAGGAGGCGAATTCTTCGGCCGAATTGGTTGGCGATTTGACCAATGTAGAGTCCCGTCAAGACGATGATATTGATGGTACAACCCCGCTCTTCAAGACCTTGTACACCCAGGCCCAGGCAATTGTTGAGAAAGAGAGCATGATTATGCCCTTCAACACAGCCGGCGGTTATGTGCACCTTGTGCGCCACCTGTCACCGGACCTGGTCTATGTCCAGGAATCTTTGACTGGCAGTGAGGGTGATGCTGTCCAACACATTTCAGGTTGGGTTCGCCAGGTCATTGTTGTGGTTGGCGATGAGGGCGGCCGAGGAGGCCTCATTGATAGCGATGACGAGTCCGCCCTTGCCGATAAGGGAGAGAAATGGTGGCAGAAGGAGGGTACCATTGGCATCGGTAAGCGTATCGACGTCGTTGACGCGCTTCGTGTAGGAGACGATTGGCGCCGCCGAGTGCGTGGGTTGGACTGAACACCCTTCCCGAAATAATCAGTCAAAACCCCATGATGTTAATGTTGATACTCTTTCCACCTGCATGTCTATATTTGCTCTCACCTTTTCCCTTATGATTGTGTGCCTTCGATTCCCCTTGTTCTTTTTGGCTTTATGTTTGTTGATTATCCTCCAGAAATGTCAGCTCTCGAGGCCTAGAAGCACTCGCATGCTGCCAAACACCCCCAAGATAGCTTCCGTAATGCAGTCACCTTACTCCGATCAACTTCATTCTTTCAAGTAAACGGCTTAATGCCTGCAATGGAGACAGTGCCGATGCTCGTAGGCGATTACTTCAGAACATACCCAGGACACAAAACACGCTAATCCCGGAACGGAATGTCATGTGACTGCGTCACGTCTCGCCCGCGGCTTGGCATCATCACCTCCCTCTACAAGGCTTCCGCCGCCCAGCGCCTCCCCGGACCCCTTCCCCCCAAGCGACATCGGTTGATGGACGCCTCCGCTCTCTTTTCTTAGTCGTCTCTGGCTATACAAATCAATTTTCAACTTGGAACTCGCTGTGTTGGTGACCAGGGCCGACCGACCGATCCCCACATGTCTCGCACCTCGGTCATCCCATTCTTTCTCGGACCCCGGATTTCAACCGATATCGTCGAATCGATCTCTGAATAAAGCATATTTTCACATACTGGAAGTTTCCGCGTCGCGCTCTGTGCGCCGATCATCATGGCGACTGCGGTCTCGAAGCCAGGCTCTCATCCTCCGAAGATGAAGCGGCCGCCCCCGCCTTTCCCCAGACTGGGGTGAACGGAGTCAAAGCCCAGCAACCCTCATCTTCTCCCACCACCTCCTCCTCCCAACGTCCTCTCGGTAACACTTCTGCTGGATCGAGCTCAAATCTGACCAATGGTGTGACCAATTTATCAAACAATCCTAAAGGCGCTCTGAATCGCATCAAGACCCAGTCGCAACGGCCCGGCGACGGAGCTTTGCGACAGAACCGGCCAGTGACGCGAACTTCATCCGCGGGGAATGAGCATCGGGGCTCAAAAATGAAACCTGAGCCATATGGTGAGATCATTCTCCGCGCATCATCGGCCAATGCCATCTTATTGCCACCCTGCGATTACTGACTTCGTCTGACCACTATAGTCAAAACTACGTCCTATATACTCAAGAAATACGCCAAATGCCCTCCCTCTCTTATCCTGCACCTTCACCCCACCCACTTTCGATTTGAACAGCAAGATGGAAGCTTTCCATATAATTCGGAGATGAAAGTGATCATTGAACACCTCCGCGCCGGGACAGTTCCGCACGAGATCATCGAGGAGCTATTACACGGGGGCGTGAAGTTTTACGAAGGTATTTATCATCCTGAATTCATAGATTTGTAAGGTTTGATAGAATTCTTATCGATAATAATCCTCTCTCAAGGTTGCCTCATCGTGCGCGTGGTCGACCACAAGTCTGTCTCCGCCCAAGCCCAAAAGACTTCTGTGTCAACAAACAACGAGAACAACAGCCCGTTCTCTCTTCACAACTACAACGAGCACGTCACTCCCTCGGCATTTGTCCCATATCCGAAGCAGAACCAGCTCACCACCGACGTACAAAGCTCTAAGCCACCAGAGACCCCAACTCCTGGCCAAAGTCAGGCTGAGAACCAAACGAAGGGTGAGAGTTCTGAACCTCAGAGCCAAGCGAGCGGATCGGAGCAGAAATCTGGCTCACCTAAGCCTCGTGTCTTCACCACTGTTCTTCACCCTACGCCACGTGTGTTACAGGCAGAATTGACTCTTCTCGTGACCACCCCGGACCCAAAAGCCGCTGCTTCAAACCAAGCTTCCCGTACACAATCCTCCTCAGTCATCCCTCAATCGCCTGTCACCACACAACCCGAGCGGGGCCATCCTGCAAAGCGACAGAAGACACTTGTGGAGCCGCAAGACCTTCCCGAGTGTGAAGCGCTTCTTGTGAATAGCTTGGCTCCCCCTCTCTATCTCGATACCGTGGACAGCTTTGAAGATTCACAAGTTCTGCTGGACTTCCTGAAGAACCCACTGCACAACGATCCGCCACCATCGCCTAAGCGCCGCAAGAGAACCGTGGCCGAGCTTGCTGCAGACGAGGCGCTCGCAGCTGAGGAAGAACGGTTCATGCTCATCATGGATGAACGTCTACAGCCTAACGCTTCTGGAGCAGCTGGCACCTCCAAGACCGCTGTTGTGGATGACACAGCCGGTGTGGCACCGTTTGAACCTCGCTTCTCGCGCTTCAAGACTTTGGAGACGATTCGCATGCAGCACGAGGAAAAGGCGAAACGTGAGCATGAGATGAAGCTGAAACAAGAACTGGCCAAGAGACAGCAACAAGAGCAAGAAAAGGAGCGACGCCGTGCCTTGGAACAACAGCAAGCAGAGCAGCATGCCAAGGAGGAGGCGCGCAGACAGCAACTCGCTGCCCAGCAGGCACAAGCTCAACTGGCAGCTCAAAATCGCCACGTCATGGCCCAGCCGAATGGTGTCACTCAAGGGCAGCAGTCCTCCCCCATCGTACGCCACCAAACCCCCCACAGCACTTCCTCGCCGCTTGTTGGTAACGCTATGGCGACACAGGCCGTTCCAATGAGTATCAGCGCATCTCAGCAGTCAGGAAGCCCGCCACGACCTCCATCCTCTATGCAGCACGCGCATCCAAACATGATGGCCCACCCTATGGCACCTTCCAGAAGTCAGCAAGGAGCTAGCCGACATGGAACACCACAGATGACCCAGGCTACACCGGCGATGTCACAAGCCACCCCTATCATGCGCAATGTCACTCCGACTCAGCGAATGAATCACGGCAGTCCTACTCACACCATGGCTCAAACCCCGATGATGAACCAGCCTATGGCCCAAAATCCGCAGATGAATGGTGCTGCAATGGGCCTCACTCCGCAACAGCAAATGTTATTACAACAGAGACAACAGCTCCTTGCTCAACAAGGTGGTCAAATGGCTGGCGCGACCCAGTTTACTCCACAACAACTTGCTCAGATGCAAGCGAACGCGCACGCTGCTCAGAATATCAAGTCTCATCAGCAACAGCAAATGCTGCAGGCCCAACAAGCCCAGCAGGCTCAGCAGGCCCAGCATCAACAGCAGCAGCAGCAGCAGCAGCAGCAGCAGCAGCAGCAGCCCAATATGCAAAACATTCCTCAGCACAGCCAGCAAGCATACCAGGCACAGCTCATGCGGGCTCAGTTCGCGCAGATGCAAATGGTGAAACAGCAGGGAGGCCAGATTCAGCAAGGTCAACCGAACCAACAGCAGCAACAAATCCATCAGGGCAGTCCACAAATGACCGCTCAACAGCAGCAACAGCAACAGCAACAACAACAGCAACAACAGCAACAGATGCTGATGGCTGCCGCTCAAGCAAATGGAGGCCAGATGCCAAACATCCAAGGCAACATTGCTCAACGTTACAACCGACTCTACCAGCAACGTCTCCTTCAGTTGCGTCATGAGATGTCCCAGAGATACATGACCCAGTATGGACCACCAACTCAATATCCACCTCAGATCGCCCAGCAATATGGTGCTGGGTTGGAGAAGAGTGCTAAGGTATGGGTGCAAGATTTGATGCGACGTGATCGAGAAGCTGCTCAGCAACAGCGAGCAAGTGCTATGCATGCTCAACAGATGCAGCAGCAACAGCAGCAAAATATGATGCATAATGGGATGGGGAATTGATTGCAAATAAGACTGAAATTGCTAATCCTTAACTAATGCCTGCACTCTCCGAGATTTGGGTTCCCATGGATCTACGACATCAAACGCAACATTTGGCGAGGACCTAGATTGATGGGGAGGTGATCAGCAATGGCTTTGCGTGGTGGAGCCAGAACCTTTTGTTTTCTGGTATCATCTTTTCTTTGGTTTGTTCTTTCCCCATGGTTTCCTTGGGTCGCATCGTTTTTGCTTTTCTTCGTTTTTTCTTTCTATTTCACATTTTTGTACAGGGCTCGGGCAGCACGGAGGTTCAAAGGCCGGCGTTACTGCAAGATCTTCCCATGGTTGTTTTCCCCTTGGTTTTCATTTTCCCCTTCTTGATTGTACTATCTTCCGGAGACCGGTTCTTTCTTCTTCTTCTTTGATTTTCTCTTGACTTTTCTGCTCATGTGTTTGGCGGGGATTCCAATGGGTTCAGGACTTGATACCATTCTGCACAGGAGTTCTTTTCTTCCAAATAAGGAAGAGGGTTTGGTTGTTTGTCTTTTCAGTGGGTTTGGCAGTCGAGGTTTGGAATTGGCCCAAAATGCAAGAAGACGCCAGTCATGTCATTTAGGTTGTCACGTCAATTCAATTTTCACATACCCACTTCTAGTTATTCCTTTAGCAGTAATTCATAATCCGATTATTCATGCCGCGAGGAGGTATCCCCGTAGTACAGTAGTACAGTACATCTTCCCGGCAGATGCTCTCCATGTCGGCAAGCGTTGGCTGCGGTCAAGCCGACGGCCATCGTTCGGGGTAAAACACGCCGATCGGGATATCCGAGCCGAGTCCTTCACACCCACACTTCCACACGACGCACTCCCCCGACATTGACTTATCTGCTGGCGCGGGGTTTCAACATGCTTCGCATACCTCTTTTGATACCCTGAGTATTTTCCCTACAAAATGGTGTCTCCTTGGACAAAGTCAGCGCAATGGATTTGGACGCCCAACTATCGCGAGGAGGACATTCATAATGGCCAATACTTTCTCTTTCGCAAGAACTTCCAGTGGACCGCTCCCACCAGCATTAGGAAGTTTCCCGTCCACGTATCTGCAGATACTCGCTATCGGCTCTATGTGAATGGTCAGCGTGCGAGCTTCGGCCCTTGCAAGAGCTATGCAGAGAGGTGGCACTATGAAACGGTCGATATCTTCCCGTACTTGAAGATGGGGGGGAATGTGATCAGTGCTCGCGTACTGCGGTATTCATCCGTCGAACCTGGGTCGTCGTCGATTATTCGAACAGAGTTGCCGGGACTTATGGTGCATGGTGAGATCGAGGCAAGTCTAATCTTATGAGGGCTCACACAATTTTCGTCAATTTTCTTTTGTTTTCCCAATTCTAATGAAAGCGTATCCTGTAGGGGCTGTCAGTATCAACCGATGAAACGTGGAGATGTGTGGAAGAAACCAATCGACAGATTATTCCTTACTCTGAGTGGAACTACATCCTCGGCCCTCCGTTTCTCTCGAACCATGAGAGAGTGGCAGAGGCACAGGAACTCACCGGTTGGGAGCTGCCTGGGTATGACGATTCCAACTGGGTGAGAGCCATTTTCCCGTTCCGCCCCGCAAAGATGCTGCCAATGACAAGCCCTTGGAAGTTGGCCCCACGCCCTATCCCGGCACTGCCTGAGAAGTTTGGAAGATTTGATGGAGTGGTTAAATGCCAAGGCTCGATTGCACAGGATCAGTGGAAGAGTTTCATCAAGGAAGACGGTGCCGTTGTGGTCCCAGCCGGAGAAACAGTCACTGTCGACATTGAAGTGAGCTCTTTGACGACTGGTTTCATTACCCTTCAGTGCAGCGGTGGAAAGGGCTCGAAGGTCATCCTTCACTACGCTGAATGCTACGAGAAGGACCTGGGGGTGGATATTGCTCCTTTCCCAAAGCCTCGATCTAAGTCTAATCGAGCTGACTCCAGTGGCCGGCTGTACGGGATCAAGGACATTTATACAGTTTGTGATGGCCAGCTGGAGCACACGTTCGAGCCGTTCTGGTTTAGAACATTCCGATACGCCCAACTCAAGATCACAGCTAGCGAACAACCATTGACTCTTCGGAGCTTCACCTTCCGTGAGACATACTATCCACTTGAAATCACGACTGGGGTGCAATCTGGCACGGAATTGGACAACATCTGGAATATCAGCCTGACAACTCTGCAAAACTGCCGACATGAAACATATGAAGACTGTCCATTCTACGAACAGAATCAGTTTGTATCAGACTCGCGTCTGCAGATGCTGTTCACCTATCAACTTTCCTCCGACGATCGCCTCGCCCGCAAGACTCTGCAAGAGTATCACGCAAGTCAGGGTCCCGATGGATTGGTCAAAGCCCAATTCCCCACAGGTTTCCGCAGTACCCAGATCCCTCAATTCTCTCTGTACTTTGTGGCGATGGTGTATGACCACATGCATTATTTCGCCGACACTTCCGTTGCACGTCGGTATTTGAGTACCATTGATGGCATCCTGAACCATTTCGATGAGCGGATCAACGAACTCGGTCTTGTTGGTCGCTTCGATCATGATACTTGGCCATTCATCGACTGGGTGCCGGAATGGTCTGTACCTGGAAAGATCTTCGAGTCGTGCATGCCGCGGGCATATACCACCACCGGGGCTGCCACCTTTAACAGTCTTCTATACACCGTGGCACTGATGCAAGCAACTGAAGTCTGTACCTTTGTGGGAAGAAATGATACGGCACAAGAGTATACTGCTCGTGCAGATGCTCTACGAAGCGCTGTGAACCGCCACTGTTATGAAGATGGGCTCTATTTGGATGGACCATCGACCAAGGAATATAGCCAGCACAGCCAGGTGTTTGCCATTCTGTCTGAGAGCACTACAGGGACCGCAGCCAAGGAGCTCATGTCCCGGACATTGGAAGACAAATCGTTGGCAAAGTGCTCCTATTCGATGAAATTCTACCTCTTCCGTGCTGTCGAGAAGGTCGGCCTGTATACACAAGCGTTTGACAACCTGATCGATCCGTGGAGACGCATGATTGCAGATAACCTGACCACATGGGCTGAGTTTGAGCAGAATGCCCGCAGTGATTGCCACGGTTGGAGCGCGAGTCCTGTCCACGAAATCGTGACCCAGGTATTCGGTATCTCGCCTGCGCTACCAGGATTTAAGAAGATCCGCATTGCGCCTAAAATGGACCTGTTGGAGAGCGCTCGCGGAACTTTCTTTACCCCAGTAGGAGATGTCTCACTATCCTGGACAAAGGATGGAGGCCTCGAGGTGAAGGCTACTGCAGAGGTTGAAGCTGAGATCATTCTTGATGGGGTCTCATCAACTCAGCGACTAGAAAAGGAGAAGGCGATTGTTTTCTCCCGGAAGACAGTCCGATGCTAGGGTTGTGCATTTTGGTGAACGAGTCGTGACATGTCATTTTAAAAATCCACAATTATAGAGCTACCTAGTTTAGGGTATGATAATCCCATATTATATCAAGTTTCGAAGCATTACCCTTGGGAATCAGGGAAGTACCACGCTTACGGACCCGGTTCTTAGAATACATAACTATTAGATTTATTCATCTCCATTCGGCACTGTAGAATATCGGAATCCTTCAATAAATATTCGGCTTGTCCCTTAAGTACCAACATGCAAGACAACAATAGTTGCCTGACTTCTTGCTGTTTTGCCTGAAATCTCAGGCAGCGACAGGATCACTATCGGCCCCACTTGGTTAATCCGAAGCCGAGTCCAGAGCCTCCAATGCCGAGCACACTACAGTCCGAAATGTTGCAAAGTCGAAATGACAACCTCGGTTGCATCTTATAAATGTTTTGATGATCTGTGAACATAATTCCCTCAATTTCAAGTGGGTTGTCCCTGATAAGGAACTCTGGTGAAAAAAAATTACATAAAAATCTACGTGGCGAAACACAAGGTGTGTCCACTGTCCACTATGCTCCTCGGAATACCCGGGCACGGGTCGGTTTATCATCCCCCGAATTTCGCTTCACAGTGGGTCGGGACGACGACGCTCCCCCACAACCGGGGAAAGGCTGGGGAATTGCTTCAAATGCCGGTCTCTGGGCTTCTCCAAAACGTTCAGGTTTCATGCGTGGATCCTGGAAGTTGCACCAGAAATCAATCACGAAGATGGACAATCGAGACACCAAGTCCAACTCAGCGCACCTGGAAAATGTCACGAACAACCCGGAGGAGTCATCGGAGTGGGCAACATCGCCGTGGCAATGTCTAGCCCAGAACCCCTGGGTTATTCTGTTCTGTCTCTATGGCAATCTCGGAGCGTTGATGTATGGGTTTGACAACCTGGTGTTGTCCCTAGCACTGTCAATGCCCGGATTCGAGTGAGTAGTGCTCTCACCTAGTCGGTTCGTTGATTGATCGCGCTAACGAGATACCAGAGCTCAATTCGGAGTACTCAGCAATGGGTCGTACGTTATCCCGGCGTATTGGCAGTCTCTATGGAGTGCGATGTCCCAGGTTGCCACAATGCTGGGAGCCACCGCCGCTGGACCTGTGCAAGATCACTTCGGTCGTCGTGCTTCTTTCCTACTGGGCTCCATCTTCTCCGCTGCAGGTGTAGCCGTCGTGTATACGGCATCAACCCCAGGGGTTTTCCTCGCGGGAAAGATCGTTAATGGCCTGTCGCTGGGTATCTGTTTGACAACCGGTCAGACCTACATTTCTGAAGTGACTCCGATGCAGATTCGTGGTATTGCCCTGTCTGCTTTTACATTCTGCATGGTAAGAAAATCTTCCGGGCAATGGCCTATCTTCTATGATCTTAATGCTACTAATGATATACAGAATCTCGGATACATGATTGCAGCTTCCATTGCGCTGCCGCGTATGTCGATGGACACAACGGCTGCATACAAAGTAGGTCTCCTTCAAATTGCGCGATCTAATGCTCGGCCCTTGAGACAGGACAGAAGAAAATACTAACATTGCGCATCATAGGTGCTGTTCGCCGCCGCTTGGGTCTGGCCAGGCGTCGTAGTTCTTTTGCTTCCCCTCATTCCCGAGTCTCCCTACTTCCTCGTCATGAAAGATCAGCTCGACAAGGCTCAAAAGTCACTCGAAAAACTAGGAAACAAGTCTTCGCAGGTCATTCCCATGTTGGACCAAATTGTCCGTGTCAACGAAGAGGAAAAGGCCCGAAGTGCTGTCGCCAAGGGGGCGAGTTTCCTCGAATGCTTCCGCGGTGTCAACTGGCGACGTACCAGAATCATCCTTATATGCAATGGTCTGTCACAGATTATCGGAGCTAGTTTCATGTCGAACGGTCCTTATTTCCTTGTCTCGGCGGGCATGTCTGCGGCCAAAATTGGAATGATGACTGAGATTGGCATTGGCTTTGGTCTTGCCAGTTCGATATTGACTGCCTATCTCATGGCGAAATGTGGACGCCGAAGACTCATCATGTTCGGCTTGTCTCTTTCAACGGTGTTCTACACTGTGATGGGAATTGCTGGATGCTTCCCAAGCTCAAGCACTGCTTTATGGTAAGCAGGATTGAACCCACTCAATCTAAACCCGAATATCATGGAATATGAACTCACGCTGATAACCAACTAGGGTCATCGGTATCTTCCTTGAGCTGACCTGGTGGGTCTACGGTCCAGCTATCGGTCCGGCCATGGCGATAGCTGGAGAAGTCTCTGCAGTGCGTCTTCGTGCGAAGTCTATGGCTGTTGGATTCACATTCAACTACTTCTTCTCTACCGTATGGAACGTCATAATGCCGTACCTGTACAACACAGATGAGGCGCACCTAGGCGGCAAGATTGGGTGGATCTTTGCCGGCCTGGGCGCTATTACCCTAGTCATCATCTACTTTGAGGTGCCTGAGACCAAGGGACGGTCCTTTGAGGATCTGGACGAGATGTTTAATGAACAGGTCAGCACTCGGGCATTCCGAACCTACCAGTGCTGCCTGCGCCAGGAAATTGGGAAGCTCAGCGAAGAGTAGAGCTATGAGTATTTGAGCCGCTGTGTCAGGTACACGGGGCTTTGAGATTTGAATTATCATATAGCACTGCCCTTGTTATTCAGCTAGGTTATTGGGCTTGATTCATTTCAGCGCATCCGAGAGACTTGTCATACCTATAGAAATTTCAATCTACAGAGGATCTAGCACAACCTATTTTCATATTATTTATTACAAATTACCACAGAGAAACCATCGTAGGCATCGTGATATGGGGAAATTGCAAATCTGGATTATAGCAGTATTCTGACGACGCCATTCCATTCTATTCATCGGTCAAATCCAGATGCAGGGCTGACATAACCACGTTTGGCCTCAATTTACTGCCTAAGAATTGCTACATTATCTCGACGTCAGCCGATCGTGGAAAAGGCGGGATATCTCGATTGAGGGTTCACTGATCGCTACATACAGTAGCTATCATTATTTTGAAATGAAATTGTTAAAAAAAAAAAAAAAAAAAAAAAAAAGTAAGCCAAGATAGCAGGACTACGCAGATCCGCTCATTCACCGCTGGATAGTCAGGCATCTATGGGACGGGACTACACCGACAATAGCTGCGTCTATGTGCATTTGTCTTCTCCTTTCGAACATCAAAAATCACGCACATCTTCGGATGAAATTTACGATGCGAGAGCCTGCTCATTGTCAAATTTTAAACACTATCAGATCAACCCATATCCATTGTCACGACGTCCCTCCCGAAGCGAGGGATGGCGATCACAGCACGCGTACCCCACGATAGTATGCATGAGAGAAACAACTCCATGATATTGAGTAAAAAGAACCTCCTCTCACAACGTTGAACAAATTGCATGCACGTTGATCATGATCATCAACGTCCTCCATGGCCAAACAATTCTCTCAAAAGTCCAGACCGACTCGAAGATTAACATGGTATCCCAACACTTGAATCTCACATTCCAATGCATGCCGCACAACGTACTGCAGCTCCATGCGCCGAGGCTGCAGCAAGCATTCCTCGTTCAAATGTTGCATCGACAAGAAAAAACTCCATTTAGTCAAGTACTTTTCAAATTCCATCCTAACTAGGAAATAAGATAGAAAGTTAGGAAATATCCAAAGAAAGCCTGATTCTGCAGCCCGTGCAGGACAATGAATGTGCAGATAATACGTACTACAGTACTTTACTCTGGTCTTTCCTTCCTCAAGAAGCCGGCGACAGGTGCACAGACATGCCAACACGACACGCGGCAGGGATCCAACTGGTCGGGCAGAGCTCAGGAATGTTGAGGATAATCTATTATGAATAGAATTACTGTATAAGACGTTTTGCAGCTGAGCGAATAATCGCGGTGAGCATGCCGCGTGTGGACGCGGCGTGGCTTCTACGACTGCGGAGTACTTTTCTGAAATCTATAATCCGTACAAATGTACACAGTCCACGAGCCGACGAAATGTGCATAGTTGATCTTGAAATAAATAGGAACAAAAACACCGGGGAGGTCACAAAAAAAAAAGCAAATTCATCAATAGCGTAGCCGGATCGTTTCCGAGCTGGGTTCCAGAATGGAGATGTTGGGGAAAAAGCAAAGAGCGCGTCTATAATCCATGATTTATCCATCCAGCGGTCGGAAGATAAGATGAAAAAGTACCACTCAACTACAGTACTCATATATACAGACGACAGAGACAAAAATCTGGGTTGCTGGTGCGGTGTAACGGCGGGCTCGACGACTTCCAGGGGTCTAGGTACTCGAAGCCTGGACATACGGTGGAGTAAATAATTTCAGATAATAGCCAATCTTACCTGGGAGATCAAGTCTGGGAACCAGAAAAAGGTTTATAGCAGTTTAATGTAACATTTTAGAAATCAACAATTATTCAATCAACTCTAAGTAGACTGGGCCAGGTTCCAACCCAGTGTGAAGACCGGCATGCTCAACCGTGCGACTTTCCAAGGTTCAGCACCAATTTTGCCGAAATCGATATGCAGGGGCGATCATGACAAGAGGAAGAAAAATTCGCTGCCGTTCTAGACCCAGCCTTTCCTATGAGTAGTACACATCGGGGGATCAACCAGTTCACCAGCCGGCTCTGAGGTCCAAGCCATCGCGCTGATAGCCCCGAAGAATGAGAGTAATGCAACAAACCCGATCCGGTTGCGACGAACACAAACACCCAACAACGGTCCAAACTCAGAAACAACACAAGTTACAAGTTGGGCAAGTCCGAGCGCCGTGCTATGTACCTGGCAGAGTCCTGATGTACAGTAGTCTATGACTGAAATGTGAGAAACATACGGAGGCGGATCCAGAAGTACCCAAGTACTCCACATGATCCCACTATGACTGTACTTAGATACCACAGTGAACAATAGATCAGAGACAGAGTTTCGTGGCGCGAACCAGGCCGAGCAAAGTCCGATGGTCATAGCCATACTGGCCGATACGATTATTCACATTAGCCTGCTATACGTGTATGAGGAAAAGAGCATGACCTCCACTCCATTTCTACGAGAATGAGGGATCGTTCAAGAAGAAGAGCGATGAATATGGAAGGATCAGAGCACCTTTATGCCATGATCAGTTCTGGAAACAGGGACCATAAAAAGCAGCCAGCCCGTCGGGATTGGATTGCAGAAGACGCATGGAAAGACGGAGAAAGGGGACGATCAAAGTGGCGGATTTAGCAGATGCAGTCAGCAAGATGATACATACAGTAGAACTGTACCACTTACTCTAGAGGTAGGAAATACGAGTTCAAGTACTCCATAACCTCGATAAAGGCCCAAGAACAGCCAGCCACATCTCGCAGAACAAGGCTCTAACCCAAGTAGCGACAAGAACCAAAACTACAACCGAGTACTCAGACCAACTTACATCCATAACCCACCCTATGACAGAGACAAACTCCACTAACCACTACAAGAAAACCACATACATCGGATAGAGAGATCTGGGAAACTGGGAAAATGTACAAGTGTCGCGAGTGGGCACTAGAATCAGATGAGACTGGCGGAAGGCGGTTGTGATGTGTAACATTTGCGCTCGGAGGCGCCAGGAACCGTGGAACGGGGGCCTAGTAAGATTCAATGGACTGTATGCGCGGATGAGCCAAGAATAGGCTGTCAGATTAATGAAAGAGAGGCAAAACTGATTTAGAATTTTGGAGCTGTTGAAACGGTTTGGAGCGTTGAGGGCTGGTGGCTTTTTGGTGTGGTGGTTGGAAGTGGAGTTCGGGGGACGCGAGTAGTCCGAGTGCGTAGTGGGGGGCCTTGCGAAGATGGTTTGACTAGTCTGGTGTGACCTCTCTCTAAGGTAGAGCGAAAGTCGTCAACGATCTAGAGGAATATCTACAACGTTAGACCAACGATTACATTTCTCAATGGGAACTTGAGGAGGTAATTTACGGAGACTTCAAAAGCTGGAGGTGAACTGGAAATATCTCATGTCTTTTTTCCTTATTATACCACAATATGGTAAGCGATAATGATACACGCGACAGAGATGAAGTCAAAAAGAGAACGCATTGTAGCTGATTGTACAAGATCGCCCATCCCTCCCAAGTGATTATCCCAAACGCGATCGAAGAGCAACAGTATAATATGCAAACGCCTCAACTCAAGAACATGTAAAAACAGATTCCCACCCCAAGGCCCTTTTCGCCCCGACAAATTATGCAAGAAAGAAAAGAAGAAATAATAATGAGTAATCACACGGAGTGGTCTTCGCCAGACCGGAAGACCATATACAACGCCGTAGCGGCCAATAGTTGTTGGCCGGGTCAAATGCCGATGCCATGTATGGGTGGGACGCCCATTCTCCAAGGGTATCAATGTCCGGCCTCAAGAGGCCCAGATTTCGTTGGATTCTTGTTGATAGTTTGAATTTATTTTTTTTTGAGTTCTTTGATGTCTTTGAAGATTTCGTGTTCGATTGAAAGTGTTTGTATTGTGTTGGTGGGGTTGGCGTGGATGAGTCGTGGCTTGTTTTTGTTTTTTTTTTCTTGTCCTTCCCTAAGGAGTAGCATCACTTTGCTTTTTGTGGTGGCTGTTGGCACATCTAATCATCCCAGCCATCAACGCTGAGGTCACAATCAGGGATGTCCTCAAGCTTGGTGTTGTAAAGAGGACGGCCGTCGGCTGTCAGCTGGCCACGGAAATCCGGATCATAATCTGGGCTGGTCTCGTCGAGGGTGGCGACATAGCGGTTGCGACCACCCCGCTTGCTGTGAGTCTTGGTATAGTGAGCGTTGAGGTTGTCGCTGCGGGAGAAAGCTCGGTGGCAGCCCGGCACCCAGCATACGTGGGGCTTCTCCTTGGAATGGCTCTTCATGTGACGCTTGAGGTGCTCTTGACGCTTAAAGCGGCCTTTGCACCCAGGCTCCTTGCACTTGAACTGGACTTGCTTGATGACTGCGGGAAGATTCTCTAGGCTCAAGTTGGACCGCAGCAGCTGCTTTTTGGATGGCTTGCGAGTCGGCTGACGGTGTGTGCGAATCATCTGGCCATCTCTGTAAACTGGAGACACTGGGTACTCTTCTTGATACTCGTTATGGCCGGACATGCGGCTATTGGGCGTGTCACTGCCCGGTGTGCCCAGGGACATGGATCGCACCGGGGTAGCAGGAGTGTGAGGTTTGAAGGTTTGCAGACTCGCGGGGAACTCAGAGTAATTTGAAGGGGGAGGAGTGACGGGTGCGTGGAGCGCCTGAGCAGGGGTAATTGTCTGAGGAGGCATCGACTCTGTTGCCACCATCCAGGGCAGCATGTTCGACATGGAGACGGAGTTTGGGAGACGCTCAGGCTGGCTGAACATGGGACGGGAAAGGCAAGGGTTGGATGCAGACTCAGGCAAATAGGATGCTTGAGCTTGCTGGCGGTAGTGGTGGTTACGACCCATAGTGTGATGATATTGAGGCATGGGGGCCTGATAAGGGAAGGTCTGCTGCCCAAATGTCTTGGGAATGGAGTCCTGGGGGATCCAGAACTGGTCGACACTCTCATCATATCCCGATAGGTACTCGGCGGACATGGGGATCTGGTCCTGGCGGTCCATGTTGCCGACAGCCATGGCCATGCCCTCACCTGACGGGAAGTCGGACATTCTGAAGGCACTTCGGAGGGGGGTGGCGGAAGTTCGCCGTTCCATAGGAAGGCTGTGATAGTGGCCGGCTTCGTGCCAGCCTGGAGAGGCCAGGGAACCCTGGCTATAGATACTGGTTGGAGTGGGAGTCGGAGACTCTAAAGGAGAGAAACTCGAAGTCATCGAGGGACATTCACTGGGTCCCAAAGAGTGGCAGTCAATCTCCACAGTCAAGCGATCCGAAATCTGCTGGCCCTGAGGTCTCATGTCGTCTAGTTCTTCGGTCTTGAGGTCTCGTGGGGCGACAGGATCGACAATAGTATCACCTATATTAGGGAAACTGGGTTTAGTCCACTATTCTAGTGGAGTACAAGGGAATGAAGGTTGATAGGTGATTAGGTAGGAAAGTATGCGATGGACAGGATGCAATAGCAACCACAGTGGAATGATGGAGTTGTAATGACGAGGGACGGCAACGAGCGTTGAAGGAAAAAGAACGTTGATCACACAAAAGAAATCAGGAGCTCAGGCACGAGGGAGTGATGCCTGGCAATGACCACAGGGACTTGGAGGAAGGAAAGAGAAGGAATGTCGAGGGCCTTGGAAGAAGAGAGGAAAGGAAGAAGGGAATGGAGGGACAAACGAGCAGAAATAAACAAATTGGGCCAGCATAGAATCCCGGGTGGGGAATCGGACTTACAGCTATACGCCATGACTCGGATGAGATCCAAAGGCGCCCGCGTCGCGTGCCGGACGAACCCTTCACGCAAGGCCAGGAATGCAGACAAAAGCCTGCCTCCGTTACCGCGGCAAAGGAGGGCTGGTTTGAGGTGGAGGGGTTCAGATAGCCGGTTCGTGGCACCAGCTTCGCGTCTCTTGGAACCAGAGGAGCACGAACTGAACGAATAGAGTATGGCCAACTGCTCTGCAGACCCGTGGCTGGAAAGAGGGGGGGCCACAAAAGGTACGCGGTTTCAGTTACCTAGAATAGGGTCGTGATGGTTTCCCTGGAGAACGACCTTGAGACGCGGGTGGTTGGACGTTGGAGGGGGAGTGTCCAGAGAGGGGGATTCGATTTAAAAAGAGAGGAGGCTGGGTCTCAGATTAATTGACCGGATCGTGAGGAAGGGGAGTGAGTCGCAGGGCTGGATTGGTATAAAAAGAGCCTTCAAGGGGATTAATTGTTCAGAGACACCGGCAAGGAGGATTGGAGATTGAGGGTGGAGAGGGAGCAGACGAGAAGGGGTGGGTTTATAGTTCCCCAGCCAAGGCAATGGAAGCTTGTTCCTGAGAAGCAGAAAGAATAGGAACAAGAAGAGAGAAATAAAAAAAGTCAAAAAAGAACCTCAAGATCGACAGGATCGATTGCCTCATCCCTAACTCTAATATCAGCTTTTTTGAATATTATTTATTCGTGAATTTTGATTTTTATGGTTTATGTGAAATCAAATATTTAACGCGGATCATTATTATCATCATGATCATGCGAATCATGATGATCGGACCGCATAATTTGAATTATTATCATTATTCCTCTTATTGTCACAATCTAATAGGATGAAACCAACTTCATCGGCCGGCATCTTTCCTCTCTGAACCACTGCGGGACTGTGGGGACACGCTCCATATCCGATCTCACAGGTACAATCAGCAGAGTGATCCATAGTGACCCAGTAGGTGCCTCTAGCTGCCCATAGCTATCCTCAGCCTTCCGAGTGCCAGCCAGTTGGAGGCGACAGCCACTGGAATGTCCGGCTCTGCCTATTGCGTTCCGCGCAATGTGAGTAGAGTTTATTTTCGCTGTTGACATGCAGCTTGGAGGCGCGTTGGGTCTCGAAATGACGCCCCAGACTATTCTGATTATCCTATTGTGCTTTGGAATTTATTTTCTTTTCTTTTCTTTTTTGCTTTTTTTACACCCGTCTGTTTCGCCCACTTTGTCATGACTAGTTCCTTTTCAGGGCATGAATCTTAGTCATGCTTTGAGTTTACCTTTCGCCTCCTACCGATTGAGGTCGATCCTCCCCAGGAACCTAGAGATACAGACAATAAGTACGACTAAATTACTCGAGTAACATGTCGTACCTTCGCTGGACCTGCACCAGATCGACCATCGCCCCACCCTCCCCGTTCGAACCTCGCGGCCACCGCAGACGAAGAAATTGTCAGTCTCATACGAAGTCTTCTTGAGACAGGCAGAAATGGGCACAATCACGACACTTATTCTTATGTAGTCTCCTAAGTCTAGAATTAGGGTCCATGGTAATTCACACCGATTATTGTCTCCGTTATCTGAAGGGTTTTCTGTCAACCAATCTGAGCTCAGACGTTAGTGGCGGATCCAAAAGTGGGGGGCTTGATCGATCTCATCCAGGCGCGGTTTAGCCCAGGCTCGATAGGTCAGACGTTGTGCAGAGAGTACTTGTTGTACTTGCAGGGCTGCTGGGGTCGCGTCTCTGCTGGTCTGTCCCGGTCGGGCCTAGTCGATTCCCCCCGGTGATCTGCAATAAAAGCAAACTGGCCATATCCCGGTCGTGGGGAGTGTAGCATCGTAAATTCCATTACATCTGTCGGCTATTCTCCGCGTGTTTGGGCCAATCCGAGTCTCTCGAGCCTCTTATACCTCACTACTACTCCGTACATAGTTCCCATCGTCCCAAACGTAAGTTGCTCGCGGGCTCCGGGGTATGGATCGTCCTCCATAAGGCTATCGATCCAAAGTACTCTACCCACTAAAGCACCATTCCGAGTTCCGTTATGATCAATATGATCATCTTAGCTTTGGGTATGATTGGACGGAGGAAAGATTGCGATGACGGTTGCTATTATTATACTATACTGTAGTGCTTCCCGGAGCGGGGACTCAACAGAGGGCATTGTACTTTGCACTATTTCCTATGATAATATGGCCGCCTTCCCTCTATGACAAATAAGCCAATTTGGTCAAAAGGCCCCAGTCGCCTACTCTCGTCCTCCGGCATGATTGGAATGTGCAAAGCATGCAAAACTGCAGACAAGCTGAGCCACAGAAAGACTTCGTGGGGTATCGTCGGGGATCTCTCTCTATCTATGATCTACTCCGTCCTTTTGGGTACCTCTCTGTACCTCTCGCTACGGAGCTGCCGAGCGAATGGTCCGCTCCGCTCAGGGACCAGAGCTCAAACTATCCAGGGAGCTAGTTACGGACCTGCATCTGACTCCAGGGGAAGTTTCTGACCCATCACCCGTCAGTTGAGACCCGAATTGAGGGAACCTCCTCTGGTTGGAGCAGACAAGCAGACGGTTTCGATGGACATGGCCTTGGACCAGGCGAGGCTCCTGTTCGATCCCACTCTTTCGGGCCTCCTGCGTGGCTAGTGACCAACATCTGCCAGCAACTCCGGGGTTTTCGTGCATTCTTCAAGCCCTCGAACAAAGCTCCTCGATCCTCTTGCAAGCCACGCAAGTCAGTGGCAAACGAAACTGGCATTTGGACCCTCGTCATGCGAAACACACGTACAGATTCTCTTTCCCCTCATTCCTAAGTACCAAAGTACTATACCGTCTACAGTATGTTTGTCTTTCCTCCCCGTGCCAGGCTTGCAGCTGGCACAGACAGAAGATGAGGATTGTCAGAACGGATTCCATTTCCCCAGAAATTTCGCCTCCGACCGAGACAAAGTCTCCGTGGGGCGTGTATCACACTGCCGACCGATAGACAATTGACAGGGCGCGTTGGATGAAACTGAGAATCTACCTTCTTTTCCATCTTTCTTTTGTCATTTGCCCCGGTTGCCCTGAATCACCTAGCAGCTTAGACCCGTTAGCCCCCAATAGACGATCGCTTGCTCTGAAGGTTTTCCTAGGCCGACACCTGAGTTCTGACAGCTCTCACGGGCTTCATAGGGCTCTTAGGGCTCTGATTCGTGGCGCTAGGTCACTTAGTTAAACTCTATTCCAGTTCGCGACTGAGCCACGGCAGCAAGCCGCGATCCATGCCATCGACGCAGCCGCAAATTAGCGTCGGGGTACTCTTTGAGAGGGTGACCTTTTTTCAGGCCAAAGGACCTAGCGTTCGGAAATGAAAGCCGGGCTTGGTGGTTCAACAATGCAGCCGACGAGTTATCGGTGGACCCCAGCCATCTGGAACGGAGCCTATGGCATTATGGCACTAGGGGACTATGGAGCCCAGACAATGCCTGTCGATCATGATTCATGTTTCTCTTTCCGTCCTCTCATGCCGTTCCGTGACGATCCCCTTCGACTGTCAGATCCAGACGATCCAATCTAAGCCAAATTAGTGAGTTTAGCCACCCAAATGCACGCCCTACACACAACCCTCTTTGTTCGTCTTTCTGAGTCTCCCTTCCATATTTCATGTTATTCCCTTTCTTATATCACATAATTATCTGCCACATTGAGCGACCCGACATTTCGGCTACCACGAGGAAGATAGCTGCACTGTTTCATGCATATTGGTGTTGAAATCAGGTTTCTGATCTCTGAAATGCAATAATACTGTTCAATAATTCTACTGTCGGATATCATAACCCGCCTGAAATGCCGGACACGACTATTGTACTTTGTTAAAGCCTGGTCCCATGGGAGGGCCAAGATCTAATCCATACCGAACTTCATAGAATGCTGGTTGAGTTATTTCCATAGTACATAGATTCCGCTCTAGAATCCAATCAGATTCATGTGAACACTTCTAGCTCTTGTTAACATTACTGTCACTTGATTCTGGTCTAAGAATCGCCGTCGTGCTTCTTAATTAATAGATATCTACATACTGGGAAGGACCCTGGGCATCATGGGACTTCTACCTGGATATCCAGAAGCACAGGCCTATCTCAGCCGCAAGGGCCAGTTGGGAGCTAGAGAGTCCCCTCACGGACCTCGAAGACCCCTGCGTTCAAAGGGATGACTTGCTTGGATCTTCAAGTCCTAGCTAATCATCTCAGACTGCCAAGACTTGGCTTAGATTCATCTTATTCATGCTTGGCAACCCTCCAGCTAGCCATTATTCGTGCGGACAAATAGTGAGATGGCTTGAGACCGGATCAGCCTAGTCTAGAGCCCGAAGAGCTTGGACCGAGTGATTAAGATGTGGCAAGTCCTGGGAGAAAGTTTGAGTAGTTCGTTCAAAAATACGAGTTCTTCTGTTGCATTGAGTCATGCCATCTGGAGAGCCTTATCTCCAAGCCATTGCATGATTTGAACCGGTACTACAGTAGCTCACCAGGCAATGTGGCAACTTTGTGGCGCGCTCGAGAGGTCGAGGCGTC